TTTGTGGGAGACGTGTCGAAACTGTGTTACATTTATTTTATTTCTTTGAATTTGCAGAACAATTTTGGGATGTGGCTGACCGTTGAATATGATTGAAGCGTGATTTGACACACATATATATAGGGGGCATCGGTCGTGTTATTCTGTGCGTTATCACCGTAGCGATATAAACATTGCCAGACTTTTTTCGTCTTCACCATATATTTTTTTGGTTATCGCTGATACTGATAAATACGAATTTGTAATTAATATTGATTGCAATTCAGTAAGGCGTATTTCCTTCACTCCATTCCTGACTCAATCACTTTTATTAAACAAATCACAGCGCATTGTAAGGAAAATTAGAATTTATTAACAATAATTTACGAGGTACAGGTAAGATTCAACCGACGGCTATCGCTAACAGGTTAAAACGATAAATGTAAGAATTTTTATTTTCGTTCTCTTTTTGCGCCTATCATATTTTTTAATTTCTAATTTTGCATAAAGAGCTCCCATACCGTTTTTTGTGAATTTAGAATTGTCGAACCAGATAAGTACGACTGGTAAATATTGTATTCTAAGGAAATTTTACGAGATATTGGGGACTGAGAGAAATATTATTTTGACTACGTAGAAATGCCAATATTGCCAATTTTTCCAAGTGGGTAGTATCAGTGTTTTATTCCAAAGCTGAGTTACGTGAATACTCAACACTGATTTTTCGAAAGATTACTAATTTGCGGAGTTTTTAATTATTATTTAATACGAAAGTAACACGGACACGATATTGTCAAGATTTATTGTTGTCAGGATTAGACCGAGGTTCTATGCACACAATAAACTTGATCCAAATATTCATCAGCCGGACGAACGGCCTTTATTAAACAGTATACAGTAAGATATAATTACACAGCTAAATAGACAGCAGCCCTAGACAAAGAAGCCCGTGACCAACATATTCAGGCTTCACGTCACTTCTCAATCATTGCGTCATAATCACTTTAATGGAAGTCAACGTAAACAAGTCTGTAAATCATGATACAACAGATATAAAATTGAAAGCATAAAAAAGTCAAATATCATCCATATAAATATCGCATTCCGGGGTGAGTAAAACTGTTCGTATAAAATTGGGACCTCAATTTACAAACTGTGATACAAATCCTACATAAAAGATAAAAACCCGCATAAAATCAATTTGTGTGCACTCCTTAATAATTGTCTCTGACATCGTCGCCGATGTGAAACCAATTTTCTGTCCACAAAAAAATAACCAAATTACGATATCCGCCGTTGCATGAGAATTAATATTTACTAGAGAATAAAAAGTGCTTCAATATATATAGTTTATCAGCTTTAATTGGGATGTCAAGCCGCCGAAAGGATGGCGGTGACAAAAATATTTACTGTGGCCTTGGATTATGACAAAATTAAAAAATAAAAAACGCCTCATTGTTACGAAGTTTCCAGTCTTCAGTCAAATTCCGAAAGAAAAAAAAAATGTCACGGCGGTCGTTTCGGCGGCCGACATTCCAATCGCGGTTGTTTGAAATGACAATACTCATTATTCAGTGTTGAGTTTGTTGAAAATATTCGAATATTTCGACTAAATAAATATTTGCCCACAACTAATCACGGCGCATGTTAATAATAATCATTGAATGCCAATTAAAAATCAACTTGTTTAACATTAAATTCCAAGTAATAGTTTTACATTTGATGTATTCGATCGGCGATACATGCGAACGTGTTTTTGTACTTAAATATAAACGATTTTGACGCTACTGACATCCGCGAGTTATACTTCTCTCCGAAATTAATTTTCACGACTTCCAATGTTTTATTTTCAAATGTGGGTACCGCTGACCACGGATTAATTAATGGTCAATGTTTGAAATAGGACTTGCAAAATATTCACTATATACCGCCAGGTAAAGAACGGCGGGCTACATGTAACTTTGAAATTTCGCTGTGAACGACGCATTTTTTTCAGCTTATTAACCGTCTTACGTCGTCGTGAATTGACCCCCTCCCCGTTGGGAAAATCTTGGCTGCGCCCATGTCGGTATTTATCCGATATCAACCCGGCTATATTCCGGCACTGATAAACCATGTCATAATTTGTCACCCACGTCATCTATAACCAAAAATTTCGTGCTTGCTATTACCAGAAAGCCTATATTGCTGAATGAAAGTGCGACACACGGTTTTACTCAGTTATCTTTATCTGGCCTTCCTGTATTAAAGGTTGCACACGCTTAGTTCAAACCAGGGGTGTGCAACCTTCTTCGCAGGCGGGCCAAATATCAATAACCGGGTGAAACCGCGGGCCGCACCTCCATTTAACACAGGCTTTCTATTAGTTGCAGACTTGCAGGCACAAAATGGTGTCTTTTTGTTATTGATCTCATGTAATCATTAGGTGTCCTTGCAGAAATGATGAGTTAAAACGCATAAATTTCTTAAAACTGTAATTCAAATATATTGTCACGACAAATTTAAACAAAATCTTTAAGAAATTTGCTGCTGGATTCTTTTCCCGACTACTTTTATCCAAATTTGCTTAAATGGGAGTGCTAGCAATTCGATATGACGCTCCTCTAAAAAAATACGTTACCGAAAAGTGACATATTTGAAGCCACTTTGTTCAAATGTGGGAAATTATCTTGGTTGAGATGTTTTCAGTAAAATACGCCAAGATTCATTTCCAAAGAATTTGCTATCAAATTTTATTCTAGGTTAGATTTAGACAAAATCAACTGATAGGCTGGAACGAAAACTCCTTTAGCTTTTGTATCTTTTATTATTAAATTTATTTGTACTGCTCTCCAGTTGCCCTCCGCGGGCAGCACAATTTTTCCTTGCGGGCCGCATTTGGCCCGCGGGCCGCACTTTGCACACCCCTGGTTTAAACTACTTAAATCGATTGTACCGTAAAGTGCTTTGCAGCCTAGTAAGTATGAAATGTTCCGCCGCAGAAATTTTTTAAACTATGGTAGTTTCTGCAAACGTGTTGTTGCGAACAAGCGCAAGTATCCACCACAAATAAATGAAATGTAGTGTTAATGAAATGCAGTAATCGTCATACACAGTGCTGTGCAAGTTTCAAGAAATACGACAATAGCTATATTTAAATTGCGCGTGGTTAGATAGAGCAAGTTAGGTTAGATCGATCCAGTATTAGTTATCGAAATGAATTCGGAAAGCAGAAGAAAACAGTTCTTCATATGCATTTCGTCCAGGAGTTTTGTCTACATATATCTCATTCACTAGATATTTTGATATATATATATATATATATATATATATTTCGTTTCCATCATAAACAGTTGCCGGGATTATTCGCTCGTTAAAAAAAACGACTTTTTCAGTGAGACTTCTCTGTGGCGTATAATATTCAATCCATGGTAATTACCTTAATTGTGTCTAACGTAACTCGCGTGACGACTTTTAAATACATTACTACATTAAAAAAAATGTAATATGTACAAACACATGAGATAAACTGTCTAACTGTCTAAGGTATCTTTGCAATCTCGTTAATTCGTTATTGCCATTAGGAATCCGTATTTTTGCCATTTTGCGAATTAGAGAAATCTATACTTGTAACACCGATTCGTTCAATCGCAATGCTGCCACTCGGATTATTTTAAAGATATATCCGTTATATTCTCACGATATCACGGGGGGGTGATAATTACCTTATTACGCTTCCCTTTGTTCAAACTGTAATAGTCCGAATACAGCGAGACATCTATACAGGTTCGGGTTGCGTTAACCAATGAGAATATATACTTATTGCGATAACTAATAGTTGAAGTATATCCATCAAATAGTTTTATAATTAAATGCAAAATATAGCTCTAAAAGGGGAATGGGATAGGACGACTTTATTGCATGGTAAACCATGATTGCATGATAATTACCTTATTACGCTTCCCTTTGTTCAAACTGTAATAGTCCGAATACAGCGAGACATCTATACAGGTTCGGGTTGCGTTAACCAATGAGAATATATACTTATTGCGATAACTAATAGTTGAAGTATATCCATCAAATAGTTTTATAATTAAATGCAAAATATAGCTCTAAAAGGGGAATGGGATAGGACGACTTTATTGCATGGTAAACCTTGGCTTTTGGTGTGGGTCTAGTTCATGTTTTTTTCTTATGTTTTACAATCATTTTGAAGCCTAACTTGAAAATGATTTCTATGACAATATATAACAAAACGACAAAAAGGGCTAGTGTTGGCAACCATGACTAAAAATATGTCTAGGCGAAAAAATGTGGAGCCCTCTGCGTCTGAATCATGGGAAATATACTGATTATAATCCGTTTGTATTTATCTCAAATCTTAAAGTTTTTAGTAAGGTTACAATGTACGAATGAGAGATGATAATTACCTTATTACCCTTCCCTTTTTTCAAACTGTAATGGAAACCGTTTTAGTCCGAATACAGCGAGACATCTATACAGGTTCGGGTTGCGTTAACCAATGAGAATATATACTTGTTGCGATAACTGATAGTTGAAGTATATCCATCCAATAGTTTTATAATTGAATGCAAAAAATACCTCTAACAAGGGAATGAGATAGGACGACTTTATTACATGGTAAACCTTGGCTTTTGGTGTGGGTCTAGTTCATGTTTTTATTCTTTTGTTTTACAATCATTTTGAAGCCTAATTTGAGAATGATTTCGATGACAAACGACAAAAAGGGCTAATGTTTACAACCTTGCCCAAAATTCTGTCTAGGCGAAAAAATGTGGAGCGTCTGCGTCTGAATCGTGGGAAATATACTGATTATAATCGTTTGTATTTATCTTTAATCTTAAAGTTTTTAGGAAGGTTATAATGCACGACTAAATATGAACCAATAACCGTTTTTTAACATATATTCAAAGTATATTCATCGTCTTCAAAAATCATAATAATTGGTAATACGACCACTGACTCACCAAACTCTTTGCACCGCCATAACGGTAATTTTCAAAACGGCTGTGCGGGGTTCGCGCTGTCAACAGGCGGTGCAACGCGTAAACTGCAGAAACTATGCGGTCTATTTGAATCGGCGGCGAATCGTTATTCAGTCGGTATAATTTTTGCTTCAGCTAGACTAGTTAGTTCTATGTCACAAAATGTGAATTAAGGATATAATTATACTTGTAGGGTAACTTATATAGCCTACTACATTCTGACATTTCAGGCAGTCTGCTAGTTGAAAGCCTAAAATACCGGAAAACTGCAAGAGAATTTTTCCTCTGGCTATTTTATTTTTGTCACATACAGACATAGGGGTTATATAACATTACAGCAATAGGTTTTGTGACATAATTTGGAATATTATGAAATGTGAAAATTGCACCAAAATAGAAAATAAAAACAAATTAGTGAGATCTGATTTCATTTTAAAATTATTGACAAAAAAAAAGAATACAGTCTTGCAATTTCTGAATTTACTATTTGCATACTGAAGAGTTTTGGCTTTGCTCTTTTATATAGAATTGATTTTAGTCATGGACTTCTGGACTTGATGACTTGTTTCATCAAATCTTTTTATTTTGTGGCATTCCAAAAATTCGAAAAATTTATTGCAAAACACTTATTAATAAATCATTTATTCTATAAACCTATTGTTATGCATGTGTCTGTTTTTTCTGAGTAATTGAGATTAAAATAGCAAAATACACTCACATTTCAGTAGCGCACAGTTTCCCTGAATCCAAGATGTCCCGACATTTGATTCAATAAAACAATCACCCAATTTGTCTCTGAAACGAGGGTGCCTGGTGTACATTTTTCATATTTTTTTTCAATCAGTTCATCATTCACATAGAAAAATGTTATATAGAAATCTTGGAAAATCGGGCTTGAAAGTTTCAGTCATAGGTTTGGGGACATGGGCGACTTTTGGAGGTCAAATTAATGAAGATCTTGCAACACAAATTGCAACAGTTGCATATGAGAATGGTGTGAATGTATTTGACACAGCTGAAGTATATGCAGGTGGAAAGGCAGAGATTGTTCTTGGCAATATTTTGAAAAAAAAGAGATGGCGCCGTTCGAGTTATATTGTCATGACAAAAATTTATTGGGGTGGAACAGCTCCCACGGAAGTTGGATTATCACGAAAACATATTATTGAAGGACTTGATAGTTCTCTGCAAAGGCTTCAATTGGATTATGTTGATGTCGTATTCGCTAATCAATTTGACGATGCTACACCAGTTGAAGAAGTGGTTCGTGCATTTACATTCTTAGTTAATCAAGGAAAGGCAATGTATTGGGGCACGTCAAGGTGGTCTGCGACACAAATTATGGAAGCTCATTCAATTGCAAAAGAATTTAATCTTATTCCACCAGTTGTTGAACAATCAGAATATCATTTTTTCCAACGTGAAAAAGTTGAATGTGAATTGCCTTATTTATATGACAAGAAAAACATGGGAATAATGACATGGTCTCCACTTGCTTCAGGAATAATAACAGGAAAATATAGTGATTCAATACCATCGCAGTCAAGAGCAAATTGGAGGGGATTTTCTTGGTTAAAAGATAAAATAATCAGTGATGAAGGTCGGCGACAACAAGCGAAACTTGTTGAAGCAAGAATTGTATCAGATCGTCTTGGATGTACACTTGCACAATTAGCTATTGCTTGGTGTTTACGTCTTGCTATGAACAGCTCTGTATTAATTGGAGTATCAACCATAGAACAAATTTATGAGAATCTTAATGCAATCAAAATTCTCCCATTAATCACTGATGAAATATCTAACGAATTGGACAAGATTCTTTCAAAATGAATCTGCTTATTTGCCCTTGTTCAGATATAGGCGTTCAATACCTCAGATGTTCTTTGCGTCGGGACTTTTAAAAACCCTATTTTTGATGGTGTGAGGTAGTAAGTGAAATGAATGATGATCAGCACTTAAATCGCCTACTATCTTGACATGCATTACATATGATTTGATCTGAACTTTTATTGACTATATTTGGAGTGACATAAATGTGATTAGATAACATATAGAATTGTTTCTTGCCACATTCTTCTTTATAGTCAACTCTAGTTTAAGTCAGTGTAAGAGTCTGATATAAAATTATTCAAAAATTGCATGAACAGGAAATGAAAACAATACTAGAAAATATAGAAATAAACCATTCATTGCTGTGACAGTAAGCGGTAAAAATTGATTGTATGAGATTCAATATTTGCTTTTAGACTGTTCATTTTATCATAAAATCCATATATTCGAAAGTAGCACTGTTATTATTGTTTTTGATCTGTAAGATATGAACAAAATTTGGTGAAATGTTCAGTCAGCGTCAGTTATTTGAGCAAATATGACCGTTTTCAAATAGATGAAATCTTTTTTTTGTGTTTTTTAATGTTCCATTGTCCCAATACAGTCAAATAGAAAAAATGTTGTCAAACAATGGATAAAGTAAATATCAAAATTTTATTGCCCGTTGTCATAAAAATAGCGAGCTTCCACAAACTTCTTCAAATTTATGGTAAAAGGAAAATCAGGCAATTACCAAATCTTATCATGATTAATTGTAATTTTAACAGAGCATTTTTTGCATAATTTACTCCTGAAATTTAAATTACTTTTGTGTAGTTATTCAACTGATAGATCTAACGGCACTCTTAAATAAACATGTTTTGAAATGGCATAATAAAACCATTTAAATCCATTGTGCCATTGTGAGAAGAAAGCGAATAAAATTGCCCTACTATGACGAATTGAATACAGACAATGTGAAATGTATTAGGGTTTTGAGGAAAGCATTTTTCTCAACAACTACTAGATCAAATCAAATTCAAATTATCAGTCATTGAAGAGGGAGTATGCCACTAAATAGCTGCTTTTTTAAAATTCTCTCGTGAGCCCTATGAAGTCCAAACATCATTTTCTTGGTTCTTTCAATTCATGGTACACCTTTATGTTGCATTTGTTACAAGTTTTTTTAACAATCGGCTGGAATTTTACTGACATTCATTGACATATTAGTCATGTGAGCTTCATGGCCATACAATTGAACATTGCTCTTTCGACTATATTTGTATATACCGTACATAGGCTATGCATATTTATATCGAATTTTGTGATAAAAAATTTATTTTTTGTAGAAAAACTACCATTTAATTACTTGTAAGTAATTATGTAAAATATTTTTAATGTTGTGACAACTGACAAGTGGAATATTCACATAGGAGATGCTTGCAGATAAGAAGTATTCGGATCACAACGTTTTTCTTTATACCACAGATCAACCGGAGTATTTGAAACCTTGCTTGAAAACATCAAGTAGAGCTAAGTCAATGGTGAGCTATGGAGTGGAATTTCTTTTATATATATTTTATTAACATGACTATTCAAGGTCCTTATGTACAAGTGAGGTATTGGTTGAACCCGTGAATTTATTATATGTGCCTATCTATGTATTTGTATCTGGCCCTTCTGTATTGAAGGTTGCACACCCTCGGGCGTTGGACTTAACTATGTTGCACAAGTCTTAAATCTTGGGTTTGAATCCCATGCCTACCACCTACCCAGTGTGCTATAAACTGAACAGGAAATGACAAATGTGGAAAATTCCATTTTTTTTCAAAAATACAGTAGCCTTCACTTATCATTGGCTGCTTGTACAAAGTAAAATCGTTGTATTTATAGAATGATTTTGTCATTTTTCAGCAAGCTTCAAGTAGTTTGAGGCAGCCACCATTGAAAGGTCAAAAATGCAGAATAGTTACACCAAACAAAAGTGTGGGCCATTCAGTTGCGTCTTATGAACCATTCATTCAATATCATGAAGCATATGATCCATTTCAGACTTCTGGAAAAGGTATCCTGTATTATATTTAGAACAAAACTCTGCTTTTAGGCTTATATTATTACCAAAGCAAAACAATTTTTGCACATGTCAATCCTAACCCCCACCTGACTACGCCATTTAAAAATTACGTCACTACGATGTCACAGTGATGTAATAAAGCCCTTCAAACTATTCGAACTGCCATCCGAGACGCGTAGACGATTACCTGAAATCGAGCAAGCTATATCACTCATTTTCTCTTCGCAACGATCACAATATGAGAGCGATCGCTATATAATTCGTTCAATAATCAGCTCTTGATTAACAATTTTACAATAAACAGGTGAGAATTATGCGGACAACAGCAGTTCATCTCTCCTGGAAGGACATATTGCACAAGCTACTGTTATAAATGATACATCTGCATTAAAGACCCAAACACATAAGAGCAAGAAAATTTCTGAAGTTAAGACTGCTGGTATCTCGACAACTGTTGTTCATGTTGATCCAACGGAGGTTTCAAAAATTAGAATTTTTTTTTTCAATTTTTGCATCAGCATATTATTGTGACAAGTTTTGTGAGCTGATACTCTTCTTTAAGCAGCACAATATCCATCCATTTGTTTCTGCTTTTTTTTCATCTATACTGACACAGAACAACTTGTGTTGTTCTAATATAATTACGGTTTATAAAATCATATTGGGATGTTTTTTCGCCTGAGTCTCTTTATATTAATTTACAAAATACCGCTATCCATAATTCAATTAAAATATATTTTACTCAGTTGAAGATGCTTTACTTTGTCTAAGCTCAGTTTTTTCAAAATATTTGCTTAATAGGATGCTTTGTATAGCGGCCATTGTTCGAATTTTGACTGTTTAAAGTTGGTAACTCAATAATATTCAAAATTATGGTAAAGAATGTAAACCTGAGGAAGATTTATTTTTCAGCTTATTTTTGAGATCACATTGTTGATAACAACCTTTAAAAAATGCGCTAACAGCTAAACTATTGATGTATACAATAATGGGCTACTACGTTTTTGTTTAGCAAAATTTTAATATTATTTTATCTAATAATATTAGGTATACAAGCATTTACAAAGAGAAGATGCTAGAAAACTGGACAATCCGACTTCCAATTCTGGTAAGATTCTAGCATAGATTAGTACAAACTGTAAATGTCACTCGGAATTAGGTTGGTTTGGAATGAAAAAGTGTACAATACTCTTAGTTGCTGTACAGACTCAGGTGCACCACCGTATTGGTAGTAACTTATCGTATTGGTAGTAACTTATCGATAATAATACCTGGTAATAACTTTTTATAGTCTTCAATAACATCAATCAATCTTACTTTCAGATTTCTGACATTTATCACATAACATTTATTGCACTGATTTATGTGTGAATGGAATAAACTTTATTTACTATCAAGTGTCTTTACTCATATAGAATTAGTTATGTATAATAGCACTGTAATGATTTGTACTTAAAATACCAAATTTTTCAGTTGCAAACTCAGGTCTTAAATTAAGACATGCTTTTATGTTTAACCTATTAGGATCTTCAGTTTAGTGCAGTGGTCAGCAAACTTTGTGTCCACTGGGCCAAATATGCAAATTATGCATGTGGCCACATTAATTTTCGTCCATGCACAATTGCTACATTAAACTTCAAATTGTGAAGCACCCGCAAACTCCTATTTCTGTGTTAATTACAGCTAACGGGTAGGCACTTTTGGTGAGTAAATAACAAACAACTTACATGTGCTTTCGCTTACGCTAATTACTACAAAACAAACATCAGACCACAACCATTGACATGACAAACATCCATGTGCAAATAATAATAAATTTATGAGCATTTTTTGTTTTTATGAATTAAAAGTAAAGTTTTTCGAGGGTCACAAAAATTTGTTCTGTGGGTCGCAGTTTGCAGACCGCTAGTTTAGCGTGTAGTATGGGATTTATTACCTCAGCTCAGAGCTAGTGTCGGATCATATCAAATTGAACTGTTTCAAATCTTAGTTTCATGTAGTTCCAGTAACAATTTTTTACCTTTCAGTAGCCGTGTAATATTACTCAGTGATCAGTCTCCTCCCCTCCTTGCTTTAAAAACATCCTTGTAAAATATAAAACCGTTACTCTTTATTTTTATTCCTTCTTTCGTCTCAATTTATTTGTCTGTTTTAAGGTTTTGGACAGCCTTTTTCCACCAAGTTTCTAACTTCACCTGATGCACCATATAAGAGAATTGATCTCGTCAAACAAAGAAAAAAAATGGAACAAAATTCAATGGCACTGTTGCGACTGAAAGAAAAAATTCAAAGACAGAAACAAAGGTTGGTTAAATGGTGGTTATTATTAAAAAATATTTTACTTTGTGTGAATGTTTGAAACGTATACTTTAAAAGCCTGTATAAATTATGCTTTATTTATTATAAAGCATAATGTAAGTGCTGGAAAGTGCAAAGGATACAAATATCCGGAACATTTACTACTAACTACTTGTAAGACACAATGTGAACATGATTACTTTTACTTATATTTTTTTTAATTTTTTTTCATTTGATTGTGTCTTATCCATCTGATAGTCAAACTAAAAATAGAAGCTTACAATCATTTAATTTCATCAAAGTTGAAAATAGTAGACAATTATAACATTATTAATAACATGTGCTGTATGTTGGGCAAATTTGGAATTCATATTAATTTTTTTTTAGGAATTTTGTATGATAGTTAATTATTCAGTTGTGATTATTTCTGTAATCAATTGTCATCCAGTGTTTGATTATTGCATTAATATTCTTGCTTCAAATTTTAGATCTCCTTCCGTAGATGGTTCTCGAAAAGCAGAAGGTTTCAGTCCTACTAATCAAGTTTTTTTGAGGCCTAGTACAGAAAGAAATCATGATAATCATATTATACGGAAGACTGCGGTTGGACCTGTTGCTCCTAAATACAAGGTACCCGTATATTTGATTCCTCATTTTCTTTCATGGCCTTTTGTTAGCATGAGCTTATGTATATTATAATCACAGAATATTTATGGTGATGTTAGTATAGGATTGTGTTACCTCTGTCTATGTTTTATATATTCAATTCGCCAGTCAAAGGAATTTAATTTAATACTGGAACTGGTTACATCAGCCAGTCATCAAATTTGTTCATTTATTCGCACATAAAAGTGGTTACAATTTTATGCATGTTATTCTAAAATGCCCAATCTGTTTTAAAATCAACAAGTACTGCTAAGAAGTATTATAGGACAAAATCAAATTTTATATTTTGCGTAAGCTTTAAACCAATAACTTATTACTGTAATGTTCCCTTTTCTTTGGAAGTAAAAGATATTTCTTCAAGATTTTATGTTATTCAAAAACATTTGAAATGTTTTCGTAAGAAATTAGGAATTTTTTATCCACTACACACAACTACATGACTGCAATAATTTTATAAAATACTTTTTTGTATCTCTGGAAGTTGCAATATCTTTTAATATCGAAACATGAATTTTTTAAAATCATTTCTAGGGATTTAGTACTACAGAAACAAGGATTCAGACTCCTGATGGTAAAGTATGGAAAGGTGGAGAAGCAGCAGCAGTCAGATCTTATCATCCAATGAAAAAGCCTAAAGGTATTGTTAAATTTGTGCTTTACAGTAGGTCTGTTTAGTCTGCCAAAATTCACAATCGATTCCGGGATAAAAAATTTTGACTCCAGCTTCTAACTATAAGAAAGTAGAATATTGTTCTTCTTCAAGTTGTTTGCATTGTCCTTATTCTGTTCACTTGTTTATGTCTATTTCAATTTTGTTGCAGCTGTGTCCTCTTTATTTGAAAGTAAACAAGCCAGTAAAGTCCATGCAGCATCCAATTCTGGAAAAAAAAAAAGTAAAAGCGCGAATCCTATAAGGAAAACCGGTAAGCACTTTTCATTTATTTTGACTATCGTTCTGGTAGTATATTTGTTAACACATTTCTAACTTTTTCTATGCTCTTGCTCAGGTAAAGTAAGACTCGATCATCCCACTCATAAGAAAAGTATGATCACTCCATCTTCTTGGAGAGAAGGTAGAAGAGTTGCAGAATCTATTCTTGGACCTCCTCCAAAACAACCAAAAAGGATTGTAGCAACAGATGTAACGAAACCTGATCAAAACAAAGAGTTACCATCTAAACCTGACCCACTGTTATCTGCAAAACCCAATCAAGGTATTGGTTATAATATGATTTCTGATTGAAATTTGGCAGTTGCTGTATATTATCCTCGCATATAGGCTGACCATCTGAAAACGCCTACAAAACACACAAGCAATCTTGTTTATGACAACCAATCACAGACTCTTATCACTGTCATAGCTTACCAACGCGTGTGTGTGGTTGCTCGAATCCTGAGAACTTCGTTCGCATGGTTCGAGTTGTAGCTGTTGGAAGTTATTATTAAGTTATCCTGATGTCATTTCGATATAGTATGATCAAAGTTATGCGCATATAAGCCGAATTTTTAGTGTGACCAGAGCAATGTGTGTATAAGACGAATCTTTAATGCTGTCAAAGTTATGTGTGTATACGCCGATGCCTTAGTTTGGCAACTTTTTGTAACTTAGCTTAAATACAGATATACGGTACTTTGCAGTATATCTAACATACCTTTTGGAAAATTCATAAAATTTTAATTTTCAGGATTTCGATGGTCTTATATATTATATTCTTGCATCGTAGAGTATTAAAAATCTACAATACGAATCCCATGCTCTTTATTTACTCCACCCAAGGTGTGATTCCTATATCATTTTGCCAACAAACGTCAAAAAATGTTCTGATATTTAGATCATAAACTTTTTATAATCGATTCACTTAAGACACATTTATTGATTAAATATTCCCCAAATATATGAATGTATGTGACATTTATTATTACATTTGAGATTGATAACAAATGTATGATAGTTCATGTATAAAATTGTATAAAAAAATTACGCAGGACATATTCTCAATATGTATCAAGAATTTAGATCAAACAACGGACAGGTTGTTCAAACTTTTCAAACAACAATAAACACAATGTAATAAAAACTTCCATTCACTATTGGCTTTGGCATATCTGTTTATTCCAACTACAATAATCCTTAATGAACTTACAGACAGACGAATTATTCTGCTTAATACCTATGATGATAAGCAATGTTTTTAATTGTGCTGTGAAACTTGAGGATTTTGAATAAAAAAGGTCTGGCAAATAGAAGATCAATATTCTGACAGACAGGATATGGTTTCTATTTGAGTTGAAAATTATATCAATGTTCCATTTTAAAAAGACTTAGAAACCGTCATAATTATTTTCAATAACCTTTGGTGATATTTTGTAATAAAAGGTTATAGAAAAGTTTATGAACCAATGTGTTTTAGAAGTTCTACTTTTGGAATTTTTTCTCTATTTGGGAATTTTCCTATTGACATACTTATTACCTATCACGATGGTATTTTCTATTTTTATTACTACTTTTCCTTTACCGGCTCATGTTGACTAACATGCAATTTTTTTTATACAGCATTTTCTTGCCTTCACCCTGTACAAGGCTCTGTGTAGGCAGTCATTATTATGTATAAGGCTTCTTTTTCTGGAGTACCGGAATCTTTTTTCTTTAAATATAACCGACCCAATGAACTGGGGGGCTTGAAGTTTGAACTAGAGATATTTGAAATGCAATGCTTAAGTAGTTAGTTTCAGCGCTTTCAACTATTAGGCCACAGGTTCTCAACAAGTAGGCCATGGACTACTGCTGGACCACAGAAATATTTTTAAGTGGGCCTCTAATCTATTAAAAATTGATTGACACTTTGAGGTATTAATAAATTAGTTAAATTTTATTGTATTAGAAATGAATGACGATGCTGTTTTTTGCTACTAAATGGTAGTTTTTATTTGAATTATTAAAGTTGAAGTGTCTGTAATTTTAAAAATAATTTTTTGTTTTTGTTGTAGTTTTTCCCTTGCATGAGAAAGTTATTGATCCACAGAATTTTTTGTGCAACGTAAGTGGGCCACAAGATAAAAAAGTTTGAAAACTACTCTACTATGCAAGCATTTCATGGTTTAGGTGTAGGTCTTGACAATCCAGTGATTTGTGACTAAACTACTTGTTACCTGATTGTTTGCTTTTCATAATCCAACCTATTTTTCTTTCAGAAAAATTGTCAACGATTGCTCGTGGAGTGTTGAATGATCTTGGTCTTGGTTCAGAAGATGAAGCTGACAATAAAAAATTTGATTTGAGTAGAAGACAAAGGGAAGCAGACAGATCAAGAAGACCAAAGAAACATCAACCAACAAAAGGTAAAAATTGAAAATTTTGAAACATTTGTTATAATAGTTCATCTGTGATGTCCAAGCAAAAATATTCAAATACATTCTGAATTAATTAAGTCCAAGCAAAAATATTCAAATACATTCTGAATTAATCATAATCAAATATGATATAGGAAATAATTTAAAATAGTTTAACAATATAACATTTCAAGGTTTTAACGATTGAAGCCTCACAGTACTTTCAAAAACCTTTCTTATATTTCTGAAAACTAAAAAAAAATTAGGGATCCAACCATCAAATTCACTTCTATCAATCTTTCCATGCTTACTGCATATCCAAATTCAATCTCATTGAATATTTTCCACATTTTCTCTGTTGAACATGACTCACTTTAAATTAGACTACGTTCAATATTCCATATTTGGAAATAATATTTTAGAATGTATCCACGAGTAGTAGTTTCCGAGTGATACTTTTTTGGTATTATTACAAATATAAAAATAATTTTATGCAAACTGAACTTGAAATTATCTAAAAGCAATTTTTTTTAGAATTCACCCATTTCTTGTATTATTCAGCACTGTGCATTGAAATCTTTCCTCATAATTTAAGCCCATTTCGATTATTATTAACCTAAATTAATTACGAGACATGGAATAAATTACAGAGAAATTTTATTATAACGTTCATTGTTTTCTTTTAGTTTCAGGTGATTCCAAGATTAAAATGGAAAAAACTCGACATTATGATCAAAGTGAGGTAAGTGGAGTTATAATGTTTTCATGCTATCATTACGAAATTACTGGTTTTTATAATTCACTGGCATATATTCATATGGAAATTAGTATAACACTTTTTTATATTTAACTTTTGCTATCATTGCAGCAGTCATCCCACTTCTTGTTCATGTATATGAAAATCACTTTCTTGTTAATGCCAAAATTTTTGTTTTGCAGGTGCAACAATATATTGCAAAACAGAAAGCCGATCGCAAAAGAAAACAAAGTCAAGAAAGGAAAGCAAACAAAGATGCTTATGAAAAGAAACAAAAGCAATTGGATGAATTGTATCGGAAACAAAAGGAAGCTGCATCTGCTAAGAGGAAACTAATGGCTTCTGGAGGTAATTTGTTTGATATTGATTTTAGTGAATAAAATATGACGTGATGGAAAGATTGAATGGCAAACCATAAACATTGTCTAAGGTGGTGGTTAGGTAACAACAGCCAAGGGCCTTGTGCAGCATGTGAAGAGATAGTTACTCATTGCACCATATACTTTTTCCGGTTAGATGCTTTGAAATATTTTTGTAATGTTAGACACTATTTCTGCTGGGCGTTATATGAAAAAGAGAATTGATTGTTGGATTTTTAACATCCTGTAATGAAATGATTCAAGCTAACATAAAATAAATCAACACTGTAAAATGTTTGAATTTGCTGCCATTTTAAAGTTGGGTTATATTGGCAAATTAAGTAGAAAGTGTTTATTGGAGGTCGACCATTTTCTACTGTGATCAGAAGTTAAGTAAATCTTATTGTAGTCTGATTACCAGGCATCCGAGGCTCAAAAAACATTTTTTTAAAATGAAAATATTCTCAATTATTCCTTAAATCCCAAATTCAATATATTCAATATATTGGACATTCCAAGGTATGATAAAATCATCTCAACAGTTTATTTTTTAGTTCCTTTTGAAATCTCTATTCCACATTTAATAATACATTTCATGTTTTTTTGCTCTGCTCTGAAAACAGATTTTCTTGATTTGGTTAAATAATATGATATACTAAATTTGTCCAACAACAGGACTTAAATTTTCGGATGCAAAATGTTTTTTGCAGGTCAACTATCAAAACAACAATCAACACATGAACATGTTGCTGGTGATTGGGTTGTCCAAGAAGATGACAGTGACAAAGAAAACGAAGAAAATGAACAGAATGTACAAGGGTATCATAAAATTTAGCTATTACATGAGATTTTTTACATCTTTCACTCTGAGCAAGACTCTTTATTTAAAGAATATTTATTATTATTTAGGATTTTTATTTAGAATTAAGTTAGCTATTATTCAGAATCAGATGATCAAAATTATGCAATGATATCCAGAGTAGTATTCTGGCATCTGGCAGTGACATCCAGGGGTTGTTACTCAAATCTCAATAAAATTAACCATGAATACCAGTGTTCAACAAATTGTTGATCAGAGTTAATTTTCATTTTTGCATTACTGGTAGCTTAGTCTGTTGATTTGATCTGGCAATTTCAATAATACTATACCATCGTTAACATTTATTGAACCTCTTATTTCAGACAATCTAAGTTTGACGAAAGAATGTCAGCACTTATGGAAAAACTCGATCAATATCGACCAAGTACAACACAATCTACAAATTCCTACAAAGTACCAAATAAAGAACCTGATAAACATTTCGAATACAATAACATTCCAAATTCCAATATGCCTAGTTCATCTAACACAGCTTCGGAATTTATGCAAAAACTCGACCAATATTTGAAAGATGATGTACCTGTTCCAAAGTCTCTTGGAACCAAATCGCGTTTGTTTGAAAACGCTCATCGTGAACCGGAAGTTCATGCCAACCTCACTATTGAAGATTTAGATACTCAGTTTTCTGGAAAAGGTACAATTGAAGTTGAAAATACCAATCCTCCTGACAATTTTGTTCCAAGATTACATGATCAAGGTATATTATATTGAATTGAAAAGCTCTTTTGCAAAATTGAATTATAAACTCCGAATTATTCAGCAATAATAACTAGGACAACATTTCCATTTTTGTCCAAAAACGATTTTTTATTGAATGATTTGCCTCGATCCACTGCTGTTCTGAGGTTTATAACGAAAAAAATATCAGATTTTGGTATTTTGTACTTGGAAGACACCTTCATAAAAGCTTTTGTAAATGAGTGCTCGATTTTTCAATCATGATTGATTTAGATTATTTCATTAATTGCCTCCCTTCAGGAGTATGCTTACTGAAAAGTTTACTTCATATTAGCCAGAAAAAATTTAATGTTGTTATTGGGATATTTTTTCAACTACCCGTATGATGTCACAGAATCCTATTTACACTTTTTTTACTAAATTAAAAAATGTGCCAATCTAAATCCTAAATAACATTTTGTTTAACCCTTTATCCCTTCCTGGACTTGTTAAATGACTTCCATACTTTGTGAGGGATACTGAAAACTAAATTTATTTTTCAGGTTTAAAACAGAGATTACGCTGTGAAAAGATAGCAGCTTTGAAAGCAAAAGCTGAGTCACTTCAGGAAAGGATAAATGTGGAATCGAAACGATTAGTGGAACAACCTTTTGTGCCGACGAAAACAAGTCTTCAAGATGTTGATGCCATATTAAGAAGATCTCCTCGTTATCCCTCTATACCTCCTACAAATGCATGGTCACCAGAAAGAATGTAGGCTTTTTTAAAAGTTTATTCTTTAAATAATCAATAATGAATATTTTTATGGTATGAAAACAGTAAGATCTTCCGTATTTGTCAAGTTTTGATCGCACTTTTCACAAGACATTGAAACAACTCCGATAGATTTGTGGACTATAAAAGATATCAGTTTGCATGCCACACCATGTTAAAGAGATCTTTAAAATTGGAAATCATGTTTTATGAATAATTACATTACGCAATGCTAAAATTATTAAAAAAGCACCTTATAATATGGTTGTGATGTTTATCTGTGCATGTTCATGTGAGCTTTTCGCGCATTCTTGACATCATTGTGGGCATCGTTTCACTTGTGGCTACGCTTTCTAAAATTGGGGGGTCCTCACTCTAAATCAGTTTGACCCACTAGAACAGTGGTTCTCAAAAGCAGCGCCCCCTTTTCAGAATTTGTCAGGTCTCGTGCCCCACCTCAAAAATAACTAGCTTAATAAAATAAGCTACAAATAACAGATAGTAAGGCGAAGTTATGTTTTTTTTTTCAAAAAACATGTTGAAAATATGTGTACATAATAAAGAAATGTAAATATCCAAACCAAGGCAGGCAAGATCAAATCTAAGAAATATTTTTATTTTCAATCAGCTTCACGGCTCCTCAAAAAATTGTCTATGTTTGAGAGCCACTGCTTTAGAAGCTCTATTTGAAATGCACATCAAGTATTCACTTATTGTTGTTACACCTTTCAATACTTTATTTCAGTGGTTCCAGTTCTATTCCAGTCAGCAGCATCCATATTGGAGTTGATGTTCCTGACAGTCCATTTCGAAAAGAACATTTTCAAGAAGTAGAGCTTCCTGGTGTATCTGATCTTCATAGGCATGTTGATTCTGTGCAAAAACAGAAATCTGAAAATGAAGCAACATTGTTTAAAATTAATTCAGAATTTAGAAGCAAAAGTCCAATAAGGTGAGAAATAGTATTTTTTTAACGTAAATTATACCTGTAAATTGAATTTTTTTCTTTTCTTTTCTTATCATATTAAGAGTATTAAAAATTGAGATTGATTTTCTCGAATTTTCAATTTTTCGATTTTGATTATTTTATTTTGTGTAAGAAAGGACAATGGCTTTGGGCCTAATATATTGATGAAACTATATTTTTTCAGTTAACAGATATATTCTATTCTCTTTGCGATCTAACTACTATATCCAGGGTATAAAAATTGTAAGACAATAATGCGGTAATACAGATCTCCCTGATGCCCCATTACTTTTCATCTAGTCCAGTTTTATTTTACAAGATATTTGGACATGCTTAACATTATCAATTTTCAGTTCTTTTCCTGATGAATGGAGGTTAACAACGGAAGGGTTGAGAAATGATCGACCGCTGTCACCTTCAGCTGATGAGGAAGAACAGATAGCCAGCAGCAGTCAAAGTATGACTATCTATTTGTGGTTATTATGCATTCCTTTACCAATGTGAAAAATGCTGTATAGTTTACAACGCAATTGAGCTGAATCTCTGATAACATGAAATTATTGAGTTTCAAATATTTTGTTACAAAATATTTGATCCTTTTTGGATGGTCATACTGCTAAGAAGCTGACTTGATTCAAGAATAAAGTTAAATGTCTAAAATGTAACATGTTGTATATTTCTCAAAAATTGATGAGCTATGAGGGTCTAACAGCTTATTCACTTTTTCAGGTTCTTCCAGATCTTCAAAAAGTGATTTATCCCAAGAACGTAACACTCCTCTAAAGCTACGTTCTGTGGAAGAAATTCTGAAAGAAATGAAAAGTAAAGAATATGCAGTATCTGATCCTCAACCACTTCCATTTGAAGAAAAAGAAATTCAATCGAATATTTTCGGATCGACTTCAAGAAAAAATGAGCATGACTTGTTAACAGGTGGGCAAGTCAATTTGTGAAAAAGCGTGAATGTATATCAAGATTTGATTATTTTAGGCATACTTGTAAAGCTATAGAATTCATGCGTTTGTGAAAAAGAGTGAATTCTATAGCTTTACAGGGATGTTTAAAATAATCAAATCATGTTATACATCAGTTATATTTAGCATATCATCTAATGCAATAATTTGAATATTTTTATCTGGAACAGATCTTTTACACTTATTGAAATAACGTAACACATTGAATAATTTATTCTTAGATTTGAAAAGTTCTATCTTCCCTAAATCACCAACAACACCGGTTTCTCCTGTGAATAAAGATCAACCACCCTGGGAACGAACAGGAGGAGATAAATACAGTGTTGTCAATCTGTTTACAAGTAAATATCTCAAAGCTTTGAAGAGTAGTAACAAGGAGAAGAACAAAGATAAAGAAAGCAACGTTAGAGCTAAAGAAAGTGTACAATCTGTACCAGATACCTCTATGAAAAGTGAGTGATTTATTGTGGTGTTTTGTGGGCTCATATAAATTCAAAAATCTGCTTTACCGGACATGTGTATTGAATGCTGCAGAAGTTATTGTAGGATCGATTTTCGTGCACAGTACTGTATTCTTTCTGTTTGAAACCCACAACTGGTTCAAGGCAATTTTTTGGGTATTTCATTGAATTCACTCGACATCGAACGCGATCGACCGATCGATCACGATCGTGTACGATCGACTTGTTGGCCATCCCTGGTATATATAATAACATTATCGACTGAAAATTGTACTTAGAAAATAGCAAAACTTCTTTTTATCTAGATGAACTACAACCTCCAAACCAGTCTTCCTCTGCACCCATGTTATCTACCTCACACAAACAATCTGAAACAGCAAGTTCAAGAACACATAAATATCCTCACATAGATGATACAATACATGATGATTCTGAATCTTTGTCATCAACCACGGAATACTCGTCAAAACCACGAAAAATGAGTGAAACGGAATTGAAAAAGGTGGATGAAGATCAATCTGTTATACCAAAATTAAAAAGCAGTACTTCGCAGGATATATTTGAAGAGAAGGTAGGTTGAAAATATGCTCTAAAAGTTGACATTTGTCAATTCAACAACTTTGAATTCTAATTCTTGTTTGAATTTCAAATTTGTCAATACTTGGATTTTAAAAATAGAAAACGTGAACACATTTAAAAATTAGTGCTAAGTAATTTAGAATTCTTATAATGACCTTTCTTTTTATAAAAATTTTCACATCATAAATTTTCACCTTTTCAATTCATGTAGGCAACGGGTAGTTATAAAGTTAATAATTTTTTCACATAAACAACCAAATATACATTTAACATAACCAGGTTTCAGAAAACAAAGAAAATTCACGTCCAGAAAAGTCAATTTCATTTTCTTCTGAAAAATCTGATGTTTCAATGGAACCAATACAACCTGTAATTCCAATCAAAACTTCGCTTCCCGTCTTGGATACAGAAAAAAAATTCTCTCCAGCAGCATTAGAACTTAAATTAACAGCGGAGCTGAATTATCAAGAGGCGATCGAAGAGTCGTTACGGCATATTGTTGGCGTAGAAAGAACCCAGCATGTCAGTCAGGCGCAGCAAGAAACTGTTTCTTTGGCTCAGTTAATGAAAGCTCGGCAGTTGGAACATGAAGTTGAAATGGAAAAAATAACAATCAAAGCGAAGGAAGAAGCGCTTGAAGCAGAAAGAAAGAGACAACAATCTGAGGAAAAATTAAAAATGAAACCATCGAAGTCTCAGGTTTGTATATTGACGGTCTGTTTTGCTGATTTGTTGTTGTTGTTGGGGTTGTTGTTGTTGAAAAATTACGCTTTTTTCGTGACTAATAAGCCAATTGCTTTCCTATACCAGTGCTTGAAAAATGGGATGAGCCGCAAAAATGCTATTACTTTATTTTTTTTTGATTTTTGATAAATCTTTTAAAATCCGAAGTTGTATCTCAAAATTTTCTTTTCTTTTAATTCGTGGAAACACTTTCACAGCACACAGGAACACTCTTATATGACCTCTGACCTTTCTGTCCATGTGTTTGACAATTCCTCTCTTGTTTTGTTAATAATCTTAATATTTTAGGGTTCAGGTTTTTCACGTGGTTTAAACGTTTAGGTTTATTTATTTTTCGTGAATTTTTCAACTTAATTTCATTGTGGATTGATGATTTTATGTTATCTATAATGTTTTTTATGTTTCACCCCGATTTAGGGATCATATTATGGAACTTCGGAATCTCAAATGAGATCAAGAAGAAGCGAAGAGAAAATTTCTGACTATTTTGACAGCAATTCTACGTCTCCATCTAGAAGTAGCAAAGCAGATTCATACTCTATTACTGAATCAATCAGGTTAGCGGGGAACATCGTATTTTATTTTTGAAGAATCATTATCAATTATTTTGGTATGTCTTTGCTTCTTTCTTAGACTCATTTAAAAAAATATTTATCGAGATGAAGTTTTGTTGTATTATTCTTATTTTGACTATTGATCTGAATGCATCGGGTTTTATAATGTTGTCATTGAGACACTTCTGTAATAATTGTAGTGTTTTTTCCAAAAAGCTAACACCCACATGTTAATTGAATTATATATACTTATTCAAATTTATCTTCTTTTTTTTCATTGTTATTTATGGAGATTAATACTTTAAGTTGAGGTCTTTTTTAAATTAGAATACTTAATTAAAAAACTATTTTCAGAGCATAGATTGGGCTGATAACTATGATCTTATATTTTATACTTTGTATCTCAAACGTTGATTGTAATTTTTTCAGCAATGACACAAGAACTGATAAAGACCTTGACGAACATATGAAAGATGCTCCTATCAGAAAAGGTGATTCATTTTTTCTATTGGAGTATTTTAACAGTTTTTTTAAATTATTTTACATTTTTTTTTTCGGTAAAATTATTGACTATAGTGGAAATTTTTTTTTGTGTATCCGCAATTTTTCAGACTTTTGATTGTGCTAGTGTTAAATACAAAGAAAAAAGGGAGAAACCTTTCTAACGTCTGAGTTTACTTCAATGCATATGCATTCGATTTCAGATAAGAAATCGTATTCTCCTCGGATTAAAAACATGCAAAAACAACGTATCATTCATCGGTCCGACAGTGATACAGAATCTAGTATTACAGAAGAAATATTTTCATCCAGGAAAGGAAGTCAAGATAAACTTGATTTAGACAAAACTCTTCCTTCAAAGAAAGAAAATCAAGACAGCTCTGATAGGTTGGTAATTTCAGTGATAAATAATGTTGACCTAAATTTGAGAGATAAAATATTCAATATCTACAACTTGGCAAAAATACGATAAATGAGTAATTTTGAGCGTTAAGAGGTATATATAATTGCCATGAAAGTTGCCATGAAATACTTTTCTCCGATAATCTTTTCAAATATGGAATATTGAATATATTTATAAAAGTGTGTCGTGTTTGACAGAAGACATTTCAGAGATAATTGTGAATTATTAGAAATTGGATTCAGTAATGCAGAACATTTCAGATAAACATAACTTGAATACTTTTTTGAATATTAAGTCTACTTTATGTCTGGCTAATATTTAAATGAAGATATTCTAGATTCTTTCTAATATCAAGAATTTATTTTATCAAATATCACTAAATTTGAATATTGGATTTGCCTCGATCAAAAACTTTCTGTCAAACTGACTGTTTCTGTCATTCAACCTAAAAATCTATTTCAGTATTACTGGTTCAAACAGAAATTTCTTTTTTATATTTTCCTAAAAAAAACAAACACATATTTTGTTGAAAAAATTCTTCTTTTAATAAAAACACTTTATTTATCGAAAGGTCAATTACTGAGGATATCATGGATCAGAGCAACCAAAGTAGTATTCATTCTGATATTGGGAAAACAAGCAAAGCTCGGAAAAGTGATGCAGGCATGTTCATTTAATATTATCAGCCAATTTTTTATATAAGTGTTCCAAATTTTCAAAATTTCAAATAGTCAGTTTATAATCGATTATTGTTTGCACTGAAATTGAATATTAACTTGAAACCAAGATTTTTTGTTTCATGGTTTCACATCTTCAGGTCAGACTTCTGACAGCAGTGACACGTCTCTTCGTTTCGATGAAGCACTTACTGAAGATGAAATTGCAGAAATCTCACGCCGTGTTGTTGTGCCATCAGAAAGTCATCGCAGACATCAGCGGAGACGCGCAACTGGTTCACTAGATAAATCTGATTTGTCTTCAGATGAGCAATTATTATCATCTGCAAGACAAAAATGTGGGTTTGTTAGAATGTTCAAAATATTTCACAAGGAATGATTTACTCCTTTTCAAAAATGTTGTGCAATTATAGCTGGTGTTCTGATCAAGTCGGGCTTATTCAGCTTCTAATAACTTTATAAATCTAATCTATCTATTTATCGATTATTTTGCACTCTATGAATCAATCACAATGACAATTGATGATTAACAAATTTCGCAAATTTCTCTGCAGGTCATATTAAATATTATTCCTCTATGTTATAACCTTCTATTCAACCATCTATTCATTTAATATAGCGATTTGGGAAAATGGAAACTTCTTTAGTTTGGTTTTTACTTGTTTATATAAAACTTCAAAAAAGTTACAATCCCTCAAATTAAAGACGAAGTAACCACTATCACACCGAGAGCTACACATTAACTTTTTTTAAATGCATCTTTAGCATTGTTTTATTAGCTTGAAATGGATGAGCAATTGCTTGTGAAGTTTCACCCATTCTGACAGTTTTAACGACCAATACTTTATGAGTTAAATTAAATTATTCAGCTTTCCGTGGTGGAGCAACTAAAGGATTGGATGATTTCAATATTGGATCTTCATTGCCTGGTGGAACTGATAATGAATTTGTTCATTTCATGGATCAGATGGTTCGTCAATACATGTTGGAAGAAGAAGTTCGAGCGAAACATCAAGCTGCTATGTTGAAACTTAGAGAAAGAGCTATCAAGGTGATATTTTGTATTGTGTATATTCGATGATCACCAAGCTTATTGTCGTTAAGAGGTCTTTTCTGTATCATGAAAAGAATGTTTATTGAAAACCCTAGCATTTTCAAAAGGTAATATAATGAAACGCTGAAATTCTTTCAGGCAATAAAACATGTATTGAAACTAAAATATCAAATGCGACGTGCATATCACCACAAATGGCGCCCAAGGCACAGTTTGAAATTTTGTCCACTTCATCGATGACTGACAATTTAATATTTAAGTAAAATACGAGTTTGAATTGCTCCGAATTAATTGAAAATATTTTATTGAAAGATTTTACTATTAAACCTTTTTGCGCTCCGAATGACACCCGTGGCATGAGCCAGTGGCCGCCATGCTCTTGATATGCCGCTACTTCCATTCGCCAATGCATCATCACACACTAAATGAATAAAATTCTTCTTCAATAATGTATGTTTCACTTGCTTTGTGAATCGTCAAGAGAAGACAATGATTTTCATGCTATGTTATACAGTGAATTAGCTAGAATTGAACTGATCGCCATTTTGAAGACGTCTGAAGCAAACGACTAATTTTTATCAATTTTGTAGATTGGTTTGATTTTTAGGCTGTATATAATAAAATTGACAGATATATCTTCTTGTACAGGAAAAATCTGAGACAGAATTGTCGTGGTTGGAACAAGTTAAAAAACAGGTTCGAAACAAAGGTGACGATGACAAGATGCCTCCTATTAAGAAGAAGCAACGAGCAATATTACTAAGATTAAAACTCGAAACTGCGGAAATCAAAAAATTGAAAGGTTAGCATATAACATTCGCAATCACTTTAAATGTTTACTGACTGAAAAGCTTTGTCTTTGTATTGGCATAAATAAATGCTTTGCAACCATATTTTCTCCAGCTGTCACCAAGGCTGCAAGTCATGAAAGAAAGATGTTTTTACAGCAACAAAAGGAAAATGCAGCTAGAAGAGCTAAATTACGAGCAGCTGGTAAATATATTTCTCATGTGATCATAATTTCAGCATTAAGTACGCAAGCCTCCTTTGGTATCACCTAATTCTCTGTTCATTCTTTACTAATAGATATATTATATCTCTGATGCTGGTAATTATGGCCATATAGTGTAATCACCCAATTAATATTTCTGGAATTTCTACAGTTTGAACCGGTTGAGAATGGGCAATGGTTTAGGTATACTCAATTCTAATTTTCTCAACTTGTATAATTTTTTCCTTCGACTTTACTGTACTTAGCCATTCAGACTATGAAACTAGGTTGTAATAGGCTACGTGATCTGAGTCATGACTTGTATAATGATTTTATGTGCTAACTATGTAGTGTCTTAATTGAAAAGCCTTATATATGGCCTTTTCAATTGATGACTCTGACTTGTTGAAAAATTGAAACTCGAACTGCTTGTATTGAAAGACTCGTCTCATACTGAGATGTCGATGACTTAGGTGCACATATACATAATGTTATATGATATTTTTATATACATCGTACAAGGTCCTATGTTAGCAGCCAATGATATATATGACACACTATTTTTGGAAGTAGCAGATACTTTTCATTTATTGCATCATGATTGAGGTGGAACCTGTGTTTTTATTATTTTTAGAAGAGGAGCTGGATGGTGAAATTGCGAAAGTGAAATCGAAATCACAAGAAAGTAATCTGGCTTCAAATAATTCAGTTCCCAACATTGATCTGTCTAATTCACCAGATTTAGAAGATGTCAGTGAGAGTAACTCGGAGCTAGATACCTCGTCAACGGTAATTAATCGTTTCTGTGATACTTCTTATACTAAGAATGTCCAGACTAAATTGAATATTTGAATATATTCAAAAATTAGGTAAATTTGTAATATAATTATGTTGGGTTTGAGCTTAATTGGATAATTTTAACAAATTTATCCCAATACATCATCCTTTTGCAAAGTCAATTCAATGATATACCATTGAACTGAAATATCGTCCGAGTCATTTTGTTTAATAACCTACGCAATTATAGAAGAAAGGTCAGTGTACTGTTGGTCACTGCTTCACCTTTTAGGGGATTTGGTCCCAGCCCATTTAGCGACAGCTTTTTTGGTTCCAAATAAATCTCTCGGAATGGATAAAATAAGATTACGGTATCAAAGGTATAAATTTATATTATATTATTTTATGAATTTTAGGAATATATCTTTAACTAAACATACCATTAAATGAAAATTAGGAAATTAGGAATTTTTTTTTGAAATAATAGTTCTAATTCCGAATGGAATAAATTAATCAAACCGAAAAATAGATTTTTTTTAGGGATATATTTTATTCCCAACAAATTTTTATTCATTCGTAGTCTTCCGTCCTTATGAAGAAACTAAAGAAACAAATTCCTGGTGTGTTGGATGAACATAGATTGACAAAACGTGAACAAAGATTGAATCAAAGAAAGAAACAAGCTGAACAATTAATAGCTTGGAAGAAAAAACTCGACAACGAAGAGAAAAAGGTATTTTTTTTTCATATCACAGTCATTTATTCGAAGTTACCGGTAAATAAAAATATTGATTGTGAAGTTAGTATATGTAACCCATTGGTTTTATACAGTTCGAATAGTTCATAATATGTTGGAAAAAATAAGTGTTAAGTATTACATAGCTAAAGCATATGAGTAATACTGCATCAATTACAAAGCAAAGCTCCCACCCTTAAAACATTCCCTTCCGTTTCCTGTACAGGTGTATAATATTGAGAAAAAAGCATTGTCTGTGTGGGAGAAAGATCCTGACAATAAATCTGAGAAGACTAAACATCCTTCATTTGATTCAACAGAGAATAGTAGACCCAAGAAGTTAGCTTCTAAAGATGAGCTGTCTATAGGTAAGGGAATTATGATATATTATCATAGTTAGATTTGAATTCACTTTCTGTTTTGCAATTTACCACCTTAAAGTGTCGATAATCTACTGAGATAATTTTTTTTTGGGTGTTTTACATACCTTCAATCTGAATTTGACTGTTGAAAGCAACCACTGACCATGAAAAACTACAATTTTTTGGGAGAATCAGAATCTTTTTGGTTTAGTGTAGCTCGCATGATTTATTGCAACATGGGTGAGGTAGTTAAATGATTCTAGTGTAGCCAAATTCAGCGATCTAGTTGCTATGCCATCTCGTATCGCAGCTTAATCATAACATTGTGAAAAAGTATTATGCAATTTCACCTTAGCGTCTGATCATGAACTTCGCTTAAAATTGATCATGTATAGCTAAGCATTGCTAGGATTTATCAATTCAAATAAAGAGTCCAGCTGCACACTAACACAAATGTATTTCTGTAACGTTTCGTCCGACCAGAGTCAGACTTCCTCAGACAAGCAGTTTACAACAATGGCCAATGCCATTGACGAAACGTTACAGAAATACATTTGTGTTAGTGTGCAGCTGGACTCTTTAATTGGATAGAATAGTAATGTTTATTCCAGCTACAGTATCCTTGCAGTATACGCATACGAATCCACTAGCATAAAGGCATAGAGAAAAGATAGGAAGTTAGTCTCGCGCAACCCAACTCAAATTTATTGCTAGGATTGTTGTCTTAATACTTGAGTATATTCTTCAATGTGAAAAACCCATTGATAAGTTCATTCAAGAGATATCCTCTTTTAGCAGATGAATCACCTAGTGCAAAATCACCTGAAAGTGAGCACCATTCATCTCCTCCTCCACCCTCACGATCTGAAAGTTCTATTGCTGAAGAAATTTCTCAGTTGAACAGTGAAACAAACAGCAGTATATCTGCCATATCTCCTGAACAGAATAATGAAAAACAAAGGTATTGTTGATACGTTTACATATAGTAATTTTGAGCTATACCTTATCAAAGTTTATTGGTATATGTATTATATCTTCAAAATATTGGCTGAACGATAGTGCAGTTACAAATGTTTTATTCAGGCTTCCGAGTTGGAGGAGCATTCGCAAATGATTCAGACTTCTGACTCTGCGTTGTAGAATATTTTTAAATCCGACTTCATATCTGAATTCATAGAAAATAAAATCTTGACAACAAAAATTTTTGTATTGAAAAGTATGAAAGCTGTTAATAAACTACTGAGGACGCTTATGGAATTTAGGTACAAAATTTTGAAAAAAGTTAGTCATAAATGTGTGCGAATATTCAATTTGTTTTGGAGTTTTGGACATCTTTGGTCTTGTCTTCATTTTTAACAATCAATTTTGAAATTTGAAATTTTTCAACAGATATCAGGAAGAATTGAGTGATGGTACTAATGCAGAATACAGTCAATCGTTCGAATCTCTCACTGCGTCACAAAAATCGCCTCGCTCACCTAAAAGTCGCAGCGAAAAGAGCAAAGTTCAGAAATCAAAACCAGCTAAATCAACGACTAAAGTTGAAGATAGTTCTGAAAGGTTTATATCCATTGTATCAACTTTAGTTTCAAAAATGTATTATATAAGAGAAGACAAAACTTCATGCATAAAAATATACAGGGTGTTAGAATGCAAAATTCACAGAAGTTAAGGTGAAATGCTACTTAAAATTCAACTACTGACACCTTTTAACAGTATTGAATTACGGTGAAATGCCATTTAAACATTTCATAACTGACACTTTTTAACAGTTACTTTTTTAATGTTGCCATGGCGAAAAATTTCACTTCGATTTTGTGTAACTTTTGTGTAACACCTCGTAGTTTGCGAGTAATCATTCCAGTTTAGTGTTGCCTGCACAATTTATTTCACCCTGGGTGAGATGGTGGTCTCAGGATTTGGACCCGCATATTATATGATGACATCATAGTTGTGTCCAAAGCTTTAACCGCTTGTATTAGAACTAGACAGTACTCAAAGCAACATTTATTATAATCATATACCAGTGTGGCAATATTGACTATTAGATGATGACATTGCTATACTTTTGAGTTTGCAATTCAAATTTAATCTTCAAAGCTTGAAAAAATATGAAAAAGATTGAATTTTCATAACGAAGTAGGGTCAAGAAGAAAAATAGATTTTTTAGTAATGGTAATATCATATTATATTTCCAATGGGAACACTGCCCATCTAACATCACATTCGATTTAATATCCTTAGGGACTGAGAGGTCACATGATCTGTGGATGATGAAACGAAATCTTCATCAGAGTGTATTGGAATTTCTAGATAACAGCTGCGCCAAGCAGAGCGTTTATTAATCTCACACGTCGTCATCATTGTATTCATGCCTTCACATAGATGTACCTGAAATACTAATGGAAGCATTTAGCACTAGGATTAAATTCTTTGTGGCATAAAAATATTATAATGCAGCAGTCTAAATGGAATATTAATACTTTTACAGATCTTCATTAGATAGAATATAAGACTTTTAGTGGCTTCTCAAGTTGTCTGGATAGAAAACAGGGCTGTTGTAAATGCTTCAATTGATGATTGAATTATATAAGTTGATATAATTTGATCTCATTATGCAATTCTTTTTAATTAAAATTTAATATCTATGTACAATTAAGTCCTTCATGATGTAGAAATGAACTCAAATATTGAGTAGCATAGTCTTTTAATATTGGAGCATACATTGTGCCTGAATGTTTTCAGTTCTGTAAATTGGTCAAGACAAAAAGATAGAGATATGATTGGTTTCCAGATAGTCTGCTATATTAGTAATATCATTAATTTTTCCATCCAGTAACAGAATGACAATTTTGAGGAATTATATTGCAGATATTTCGAAATACTAATGTTCAAACATTTTTATATCCAAACATTCAAGCATGAGAAAGATTAATGCTATATAGATTAATCGGTACTCCCGTAGTATGTGAACCAAGATGGCGGACACCGGAACGTAGTATGTGTACCAGGTTAGGGTTAGGCCATAATTTTATTCCAATTGTCCTTAATTTAGTTCTATTACGAGTTCGGAGACTAGCCAAGTGACATCCGTAGTACCTGTACCTGAAATTATGGCCTAACCTGGTACACATACTACGGGAATACCGATTAATCAGACATAAATCTCCTCTGAAATGAAACATGTTGGAAGTCTGAGCACTTCAAAGTGTTAGTACATATAGACATATATGAACAATTGTTAGAAAGCAAAGTTCCGAATAATAACCATTGAACTTAATATGAAAAGTCAACTTTGATATTGTATTATCAATTTTATTTTTTAGTATGTAGAATATTTTCCTTCAAATTGTTTCTAGCCACTTGGTCTTTGTATGTTTTAAATACTATCATCATGTAGTGGATTATATGTTTTATTAATGTCTGGATTCTGGAGATGGTTTTCTTGTTGCATGCCACAAAAATGGAAGATGTAATTATTTTTAAGTATTTTCTGTCCGAAAAAATTATAGTTTTATGGTTATTCACTTGTATGACCTATTCATACACTTTCACTCTGAACAGGGCTCTGCATAAGCAACATTTCTAGGTAGAGAGCTACTGTAGATTTAAAGGAATTTTCCTGGTAATATTTGAGGCTTAACGTATAAAGCAGAGGTTCCCAAACCAGGGGTCGCGACCCCAAATTGGGTCGGAGTGATAAGTAGGTAGGGTCGCGAACAGGTCAGTGGGGTCGCTGAGGTATGATGGAGGATGGATGTACAAATCATCTAAGATTTGACAAACCACGTTATATTTAGCAGTTTGTAGCATGGCTTACTGTGAAACAGGCCCATAAGCATCGCTCTATGTTCATGCTATAGAAAATGTACGTGCTTATTGTGACATCACTGTTTGGTTTTAGCTTATTTTACCTCATAACACAACATTACCAAACTCAAAAGTCCAGTGAAAGAAACTCTAAAGTTTCATGAAAAATATCGACCTGGGGTCGCACTGGACACTTGAAAGTTGTCCTGAAAAAACTTGGGAACCCCTGGTATAGAGCCTTGGTTGAATGAAAGGTTTAAGTAACAAAGTCTAAATAGTTCACCTAATACAGGGTGTGGAACAATTTTTGTTGGCGGGCCATTTAACCAACTTAACTCACTCAAGAGAACCCATAAATTTCTTAATTTCTTCAATTATGAAAAAACTTAACTGTTTTTGTGTCATTTTACCCTAGGGTGCTTTGCACAAAAGTTATATTCTCTCCAGAATATGTTCCAAATATTCTGGGTACTGTCATGCTCAATATATGTGTAATATTTACTTTTTTTAGAAAACCTGGTGACACAAGTCCTTCAGCTACATCTCTTCTTCCAACAAAATCAAGAGATGAGAAGCGTCCGATACTGACTTCAAAGAAAGCTACAGGACGAGAACAAGAATCTGCTTTACAAAGAAGAGAATCTGCGGAAAGTTGGTCCGATGAATCTTTCTCTCAAACACAATCTGAAACTGAACAAAGTGATATAGAGTGTAGAGTACGAGCTTTGAAGGTTTGTTGTTTTAAAATCTTCTTCTTGAATAAGGAAGGCACTCAGCAGGCAATTTTCAATTTAATGTACTGGGTATCAAGGGTCAATATCATGCTTAGTTAACTTTGCCTTTGGGTAGGTTATGACTGGTACTGTATTTGGGGAAAAGGCTTCTTCACTCAGCTATACAGTCGAATGAAATACAAAGTCTGTTGAGATGTTTGAATCATATGTAACATTTCAAACTTTTACTTTAGCAAGAATCATCTCAGTTGTCAAATGATAAAGTTTTAACAGGCATTTTTCCGGCTCTGGTACCACTTTGCCAAGTTTTTTTCTTGAAAAAAAATTAATGGGCTATTATATACCTACAAACCACTTCTACATTTCTAGCACCATAAAACATACATTATATTGTATTTGGTGTCTTTGCACCTTTTATGAGTTTAGCATATAGGATTAGTGTTAACCAATTTTTCAGAGTTGAGGTGGCCACAAAACCATTGTAACATTTGAGGGCATGATGCCCTCATTATAGTTTAATAATTGCTTTCCTATGTTATAAATGGATATATCAAATCAATTCCCAGGAGACGCGCTATGTTGATCTGATGCTAATGCTCTGTCAAAATAAAACAATCATGTGCTCAAGTGTGATGGCCTATTGATATAGCTAAAATGTGATTTTTGAGCGCATTTTGTGAACAAATTATTGCCGGCTAATTTTATTAAAAAAAACTCTAAGATGTGTAATCTAAACTTTTAGGAAGAATTAAAACGCAGAAGATTGATTGCTGAACGCTTGAAAAAAGAACAAAAGCGTCGACATAAAGATCGTCTCAAAGCTCAGGAAGCAAGCTTGAGAAGTCAAATTGAAGTTTGTACTTTTTTTTATATAAATAATACCAAAATGGAATAACTTCTTTTGCCATATTTTACTATATTTCGTAAAATGGTATTCAATCATAAAATGGTTCATCTGTGAAACGGGTCAAACAGAAAACTGACATCAATAACAGCACATTTAGATCACTTTTAAAAAAAAAAAAATTGTCAATCTGAAATAAAACTAATATTTATTGAAAAGATGTTTTCAAAAATCAAGATAATAGAATTTATATTTGAAAGTTGAATTATTCCAGCAAAATTTCCTATTTTTTGGTGAAACGTTGATTTATGCCAAATTATATGGAAGAAACTTGATCATAATTATTTTTTCATATTTTGTGGATTGAATACTAAAATATTATTTAGTTATTTCGAGATAAATGAATCTTGATTCACTGCTATTTTACACAATCTTTTCCATGTTTTTTGTTAGACTGCTTTGTTTGCTATTTATGGATATATTCTAGAAATATGATTTGATTAGCCTGACTTCAACTAATATCTATCTTGATTCTAACTTTACATTCAGGCATATGATGTCTTCATCCAAAAAACACAAAGCGAGCTCACACAAGAGTTAGATCATCAATTGAATACTAATGCATCACACACGGCCGTATCTAAACCTCAGATCAGAAGTCCAAGAAAAAGCGATCAGGCACGACAATCTGCCAGGGCGATAAGATCAACGACAGCAGCAGTTGTTTCACCTGAAGCCTCACCTCGATCTGGTTATCAACGACCTCATGTTCTCGGAAAACATAGAACGGAATCAGAAAGTAGCGGAAAGTGAGTACCTTTGTGTGTTTGATATTGAAATATCTTTTACTATAAATCATTGACGTCCTACACTGATCGAATTTACAAATCAATTTCAAATTAGCTATATTTAATTGGCAATGTACCGAAATATCGTTATCAATAGGCAAAATGCAGCTATTTTACAGATTCAGATATTTTTCTGTGATGATATCATATTCAAAGCCCTAACTATTCTACGCCAGGGGTGCGCAACCTGCGGCTCGCGAGCCAAATGTGGCACACAAGAAAAAATTGTGCGCCCGTAATGCAATGCCAATGTTGAATGGTGGGCCGCTCGCGAAACAAGTTGTTAATTTAGTTTAATCTGGTATGGGTGAGTAATTCCAACAGCTAGCTTGTGCTTACATCACATTTCAACGCAAGATCGATTAGCGAAATTTTTGTGCCTGCAGCTACTAGAAAGCCCATGTTAATTAAAGGGCGGCCTTTTTGCCCAGTTATTGGTATCTGGCCCTCTTGTATTACAGGTGGCACACCCCTGCTATAAACCATCGCACCTGCAATAGCGAAGTAAAACATGTGTCAACATTGGCATCGCCAACTTGTTCTCTGTTGTATAGGCAGATGAATGTTAATTAATATTACCTGTGTATATCTTATTCTGAAAGAAAGCTCATACATATTGAAATTCAACAAGTAGCAAGATATATCAATATAATAATATTCAGCAATTCTTGCATTTTATTCAGATCAAGTAGATCCTTGAGCTTCGATGACGAGGAGAAAACAGATGAAGCTGCGACACCAAATGGGTCAACAAAATCTTTCCCTGGTGTCGTCGCACCTTTACCATCCAAACACCAGGAAAAATTATTACAACTTCACAGCGGCATATCTTCATCTCAACACGATGGTACCATCAGCACAGCATCAATACCAACCGATAAAAGCTCGGAGAAATTGAAACGAATCGATCTCACAGATTCAGCAGCTACTCTTTCCAAATTATCGGGGCAAGTTCAAACCCCAGTTGAGGCTTCCGTAACCATGCCAACGCCGGGTGTTGCTATCGATAAACCAAAAAGCTTGATACCTATACCTTCTAAATTACCATTATCTTTGTCAAAATCAGCACCAGTTATTTCAACCACTCCGACTTCATCCAGTTTACAACCTTCTCCGAGTGCTTCAGAGCAGAGTGCAAAACTCTCGAAGAAATCTTTAATTCCGATACCGATATCTTCAAGTCTGGATCCTTCATCAGTGGTTGCTAAACAAAAGGTTTGTCCTACTTTAAAAATATTAAAAGAAGATATTCAATACAAAACTCATTTTTAGTTACGCATACATAGCATAATTTCAAAAAAGTTGCAATTAGGCGAATTACATCGAGATAACTTGGCAAATAATGCCAAATCTGCTCATTCAAGATGATGAAGCTTAAACAACCTATTAAGTTTGTAAAAAAGAATAAAAATGTTGGAAAAGCTAGTAAAAACTAATGAATAATCATCACAACTACTAAAGTGAGGAGGTTGCCATCTCTCGACTAGACTAGCAACAGTGACTATTTTTCCGACTAAGGAAAAATTCCTACCTTAATGCAAAACATTGCTTTTCATAATGGGAGTTGACTTTCTATCATATGATGTTACTCTCTTGGGAATACTCAAATACAAATATACAACTAACAAGTATTTCTTATCACTGACAGCTTTATGTTCTTGTTTTCGAATTTTTTTTCTAGAATAACTCATTTTCATAAAAATTTACATTTTCAAATTTACTTTTTCTAGGGCAAATCAGATTTAAGTCCGTCTTCATCTTTGGGAAGTGAAAGAAGTTTAGAATACAGTGAACATTTTGAATCTGAATCCACAAAGACAAAAGATGTGAGTGGCCATATCGATCTATTGGGAATTGGCATTCATTGAAAGTTATTGTTTTTATGTCTTTCACAGAGTTTATAATACAAGAATGTAATTGATTTAGCATTTTCATAAGTAAATGCACGTTTTATATGACAAAAAACGACCTTGTTTCGAATTGTTGTTTCAGTTCACTTTTACTATTATGCCCAACGTGGAAAACTAAACCTTGATTCCTTCTAAAATTCTGAATTCAATTAAATCAAAATACTGTACTTTATATTTCAGGATGATTCAATTGAAACTGATGAAAATATAAGCGAACACTTCAGTATAAATTCATCTGCAACATCAAGTGATAAATCAGCTGTGTTATTCAACTTACCTGCTCACGAAGAAACTAAGGTAGTTGTTGATTTTATTATTGTGTATTTTAGTGTTCCTTGCCGGTCTATGGCAAATTTACATCCATTCCGTATCTTGAGTCATTTAGAAAATATCACCTGACATAGGGTTAACAAATGCTCTGACTCTTGCTTTGAACTTCTAGGAAGCCAAATTTTGATAATGAAAACTTTGGCATGTGCAAGTCTCAATTTATTTTGTGTTGACTGAGCTTAGTCACCCTAATGCTTTTTATCGATTTCTGTTAAAAATTCTCACTTTGATTGTCACCAATAAAAACTTTGAAGTTACGACCCCAGAGTTTGATACTACAACTTCGAGCTTTGACTTTGGCTCCACAGCCCTGGTTCAAAAACTTCATGAACTTCAATTGAAAAACTAGCCATATGCAGTTATAACTGATTCTTTATTGAGTTGTTCTGAAAATAATTTTATTCAAATATAATGACATTCTACAATTAGGTATTGAATTGATTTTGGTGATCCGAATGGATTATCCACATCAAAATTCACTGTATTATTAGCAACTTTTATAAAAGAAACAGTAGCTCAAATCATCTAAATGTAAACTATTCACCAAAGACTCCTTATGGTATCATGTATAAACAATAAAATACCTCATTGCATAAAGAAAGAACATAAAATATAATTGGAGTTATTCTTCTTATTTCAGAAATCTCTAGAACTAAACAAGGAAGACAGTCTACAAAGCGTTGAAGATTTTGAAAACGACCAACAAGACAATGATGACAATGAAAAAACTCCTGTAATGTCCCCTGCACATACACCTATACCATCATCACCTAGGGATGCTTTCCCGTTTCAAGAACAAAGTACGTATTATTTAAGCGAAAGATAAAATAAAAACTGATTCAATTTTTATAAATTATTGTTATTATTACCGTTTTCTTGCAGTCGATGCTCCATTTCATATAGGAGATACTGTTTGCTTAGCGGAACGGGAGAATGGAATTGTACGTTTTGTTGGGAAAACATCATTTGCTCCTGGAATTTGGGTCGGTGCTGAATTAAAAGGGGCAAATGGTAAAAATGATGGATCTGTGGACGGTGTCAGGTATACTATTTATCTTGTAATGCCATATTGTAGTAGAACACTTAGTTTTAACTCATGACATCATTTCGCTATACATTTTCGCTTTACATTTTTAAAATTCTTTAATGGTCAGTTTGCTAGTGGACAACCGCAATATGCACAACTCTTGGCTTTTGTACACTTCGAAATGTCCATAAATATGTATTACAATAATATTACATGCAAATCCAAGTCGAATTTCCTCTTTAAAATCAATAATTTTTTAAGGAGTAATTCCTCTCAGGTAGAGAAAAGCTTACCTAGGGTGTTGTAAAAACGAGTATACTTGCTGATGTATGAAAAATTGGACCCAATGATGATTACTTACATGTTAATTTTCTTATTTTGCTTTGAAGGTATTTCACCTGTAAACCGAAGCATGGAATATTTGCACCAATTGCAAGAGTTTCTCTGGTTTCATCAAAATCAAAAATCGAAGCTGGAATCAAGGTTGGCATAATAGCAATGTTATCTTTACTTATTGCTTTAAAGTGATATTAATAGCAATGAATTTTTCTCCTGCATTCTAAATTTAATTGCCGATTTAAATATAATTTCTAACAAAATAAAAATTCTATCAATAATTCTTTAGGATATTGTGAAAGACGACATAGAGAAAGATGAAAAACTCTCACCAAAAGATGAAGAACACTCACAAAAGTATGTATTCATCAGTTTAATCCCATAATTGACCAGATGCCATATGTATTTTAGATTTTGATCAAACTGATTATATTCTTGTCATTTTTAGTGCTGTTTTCAGAGTCTTAGCAAAAATAGGATTTTAGGTCGGTATTTTTCATATTTTATCATGGTGGAGAGAAATATGACAGAATGGCTCGATCACATTCAGAGACGTAGTCCGCCACAGCCAGTCTGTTTGAAAAGTTGTCGAGTATTGAATTAGTTTATTTGTCTCTGATGCACGAACTTGACAGTGAAGGAGTTGTAACCTACCGTCAGTTACATGAACAACCCTCACGCACAATTTTTTTTCGATGTTTGAACTTGAAACTTTGTACAGCCTAATCAGAGATGCTATGATATGTGCATTCCAATAAATGCTAATCACGATACAACATCCTTTGAGATAATTGAGAAGCGAAAGAAACAATGAAATTTATAGGGAACAATATTTTGTTACACATGTCGACCAACATCGTCTCTTAATATTGTTATTGTCCACTGTTATTCAAAAACTATTGGAAAATTTTTCAATTTAATTATTTTTTTCTCATATAATTTTATATCATTCAGAGACTTGAAAGATGACAATGATGATAAAACTGCAATGAAAGAACCAGTACTAAGAAGTGATTTTGATAGAAATAGATTGGCAGAAGAACTTGGTGATAAACTACTCAACTCATTGCTGGAGGTTGTTGTCAATATTCTTTGAAATTTTTTATACCATGGTTATTACACTTGTTTTCACAAGTTGTCACACATTAAATAGTCGGCAATTATTATTAATAAACCTTGAAAATATTTTTTTTTTTGATTTTGACGATATTGACTCAATATAAAGTCATTTTCATTGTTTTGTAGGATTCTGTGACACACATTTTGGAAAGTCATACAGACAAACAACAGAGACTCTCACATGGTAACGAAAATTTATCACCTGAACAAGAACCAGAGGTATGTGATAAATGTTTTTGGATTGGAGTTATTTAATGAGCGGGTCACCAACTTTTCAAAATCATAATGCATTTACATTCTACAAAATGAATCACATCTATTGGGAAAATTTTGACTTTATTATTAACATTAAATTACAACAAGGAAAAGCTTTAATTAATCCAATAAATGAGCTTGCTGATGTTCGATATAGCCTCCATATTATTTATATACATACATATACTCCTCCATTAATGTTAACTTTGATAGATTTGAATATTTTTATCAAGTTCTTAAATCTTGGGGATAAGAAGGGATTTTCGTGAAATTATGATTTTGAGGAGTCGCGGCGTGCAGTTCGGGAACTACTCTGGGACCACAATAAATAAAATTTAAAATATTTTTTTGTAGAATGATTATAATGGGAAATGTTCAACAATTCCAAATACGCTTTGTTTCTTTATAAAAACGTTACATTGTTATTCTAATTAGGAGGAAAAGCAGGATCTGGAAGATGCTGGAAAAGCTAGTGATGATGAAGATAATGTTTTGCTTTCTGCCTCAACTAAGCAATTATTGGAAATGTTGTCGTCTAGTCCTGAACAAGTTGAGGAACCAGAAGAAAAGGTTTGTATTTGTTATTATTAGTAATTAGATAATTTTTGTTATTTTTTCATTTTTTTTTTATTTGGATTATAAGGGAATCTCATTTTATCAATCATTTGGAATAATTAAATTTTTTCTTGATTTTTGTTTTTTTTATTAGGAAAAATTCACCATGATTTGATATGATTTTTTAATATCACCTTTTGAAAATTATGTATTGGTAATAAAACATTTCAAAAAAATACCCAAAATTAGAATATTATACTTAGTAAGGTTAGTTAGTAATTTTTTCATGCAGAATTCAATACAAAAATTTTCGTGATGTAACAAAGTTGATTCTCATTGTTATTTATAATAAACAATGAACAATAATTATGATATTAATGAAAATTATTAAAAAAAATGAGAATTTATGTCTAATTTTTTTAGAATGAACCAAACGAAATCACATCCCATGAATCATTAGCTGATACATTCACTGGAGATCTTCTTAAAGACACACTTATTAAGGTATACTGTTGTCTTAATCGTGAGTCGTTTGATGAATTCATTCTTGACGCAGGGTGACTTTTTGATTATGACTATTCTTCAGCTATCTTTCAATTGGCCTTCATGCCCGTCTGAGTATTTTTCAGATTTTAAATGGACTTGTAACCAGACTAAAAACCTTGTACCTCATTGGTTTTCCTCTCTACAAGTTAATTTTGGAAACCTAACTATGAATACTGTCTTACGAAGAACAATTGTGTAATTTGATTATTTCGATCTTTTGAACCTCTGGAGTATGTAACCAATAGGGATTTATTTGGAGCCCTTTTCAGAGATGTTTTGTCAAGTTGTATAATTTTGTGTTTGTTTTGATTTTTTTTAAATATCTCAAAGCAACACTCAGTAAACAATTTATGCAAAAATCTATTATACTAAATTTTTGACTGATTCTTAGTAATTATATCATTTTTTTTATTTCTGATTAATAAATTTATCTTTTTTTTTTATCTTAATATCCAACCGAATCAATATTTTGATAAACTATGAAATGTTAACTCATACATGTTCGTGATGTAGGTTCTGGAAATACGAAGGCAGAGAGTCAAGAAATGGCAACATATGGAAGAAAATGAAGAACAACCAGATAAAACATTTGAGGAGGTAGTTTTGTTTACAAAGAATTCTCAATACAGAATTTTTTGTCATATTTACATGACTAACAACAATATGGAGGTTTTTTTGAGGTTCAATTGTAATACACTTTTTGAGTTATCTCATATTAAACACAAACAATATCCATATCCAAGATTAGCTACATTTTATACTTTCTTGTATGAGCTGTAATCACATCTCCACATTAAACAAGGATCTGTGAAAGTTATCACTGATACCCCCAAAAAATACTATTTTCAAAGAACATAATCTTTCTGTTTTTTGTATTACCTACCCAATTTATTATATCCCAGGTGAGCGTGTTACTAGCCAGTAGTAATCTCAGTAGTCATTATTGAGGTGTCTCATTCAATGGCAATGCTGTTTCTGTAACAAAATCAGCCAATCTATGAGTTTTGTTATAGCATGGAAGTGTTATGAAACTTCAGTTATAATGATATTTTGACTATGTTGCCCTATGCAGTTTAGAATAGTGGGTTTGGCACCCAACGTGCCGTGTCACACGATATGTATGTATGAAGTCGACCATTCTTCGAAGGTTATTATTGTTTCATATTTAGTAAATGTACTGTGCTTCTTATTTTCCATATAAGCCCCTTCCGAGAAGTATAAATAAAACTCGAAAACCAAATATCTTTCCACTCTCTAGGATTCTAAATTAGATGATGGACATGAGGTTGAAGATATTCTTGAAGCCAAAAACAGAAATTCAGAATATATTGAGGATGAGGAAAAAGATAGTACAACTCCTGTTCGTCCAGTCTCTCCCATATTTGGAACAAGCCAGGTAAAAAGATTTTTTTCTTTATTTTTCCTTTTCAATTTTTTAATTAGCTAAGAAAAAAATTGTTTCGATTTTTTCAGTATTTTTATGTGTTAGAATACTTTAGACATAAAGAAAATGCAAACGCGCTGTATCAGCCATAGTCATCGGCCATACCTTTACGAATAGGATAAAGACTCGTAAAAAATGTAGAATAGCTTTCATTATTGTCTTTTGTTCTATCAGGATGATGGTTTGGATGAATGGTTTGAAGATGACATCGGAATAACTGGATTTCACAAAAAGAAACCGACAATTAGTAAAGATGATGTTGATTTTACAGGAGATGAGGATGACTTGTGGCAGGTTTGTAAAGAATTTTGAGTTGAGTGATGTAATGTTCTACATATGTATCTGCCATTATATCTGTGAAAATTAACTTGTAATTAATTTGCTGATCAATAACACTGCTATATACTGACAACAACATTTAGAAATGCACTTGTTGTAGCGCAGGTTCTAATCTCATGGGAGATAACTTTTTATGTCTTCCTCTCAAAAGACTCTGGATAAGCTTTCACAGTATCTAACGATATGTAAAGAGCCTTTATTGAACTTTCTGAACTTCTGTGTTTGTTTACTATTTTGAAATTGTCTTACAGGATGGTCGTCTTATTGAAGTATTGTCTGGACGAACAGAACCTGTTCCACCTCCAAAATTTGTTGTTCCTCATAAACCTGGAGTTATACTAAAACTTGTGAAAGAAGCAGTAAGTAGTGTCATGTCTTCAATCGACTAACTATTAGTTTTTAAATATAATCAGTGTAAAATCTTATTTATTTTGATGAAGATTTCTATGCTCGACCTAATATTCCATAACTGCGGTTTTTAAGACTATTTAGTGTTCATTTGCAAAGAAAACATACGAGTCCCACTCCACATACCCCCTTAACTTTCTGTCAGAAATTTAGACTTTGAATATTACCATTAGAAGAATTAAAATCTTGACCTGACGGAATTAAAAAAATTTCCTCCAGTTTGAAAATACAGCTTTAAGTACAATATCAATAAAAACTTGTCAAACTAGGATACCACAGCCCTGCAGACATATCCTGCATTCTTGACTGTTTATGTCTTTACCGTGTTTTTAGAGTAAAGAAAATAACTCTTATTTTCAGACAAACTACTATTATTCCAAGTTTCTTGGAGGAGAATTGCTAACAGACACTCAAATTCCTGATTTCCTTTTCAACGTTTCATCCGATGATTCTTCCAAAGATGAAAATTCCGATAAAGAAATTGATGAGGAAAAGAAAGAAGCCGATCTAAACGCAGATCACATATTCAAGACAAGTCTCTTCGACATGGTAATTTTGGTTACTGCTGGCTTTCGTGAGAATGCGATTGGCCCAGTCACAGTATTCGTAGACACTATACCAGTAGATATTTTCAGGGTGGACTGTTTCAAAATTTTGTGAAGTAGTTTTACTGGAGTGAAATTCAGGTAGGTAAAAGAGTATGGGAAAAATACACCCGACACTCCTGAGTTGATAAAAATTATTTGACTTCCTCTCGTGAATTCTAATTTAAATAAATTCTGACTTTGACTCCCGCTGCAAGTCTTCTTTAATTGCCCTTCGAAAACGCTTAGTCAAGTTACTGCTTTTTGAAATTTTAACTTCTGGCTCAAGAAATTTTGAAATCGCAACTCGCAATTTAGTATGACAAGTTCTCTATATGCCTTATAAAATTCTCAAATTCTGTATATTACGCGAGTCTTGTTAATGACAGGGTTTTACATATTCGTACCAAGGTTTACTGGAAATAACATTAATGTTATGATTGCTTTACAAGCTCTGTCTCTTAGATTGCAATTCTTTAAAAGACTGATAATATACTCTATCCATCCTATTGTAGGTTCGAGAATTGATCACCGAAATATATAACATCAAATCTTCAACTGAGGAAAACTTGAAACGACCATTATGGCTTAAAAAGAAGACAGTATGTCGGCCATCATATTGCAGAAGGATGCCAGAAACTGAAGATGTAAATATAAGTCTATTAACAATTTTTCTGTACTGTGCTCATTTGATTACATATTACAAAACTTCGCTTGCTGTCTTAATTACTGCAAAAATTTGCTAACTTCCTGAAAGTTGATTTCTCTATAATTCAGTGACTATCAACCTGTTTATCACTTTCTACTATTTTAGCAAAGTTTGTTACGGCTGCCTTTGTTCATTGTCAACTGGCTGTTCAATGTTTGGCGAAATAATAGATAATTCACAACGAATATCCGATTGAAATTCAAATTAGATTAGTGTATTAGATTAGGCAATGCTGGTATAGTTTTTGATTGTCATAGGGATCCTCTCTATTCTTATTGCCGATTATTTTATTCTAGGAGATTGTGAAGATTGTCAGCAAGCAGGTTTCCAAACTGTTAAATTTAAGCAATGATCCTCAGAAACTCGATCCAAAGATAACAATGAAGTGGGGCAGTCGAAGAAAGAAGGATAAAGTCGATCTCATCTTGGTAATATGGATAATTGTTTGGTTGAAGGCTTCATCTTTTTCTCTTCCTCTTACCCTGAAATGACCTCTGCTTCAGGCTCAAATGACACATGGCTGCTTAATAATAACAGGGATTACTGAAACGTATTAATTTGAACTACCGTAATATTTTCAAATATGGAAATTTCAAATATACTTTTCAAGTTGGCCAAGTTTGACAAAGAATTCTTAAAAGTCTATTTATTAGGTTATTTAGAATCTAGATAATTTACAATATTTAATTTGACTTTTGTACATTTGTGCTCTGAAGAACCAACTGACTCGTTGTTGACTTCACAATATGGTATTCAATTGACTCTCAAGTTGGTTCTGACCCTAATTTAACGTTTTTTATATTAGTTTTCATTGATTTTCAGATTCAAGAACTCAGGGAGGAAGAACCTGAATGGACGAATTATGATGAAGACGAAACAACAGTAAAAATGCAGTTGACTGATACTGTTTTAGACATGTTGGTTTCAGACACTGTACATTGTCTGAATAACATCCAACAAAAAGTAACAGATAGGAAAACTAAGGATGAACATAACGACCATGATCCAGAAGAACGCAGCCTGTGAATTTTACAATCGGAATATTACAGTGTCAAAAATAACTTTATGATAATGCGTAGCACCCGTAGCATGCGTTTATACTACATTAAAACTGATTCTGATCAAAAACGCAAAAAAAGCTCACAAATACATTCAGGTATAAAAATGCGAAACTGTACAATTAAACTTGAATGCACGTTCTTATGAATTCTTTCAACACAAGGTTGGTCCAAAAATATGTAGTTTAACATTTGACCCTTCCTATGATGAACAAATAGGTTTAGCGTGGCTATCTCAGTAAAACCCATTCTAGAGTTCTTCATCCAATTTTCACTGTGAGAGAGATCATTTTGTATAAATAGCTCATCTGTATCATTTGTAACGATTGTTACAAAGATCACGTTTTTATCTTTTCATAAAGGCTTTGGCTTCATAGTTAGAAGATTTTTTTGTATGCCTAGATTTGAGAAATATGTTATTGAAACTATTATTTGGTTCATTGCTTTATTATCGCTTAAACATTTTATACAGTGCCTGTATGTGTCAAAATTTGTATGAATTTTAATATAGTTTTGTACAACTGTTACAAGGTTTGTTACTGAAAATGATTTTAAACTTCAATGGAAGCTGCGTTGGGAAAATAGTTTGTTGCAAAATTGGAATGCTGGGTACGGCACACCAAAAAAAGTGCTAGATTTGCTTAGTACCACGTCTGCGCAGTGCGAATTTCATGTTTAACAAGGATATCCTTAGTCATATGTTATGCAGTTGGTGAAGTTATGCCGGACAACTTTATATATATTAATTGTTTCAGTCTCTGGGAACTAGCGCAAGCATAGGATATGGCGACATTCCAGACAGCGCGGTAATTTTATATAGTATTGCATTACAATGTGTCAGGTCTTCTCACCTTGATGATCACCAGTTACTGTATGTATGAGTTTTCGACTACATAATCAGCATAACAGGCAATAAATTGATTGATGGAAACAAATAAGTAATATCTGTAAGTGAGTTAGAATAGCAAACAAAAACTTAAATAGGGTTTAGAACGTACAGAATATAAGATGGAAGATTTTTCCATGGTTTTTCCATACGTGTTGACTTACCTAAAGGTATTTCACACACGCACATTCAGCCATAGAGAAATTATTAAGTAAAAACGCCATGAACTTAAAACAAATTGCACGGTAATCAAAAATGTTGAAAATGAAAAATTACCTACCACAACCTATTAATCATTTTGTAATGGTCGCCAGTGCCGAATTGATCGATTTTCTAAACATGAGTGAACAGTAAGGAAAGTTTATATTTTAATCGTTTCCTAACCATTACTGGCAAAATCTGATTTTCTGGTGGTCAACTAGTTTGGTAGTGTTGTTTTCATAGAGCAGCAAGTCTCACAGTCCTAAAATTCTAACCCCCTGGATCAGAAATAATATGTGAAAGTTACGACATTTTTGATTAACCTAATCGTTCCGCTGATAATTTCCAACAATTTTGGTATCTTTACAAGGTACACTTAATTTCTTCGCAATTATATTTCCAAGTCAATGCATATGAAACAAATAACTGGGCCATTCCCTGTCAGAGACATGTAACCGGAAGAGTGGCTATGGTTCACCATATTAGTAATTCATATTGTCGTCTTCTCCCCCCCCCCCGCCGGGATAAATATGAAAATATCATTACATGTTAGGTCATTTCAATTTTATTAATTTCTACTATTTTTGTTTTAAAATACCGAAAAATCAAAACAAAAGGATATACGGTAGAAGTCGGATATGCCCACACTTTTACCTTGACTCCGTGACCGCAACTTGTACGCTGTTGTTGTAACCTTTGCGCAAAAGTTTTTTGATTGCTGAGAGCCGCAGCCGACTTGAAGCAGCAGAACCATGTATGAAGAGGTGAGTATGTAGACTGCGGATAAAACCCTAGTATCTTTACAGTATCTAAGTAAGGTGCATGTGGAGTTGCCGGTACCTTACCGACTGGTGTTAAAATGTTTTTTTCAGTTGGTTCTTAACGCAATCTTGGATGAGGATGTTTCGCCACAAATTTTACTTGAAAAACTCAATAATGAACTTCGATCTGGAAGCGCAGATATTCGTAGTTATGCTTGGTTTCATGGTAAAGTTCCTCGAAACGTTGCTGAAGATTTAGTCATGAAAGATGGAGATTTTCTTGTTCGTGAATCAATAACTAGTGTCGGAGATTATGTTCTCTCGTCCAAGTGAGTCCAATTTACTTTATCATAAATAGGGAAAATTGCTGTCTAACGTTTGCTATTAGACACAAAATGTCAAACATTATTTTTCAAACATCATAATTATATAAAAAATAAATGGACCAAGTATGGTAGGCTATTCGTGTCGCTTGGTCTGGAAATTTTGTCAAAATTTAAATTTATTATTCTACATAAATAGTAATTAATAGGAAGCAAATAGGTATGGAACATGGGTATGTGATTTAATATTGATCTATTTAAACAACATACAGCATACATGTAACGCTTTACAATAAATATGGGTAATGTATTAAACAAGTTGCTAGACAAATAAATGAAGGCATCATAAGTCAACCAGATTATTGAAATTACAATTTTTCGGAAACTCAGATAGTCAAATGATTTCCAAATTAAAATTTTTATAATGATATTGCCTAAAGACGCATCTGTTCCAAATGTGTTGAAGCAAAAAATATATACATTTTGGATCACTGCCTATAACCCGCCTATTACCGTATTTACTACAGGAATATTAATTGTTTGTTTGCCAAATTCCTAGCATGATGTTAGTGATTGACCTGAAATGTTTACATAGGATTTCACACTTGGGTGTAACTTGGTACTGGGATTAGAGAGTTTTCAATTTGGAAATATTATAGGAATTCGGAAACATCTCACTTTTGGGAGTGGAACTTAGTTCCAGAATAGCTGGATGAAAAATTTTGCAAACTGCTGATAAATTTAAAATAAAATAAAGAAAAAACTTGTTTTTCTTTTTAATAATGAAGCTCACAAATAGGTTTATATCAACTTGTGTGTGTGTGACTTGCATGATGATTCGAAAAATGCCTTCGTTTTCCACAAAGTTCATTTGAAGAAGAATGATTAGTTCTTATCATTAGTTCTCTTCTGCAACCATTTGCTGTGATAGGTGCTTAGGGCATGTTACGATTTGTAGGGTCCACTTATATGCGAATTTTTATAAATTCATCGTTTTAGGGCCAATTTCAGGGGGTCGGCTCATATGCGGTATATGCTTATATGTGAGGATGTGCGGTAAATTGATATAACTGAAATAATACAACATATGTTTTGATGAAATACTAGTTCCTACAAAATGCCTGAACGAAGCCAAAAATAGGAAAATACCCCGTTAGAGACCTCTTTATTCTCATCTTTATTTAAGAGCTGATAAATTGAATAATTCGTTAGTTAAATAAATTTTAAAATGCTGCAAATTGATTGGTAACTTTTAGTTAAAAATTGCTCTTATAATAGCTACCACCTTTATCATGAGTGATAATTTGATAGAAATATCAGATATTATATTTTATGCAAATCTACAATCAGTTGGAAGAAATATTTGGCCCCATAAAGTAATCTCATTTCTTACTTTTCAGGTACAAAAGTGCATACTACCATTTCAAAATCAATAAGATTACCGTTCAACATACAACAACATATTCAACTACTCAGTATTGCTTAGAACAGCATTCATTCGAATCACTTCCAGCTCTTGTGCATTATTATGTGGAACAGAAACTACCAGTTTCCAAAAGAACAGGCGTCATATTGGGACAACCAGTGAATAGATCAGTGCCTGTTTCATACTCTGATGTAAAATATGCTTCACTGCGTCGCCAACCTAAAGGAAATGCAACACAAGTTGTTTCAACTACGAGATCACCTGATGGTATAATGAATGCAGCTCAGCAGCCGACTCCTGCTGTAAGAAGTCCTGTATCACAGATTCCACCCCATCAAAGAAAAACAAGTGACCCATTACCAAATCTACCAGATTGTGGAGCTCTAAATTATAACGGACAAACTTCTCCGAATTCAAATTATCCTATGTCTCCTGGATATAGTAATACTTCTAGCCCATTTCCTTTAAATATTTTTGATAACAAGGAGAATGTTACATCTCCAATACAAAGGCAAAAGGATAATGAAGCACAGATTTGTGTTGTGAACCCAGTCACAAATCGACCAACGAGTCAGGTGGATTTGAGCATCAAGAATCATGGACAGAATGTCCCGAGATCAGGATCTGATCCAATGCTCAGTCCTTCAAATCTTAAAAGTCGTGCACTTCCTGGTTCTCATAATATGAATAACAACAACTCTAAATTCAATTTTCAGGTATTTTTTTTTACATCAACCGAGATTTCAACTTGTACTGCCATTAATTTTTAGTGGTCTAATGCTTTAAAACCAATGGGCCAACACTAATGGATTTAAAAAATTTTTTTTATGAATACTCCAAGAAGGTAAAAAAGTTTAAAAGTTAATAAAGAATGTCAATGTATTAGTAACTTGTTATTCTCTTTGTTTCTTATATTTGGTCATAATAGTTTAATATGTTTGAATCAAATTTGAATTAATAATAAATCATTCTGTAGTAAAATTCTTTTTATCGGGTCATATGTTGAAAATTTTTCGAGTCTGTCAGAAATTAAGCTAAAGTCGAGCAGGGCCTATTGGAGATAACTTTCATTATATTCCTTATAAATCTCTAAGCAATATGTAAAACTCTAATAATATGTAGGCTACTCAAAAAAACTCCAAAATAATTTTAGATGCTTTCAATTGATTTCTTAGCATAACAATGAAGAGATCGTTGGAACGCCCAAAAGGAAGCCTGTTCCACCGAAACCAAGTCGTGTTCCATCGTTGAGAAACCCAACTGTAAAAGGTCCAGTAGTTGCAGTTGGACCTGATAATTTTACCAATCGTCTAAATTCTACTAAAAATTCGGGCAAACATCCAGCTCTGACAGAAGTGCCAGAGTCTGTTGATGAAAAAGTGAAGACTAATATTAAGTAAGTATGCTAGGTTTGTTTATGATGTATTGAAAATATTTGTTTTATGAACTATACAAAAATTCAAGTCATCTCTACAATTATGGTTTGATTTCCGAATTTCATACACAATTGTTTTTTACTCACCTGGTTTTAAGGAATTGAAAAATTATGGCTTCGTACAAATAAGAAAATTTTCACTTTAGGATGTTAATTTTTTCATTTCGTAATTTTTTCTATTCAATAAACACAACTTTTTTTAGACGAATTTCAATATCTTTCACACTGTAGAGGTATTTTGTCATATTGCAGCAGTGAAAAAACTTTTCTGAAAAAATGCTAGCTATCAGACAATAAATATATTATGCTATTCAATTACAGCTTGAGAATAAAATCTTCACCTGGGAAAAATGTTAATGATGCTGCCAGTAAGCGTAAAAGAGCATCATGTTTCAAGGTATTTTTGCTTTATTCAAGATATAATTGTATTTCTCATGTGAATTGATGTAAATTATCAAATGTGCCTGTCTTATATCATTTTCGTTAACCTTGATTGAAGGGCCTCAATGGGGCTTGATTAGATTATTCTTTGAATTTTTAATTCGCAAACGGAGTCTATAGTGAAAAACCCTGCTTGGGGCCCTCAGATAATCATTCTGTGGCCCCCTAGGTGGGTCGGTCCAGGGCCCACCTTTAAAAAGCTTGCTCCGTCACATTCAGATAAAAAAATATTAGAGGCATGGTTCATTGCTGTTTAATTGCAATTACCGGAATTATACTGAATAATTTTACTTTTATTTATCGTAAGTAAATTTTCAAACTGATCACAATCTTTTTGTTTTCAAAGCCTATGCAGTATCAGTGTACAATGTTAACTAATGAGAACCCACCATTGGAACAGAAAGCACTTATAGAGCTGACAAAAATACTTCAGACAGAAGATCCTTTTAAATTAGCCAGACATATGACGGTTATTGACTGCAAGGTAATGTAATCAGTTACTCATTGATATAACATATTAATTTTGCATTCAATAGACTTACAATTGTCATTACTTTTATAACTTATAACATGGGTTGCCAACTTTTACTCTATCTTACCCCTTGGCAAATATGATAAATATTAAATATAGCCTATTACTTTCAAGTTTACTCCCAAGGTTCATTCACCCCCCGCGCATTCGGTTAGGAACCCCTGACTGATAATGAATATTCTTTCTTATTCACTATTTTTCGATTTATTCTGTTTTCCAATCAAAAGTTATAGTATATGTTTAATATCGTTGAAACTTTAGGTATGTCGAATTTTGGAAAATGATTTTGGACGAATTTTTCTTCCACATGCATCTCAACTGAGACAAGATATTATAGAAAGGTAGGTAGTGTTAAAATGGGATGATTCTTTGGATTCGTGATAAATGCAGAAGTTGATGATCTTTTTGAATTCTAAATTTTTAGGTATCAATGTATAGCTTTCTGGGTTGCAATATGTGTTGTGAAATGTGCTAATGGAAAGGATGAGCGAGCAGTATTGCTCAATACTTTTATTCAAGTAAGTATCTATAAAACTTTCAGGTGTAGGTGTTCACTTTTTTAGGTTCTTATTCTTACTGATTATTGGTAAACAAATCTCTTCTGTAAACATGGTGCAAAGGGGAATGTGGATGTGGTATTGAAAAATTGCTTTGGTCTTTTTATCGCCTTTTGTTATTTTGATTTATTTAAATGACCTTCAAAAGGCTTCAATCTTAAAATAAATGTTTTTTCTGAAGAAACTTCGAGAATGATGCTTTAATTTTTACATGTATGAAAATATTATATTATATTGAATATGTTTATTGGTTTATATTATATGTAGTAATGACAGAACTTTATATTTGAATTTAGGTTGCAAATGAGTTGGTGCATAGCATGGGCAATGTTTTTGGATTCTCAGCAGTTATGCATGGTCTTACATGCCCTCAGGTGATTTTTTTTACCTATGTTATTTTTTTTATGATAGTCAGCATTGTAAAATTAATGTGCATGTAAGGCAAATATATAAAAGTTTAGAAAAGGCTCAAATGGGAACATTTTATAACTCTCTTAAGTGGTTGGTAATACTTTGAATAGAATTTCATTTGTAAACCTTTGTAACTCCATCTCTCTGACTCGATATATTGTGCATTAGGGCTTATAGTGAGTCGATTTGCTTCCATTAGTGACCGAATCACATACTTTCTGCATTCCTGATACCTTTGTTTGACCAATGCCTTCAGTCAATACTCAACTGCATTGCTTTGTGATTAAAATATGATGTGAATTCCCCGACAGAAGCACACGAATTTACATTATGGCTTGATTTGGTGTGATAGTCTGAGATGGGAGTTCGAGCTTACATGGAAAGCTATGATAGAGCCATTTTGATTATAAAATTCAATTTTTTATGAAGTTATTATATTATTAAACAGATTTCATCATTAGAAACATCTTGGGTATCACTGCGTGCTAAGTTCACAAACAACGCGGTCACATTTGATAAAAAGTTGAGGCCATTGTTGCGTCTCTTGGATGAGGGCAAAGGACAAATTCGTGAGTGTTCATAGAAGTTGTTGTTTCAAATAGTCCTGCGAACTCTAAGAAAATTTACACCAGACTTAAGCTTCAAACCCCAGTCCGTTTATAAATTAACTCCAGACCATGTTTGATCTGATTTCTGAACAAATAAACTTTGGCCCTATTTAATTGTCTGTTGAGAATGCCCAGTCACTTTACAAATTTCAACTTCGATTAACACCATTAGAAGTCAGAAATTATGTTTCTTCCGACTCCAGTGGAGCATGGAAAAACAGTTCCATAAAGTATGGAAATGTGACTTCAGCTCTAATATCAATAAAAACATACCAACCCTCAATTTCAAACTAATGACTATGGTTATAAAGATACCCTCCTCTATTTTTGTATTCATATCTTCTCTTTTCTCTTGAATATATGTTTTATTATTGTAATACCCTGAACCTGCACCCTCTTACATACAGTGCATCGTGCATGTTATATTGATCGTCGTTCACCTCTGCCTTTATTAACATCTTTGGCAGTCATACTTTGTCTCCTCTTAGGCAAACTATTTCCTCCTATGGAATATCTTCTCACTGATGCTAAATGGTAGTTATTAAATATTTTAAGGTTTGTCCACCACATGCATACCTCACATTATGCCGCTGATCAGACTTTTGGAAAATCCAGGACCTGGAGTTCCTCACTTAGGTTCGGGTGAATCAATGTCCAAAAAATTTGCTTCGTTTGGTTCATTGTTGGATCGAATCTCACCTACAAGTTCAATTGGAAAAGAAGATTCACTGAGCTTACACAGCACTGAAAAAGATGGAGATAAGGTGAATCGAGTAATCTTACATCTGCTTGTGGCATTGCAAATATGTCATCTTCATGACATTTGTATATTCATTCTTTTGGACCATGCCAATGCATTTATGCTTTGTATCTAACTTATGCCAAGTAAATAGAATATTGAAAGTGGCATTTTTTTCAACCAGTCTGTTATTTGTAGTATGTGTCTTGACTCGTGAGATATGCATTGACATTCCTATTCTTGTGATAATTGTCGACGTTTTTTATTGGTTTAAAAAACTGCAAACTAAATTTTATATTTATTCTCAAGTTTATCTGTGAGAAAAAGTAGGATATTTTCTAAAGGATATGCTCTATAATTGCGTATTGGTCAATTGGATGATGGCATTCGTATTATTACGGTAATTATGATTTTCAATGGCTTTAGTTGCTTGGAAAGACAATGATATTCCTCCAATTTGAGCCAATTGTGGGATTTTTCTGTATAGAACAGGTTACGCCATAGGTAGAAAGTACAATTGCTTTTTAGTTCAATGTAGTGATAACAATATATAGGTAATGCCCAAAAGTATTACATTATTGGAACAGCTGAAAGGCAGGCATGAATTCTTTTTTTTCTGTTGTCAATAATGATTCTCGATATTCTGATAATTTCTCAAGCAATGCATTTCTTTTCAGACTGACTGGTGGGAAAATATTCCTGATGAAAGTTTTGATTCTCTGCTAGCACATCTTATTTCTGGTCGATCCATCTTACACAATGTAGAAAATTGCAAGAAAAATGCCAATTCAAAACTGATAGGTATATAATAATGATGATTATCATTTATTACCAAAACTGCTGCTTGTGATTTTTTTTGTCTGGTAACTTTATCACCATTATTGAAATGTTTTCACAGATTTTGTTGAGACTGAAAAAGTTCGGGAAATGTTTACGACCGACTTTCAAATGAGGATGTTATTTGGTTTCAAAAGTGCCGAGTCTCCTAGACGTGATCGCTTCCATAAATTTGATAGAATTATAACTGCAATGTTAAGGCATATTGTGGATTAATCTGTTACTAATAAGTCTTAAAAAATAAAACTTTTGCCACATTTTCTATGAATTAATTAATGCTCAATGTAATTCACAGCAGCAATTTCTGCATAGAATGCAGAGCCACAATAAGGGGCTGCCTGTATATGCCAAAATAACGAAAATATTGTGTCATTGCAGAAAATAGTCCTTTTAAAATGTTCCACCAATGTGATATTTTTGTACTGATACTGTCAACTGGTATTTAAATTTCATTTGATTAAATAGGTCATTTAAAAAATTTTCAATATCCATTGTGCTTTATATAATACTATGTAAATTTGAGATATAACGGTCAATCTTTATGTTTGGGAACTGTTGCGATTTGATTTATCTTAAAATGGAATTTTTAGCATTTTTGAATTCATATATTCTTACTATTTTTCTAAATTGTATCGGTTATCATTGTGCTCATTTGAATCTTAATTCTGATTATGGTAAAATGCTTTAATTCACGGTTCATTGTGTGGTACTTAAGAGATGTTCATATTAATATGCTGCCAATCCAATCATTTATATTTTTGTACTTTTTACATGTAGTGTGTGAAATCTCTAATCTTGCACTTACCAAGATATGTATAATATAATGATGAAAGTTTTTTAATTGTATTTCTAAAAAGCTATTTACTTAATGCATCTAACTATTCTCTAACGCAACTCATATAATTAGTAATCAATAATACAATTCATTGTGAAATTGACTGTTGATCTTTTGAAATGATACTAATGTTGGCTTTATACAAGGGTGGTATACTTAGCCAATTGCCATAACCCCTTTCATACAGAAATTAGCAGTGTTGCTTATTTTGCGCATGGTTAAATCTGCAATGAGCTTGGATTCTGCAGTGATGGGTAAAGCATATTGGGGATCTGTACACTTTCGATATACTGAATGTGGGAAGTATTTTCATATTTATGTGGAGGAAAGGAAATTAGATGCCTTTCGTCTGATTACCAGTCTAGGTCTGACCAGCGATACTATGAACCACCTGTCGAAGGTGAGCCAACCAATCCGGGATTCGGACCCGCGCAGGGTAGTCAGAAGTGGGGTGGCAAGTAATTTCCTGATGTTTAGCACGATGCGATGCGCCATAACTGTCAATAAGAACTATCCTCAATCTGAATATTATGTGATAAATCGGCCAAAACAATTTGCGTCCTCTTGCACTAGTATCCGGCCTGACATGTAAAAATTGCCACAAAAAGTAATCATCATTGCATTCCCACTCACACATCAGTGCCTACCTATAAACCCAGGATTTTTATCCGCTGCACAGTTTCACATAAATTTGGAAAACGGAGAAAATCATTAGCGGGGAGTTTCCACTGGACCATTGATACCGTACCTTAACATACCTTGTTAAAGTCGTCAATGACTGGACCCGAAGTAAGTGAATGTGCCAGCGTGGTGCGCTCCAGCGTATGGAATGGCTATTGCCCCCAGCAACAATTTCCTTGTTTTATTTCGTAACAATGACCAATCAGAGAAATGTTAACGAAGACGTAACAATTATAATATTGCAGCCGCTCAGACACTTTGTTTTTTTACGCACAAGAGAGTTTGATTTATCAAACCGTAAATATATATTACTACGATCAAATCGAAAAATACAATATTCATATAATTACTTGGCAAGTAATATTGTAATAGACGCCAGTCATTTTTGCAGAAAATGTATTTTCCAGGGGAAATTTCAAATTTGTCTTTCTGTTTATTTAGAAAATGTTAGCAATGACCGTCAACGCGTTCGGACTTCTGTCTTGTATCGAATATAGGAAAGGAGGAATCGATTCCAGTTTGACCGTAAATATATACTACTACGGGTTTAACTACGCTCCCTGTACTGTGTACCGGTTCCGTAGCTACTACTACATTACCTATCACCACCTATGGACCTTTCCCCGACCTTTGACCCCCGAAAAATTCTTCCTATACTTCACCATTGCAAAATTTTCGGGGCTATTTTAAGAGAGCTTTTGCGAGTTGGCGCCTGTGAAATGGGGTATGTGTTTCAAACCATCGTTATGATTCATCGCACACAACAACCTGTTTTTTAAAAGTACCGTTAAAGAATTTTAGCCTAGTCTATCACAGCTATTTCTACACTAATTTTTATTACTGCAATTAAATTAAAACTCCTAGGAAGACAGGGTGACCATTGAATTATCTGATTTACATTTGAGTTTCCAAAACACAACTGAAAACTAACGAATAGAGTTCAAAAATGCGAAAACGAGGTAATGTTTACGACCACGCTTGAAAATCTGTCTGAGTGAGAAAAGAGTCTGAGCGGATGCGAAAAGGGAGCATTGTTACGTCACTTTTTGCAATTTGCTGATTGGCCAATGTCACGAAGTAAACAAGGAAGTCGATGCTCGGGGAAAGGTCCATCGGTACCAAAGTGTACCAGCGTTACAGTTCATTAAAGCTGAATAGTGGTGATGTGGGTTTCTGCTTTCTAGATTTGTACCGGCTCTTGACTCTTACTATATCCGATCGTGTGCCCAGGTACGGTAATGTAGGGCTGTGAAAGGCGCAAACAACTGATACCGGTACGGTAGAGAGGGAGATATTTATTGCCACAAAAACAAAATCGGTACCGTACCGCCCCGATAGCTATCGTGAAACTTTCAGATAGATTATCATAGTGACTGTTTGGAAATAGAAAAATGGTATCCACGAAACTGACAACGGACATGATAAGACTTTTACACTTTGCTGAGTGAAGCCAGGTTTCCTGGCCATATGCTGGCACAGCGAATATAATACCGGTACCGGTATATGTTTTTTCTGTATACTGGTATACAGGTACATGCAGATTTGGCTTCACATACAATTATCAAGCTTGATAAATTTGATCAAATCTAATCGCCGATACCATACCGATACCAATCATCTGATCATATAAAATCTTTTCTGACAATTTTTGTAGTAAAATGATTCCTAAATTTTGATTCTTCAGCTTTTCCTAGTTTGCTTGACAAATGACAATATTTCCAATTTTGACACAAGGCTTATTGTTCTTTTTCATTATGCTCTTATAAATAATAAATACCATAATTTGGTTCATGAGGTGCATTTATTTTGATGCTATAGACCAGGGCTTCCCAAACTTTTGAGCTCGCAGCCCCTTTTGATATATTAAAATTTTTCACGGTCCTTGTTCACGCTAATAATGCTAAAAAGTTCAAAATATGCTTTTTTGATATTTTATTGACACAGCTAATTCTTAACTTTTAATAGGGCTACTTAATAACAAAAATATCTTTACTCAAATTATTCAATGTAATGGGTGTAAATCTTTCTTTCTTAACTCTGCCTAGTTTTTCTTCAAAATGCTCGAAACTCACTCATGTTCGATGAGATTCTCATGTTCTGAAAATTCAGTTTTCTGTAGATAAAGATTATTTCTACTTGGTTCAAAAAGCGTTGCGCACCACATCTCCTTTGCGATTTCGTATTTATATTAAGCAGGCTTTTCGGGTCTCGTGTAGTTTCGTACCTAACGTACTTCCAGTGGTCGTAGCATAACAATTTTTTGATATGTCAATCCTAACCCCCATCTGATTACGCCATCCAAAAATTAAATCACTACGACATCACAATCACGTCATAGAGCTTGCCAAATATACGCACGATCGACCGAAATGGCATTGGGGCCGACGATAAAGAACTGACTGACGTTATCGGTCGCTCTCCTATTGGAATTGTTGCGACGAGAAAACGAGAGAACTAACTGTTCGATTTGGATGCTCGTTTGCGCGTCTTGGATGGCAGTTCGTATAGGGGGGGGGTATATTGAGCATATGGGGTTAATTGAGTACAAGGTAAAAAAACCTCGCTAACTTTTTTGTATGTTGAGTGAATGGTTTGTACTTTGTAGCAACAATAGTTCATATCCTATGCTCCCATTTCATTGCATATAATTCACTTGCCTACTAATGATAAAATTGTTTTAGATGTTTGTATGTGAAATTTTTTTTGTTCACGAAAAAAATTGTTTTGAAAACTTTCATGTGACACTTTTCTGATAGTATATTTTAAACTTTTTGTGATGCCTTCTAGTACCTTAGTAAAGACTCTCTTTGCCCCAGTAGATAATTTTTGTGTAGCTCATTGACTTTTTGTTTCATTGATGTTTGAAAAAATCGAGGTAAATTGAGTCTGTCGGAAATTTACCGTGGGGTAAATCGGGTATATGCATAAATGGCCTCTCCCACTGCTATAACACAGGATTATGAGGTTCTGTGTGACTATTTGGAGCCCTAACACTTCTATTTTCATGGATATGAGTGTAAATCCACAATGGGCAATCGTAGGATTTTGAGAAAGCAGTTCTTTTCTTGTAACTAAAAAAATAGTAAAAAAGAAAGCTGTGGACAAGCCAAGCACAGAGTCCTACTCCACCAGTAAGCTTAGTGCATTTACAAAGGCTTTAGTTGACGTAATCACACTCACTGTCATCTCCGAAAACAGTAATAATAAAAAAACAGCCGCCCCAGAAAAAGAATTCAGGCGAAAACTATATAACGTCAGTTGAAAGTATATACCATTACCATTATACTGATAGGATAGACTTAAACGGATATGATTGTTAGAAAAAAGAAAAGCAGCAAAGAGAAAGATCATAATATTAGTTCAGAAAAGCAGTAACAGAGTCAGAATAGATTGGGCTTTATTGACGATGAGACAGAATATGAAACAGAATTCTCACATTGTACAGCTGATTATAACAGAGGACTAACTATAAGTAGCATATTCTGACATTAATGAAATCAAGACCTTGACTGGCTGGTTGAAATACGGAGAAAGGGAATTCCTTGGCCAAGTTGTCCTCACCAATGTATATAAAATGAACTTTGTATGATACCAGTGTATGAAAGAGCTCAAAGATTTTGTGTTAGATTTAACCCAAAATAGGAACATAAAAAGTATCTCTATCAAGGAAGTTGTTGGCCAAGTCAAACCACCCATTTCTAGTCCATAGTGAACTCGTATTTAAACTAAAAGCCTATTTGTGGTAAAAAGTTTATGGAAACCATAATCGCGATCTATCATACAAAGTTTAAAGTGATGTCAGATAATTATGTTCCAAGGTTTTTGTAATTACTATTTTTTAAAATAAACTATATGTACCCAAGTTTCTCATAAAGGTCTTTGATTTGGTTCTAGGGCTTTCTTAGATTTGATTTAACTGGTAGATGTCAGTATACTCAATTATCCTTGAAAAATGAGATAAATTGAGTATACTGACTTCCAAAAAAAAATTGCATTTTAAGGTGACTTGAATACATTGAATAAGACTCAAACTGTTATGCAAGGAAGTACATAGTCAGAATGTTACAATGAAACCATAATTTCACGGAGAATCGATTTCACTCAGATTTTACATCGGTTCAAATTTCAAAAACTACTCAAATAGCCCCCCCCCCCCCACCCTAGTTTGAAGGGCTCTATTACGTCACTGTGACGTCGTAATGACGTAATTTTTGGATGGTGTAGTCAGGTGGGGGTTAGGATTGATACATGAAAAAATTGTCATGCTACGCCCACTAGAAGTATGTTGGGTAAGAAACTACATGAGACCCGGCTTCTCTACCATGGCCCATTGAATTTGATTTCACTGACTGTTGTTAGATTTTGTTCGTCCGTTTATATAAAACTCAATGCAAAAAAGGTATTATATTGAAATGTATCAATACGTACGGTATTTTTCACGGGAAGTCGCAACTTGAGCATATTTCTGGAGGTCGTCACAATACAATTAAGTTCGAAAACTACTGAGTCCTATAGTTGAAAGAAATCTACTTTTTAAATTGTTAATAACCTATATGTAGCCGCTATTTTTAATGGAAACGTGCTATTAAGTTTGTATCATATTTCGGTATTCATATTTCGTATATTAATCTCGTTATTCTCTACATCCCCCTAAAATGAGCTCCAATGTTCAAAAGAAAATTGATGACAAAGTCTTATTTTCGGGAAAACACGGTGTGATGATGTATATTCACTCTGAATCGTGAATTTATCGTTTTACACTATTCTTAATGATTGTATTTCAAATTAAGAGTCTGAAAAAGTGCAATAGATATAGTACTTTGTGTAAAATTGGTGCTTCTTTGCGGCCCCTAGAATTAGTTTCGCGGCCCCGTCTAGGGTCGCGGCCCCTAGTTTGGGAAGCCCTGCTATAGACTACTTGTAGATGTATGACTCGCTAGTCTAATTTTGTAAAATATTTGGCCAGTGATCCAGTAAATCTGTAAATAGTATTTTTTTAAAACTGCAGAACATCTTGAATCCGATAGGTAATGGTACTCGGTACTCTGGTACGGAGCAAGTCCTGAATTCGATATGTTTCAATCATTCAAGAAGTGGGTCAAAAATGATGATGCACAACAAAAGGTTGCGCCACCATCTGGCATGCAAATGATGAAGGGTGATCTGCAGAGAAAATTCGCTAAGGGCGTACAATATAATTGTGAGTCTCGACAACGGAGTCATATTTTTCATATTTTTGGTTATACCATATCTGTTATGAAGACGACAAAATTTGTATTGATTGAGAGCGGTCAACCATATCCTAAACAACAACATCAGTAGAAGTGATCTGCTAGTGCTATGAAGAAATAACTGATTATTTTCTTAGTGATAAATCAATACTGTTTACTGGATTATCGTGTATTGAACTGCAGGTCCTTTCTCCTTGTTTAGTTGCAATTGTGGATTTCTATGTATTATTTACCACAAGGGTGCCACTTTAACGAAGTATTATTTTTAATTACAGTGATAAATAAGAAAAACATAATCTCTTTTCATGAAATGGCAACTATATTTTTGAGCTTTCGTTAGATCATAGTCAAACTTTTTCAGACAAAAAATCTTATTTAATTAATCAATATTATCGATTTTACATGACCAGCGGGTATGTTTTTTAATGAGTGAAAGGGTCGAACTAAGATTAATATAAGTGTAATTTTACTGGCTCCAAGAGATTTGAATTGTTTTTATATTTTTTTATATATATTTTCAGTGAAAATTGTCATTCGAGGGGAAAGAAATACAGGAAAAACATGTTTATGGCACAGGCTAAGGGGACTCAAATTTGTTGAAGAATATTTACCAACTGCAGAGATCCAAGTTGCATCGATACAGTGGGATTACAAAGGTATTTCATATTGTCCTGAAATTCATGATTATTTTTGAGAAAACTTAACCAGTTACTTGATGTAGTGTAACCAGAATGTTTTGTAATTTTTCAATTAGTCTTGCAAATTTTATGAAAAGCTCAACTCTTGGGTGTGATGTTCTTTTTTGAGTATATTGCAAGTTGCAACTAAGATAACGATCAGTAGAGGTGCACGAGACTAACTCCCAATCCTTTCTTAATGCCTTTGCACTAGTGGATCTGTATGCATGTAATGCAAGGATGCTGTAACAGGAATAAAATACCATAATATCCAATTCAGGAGCCCTGCTGCACAATAACATTAATGTATTTCTGTAATGTTTGTCTGACCAAAATCAGACTTCCTCAGACAAGCAGTTTACAACAATGACAAGAAAAGAGCAATCATGCAGTTAAAATATGGCGACAAATGAATTTGTTTAAAATTAACTGTGACCAAACAATGAATAAAAAATTATTTATATTCAGAAAGAGATTCCAACAGCATATTAAGATAACAATGTTATTAATAAAATGTCCATGCTTTTTAAACACTTGAATTATTGTGTAATAATCAATTAATACAATACTCGAAACTATTGTAATTTTTGTTCTTGAGCAATAGATTATGTTTTAGAAATTCAAATCAATTTTTCATGTGATCTTGTTACTCATTTTCCACTCTGAACAAGGCCCAAGACAAGTGACAAATCTGGTAATTGGTATCCAGTCTTAACCAATCCTAAAATTATTTGAATTTTGTTTTACATATTTAAGCTACAGATGATGTTGTTAAAGTGGATGTCTGGGATGTTGTTGATCAAGGTGAGTAAATATACTGCTGATATATGAACAAACTCATGTTGCCTTATCTATATGGACTCCTCCACTGCTAGAATTAATGTAGCGTAATTTCAAGCTTCACTTATTCCCTTGACAAATGAGGTTAATTGACTCAATTTCAAAACAAAGCTGTCTTATGGCGGCTTGTTTTGACCACGATTTCGTTTGATTATGGTTCCCAAAATAGCTTATATATGATAGTTTTAATGGCTATCAGCTTCCTCCATGATCATTCGACCATGGTATTTGCATATAAATTAAAATGTTTGATTCTGCAAATATTTATGTAACTTCTGATCAAGTAGGGTTGTACCAAGGTTTTTCATAAGAATGCATTGTTTGCTATTGACATGTATACTTATTAAACACTTGCAAGATCTTTGCAATGCTGCAATTACGTTTAATATTATAATTACATTAAAACTTTGAACGAATGCATTTTGTTTATTTTTCATCAACATAGGTATGCAATTATCTGTTTCTTTATAGTGTACATGAGTAACCAGAGTTATTTACCTTCAACACTACAATAATTCAAACAAGAGTTATCGAACTGCCATGTTACCATCTGTCTTGTTGTTTTTGTCTCCTGCATCTTATTCCTTACTGGTTTGAACTCTCAATTTATTCTTCCTAATTTCAAATCAGAATTTTTTTTATACATTCAGGAAAATCCAAGAGAAAAGAATCGAAAGGATTGAAGTTGAGTAACGAAGAAGTATGTTCATTTGTGATTATGTAATTTATATTGTTTGAAAGAGGAAGTCAAACATTTGCCATTTATCACAATTCTCTCCATTTCCTAATTTAGTGATTCATTATACAAATGAGTACGGAGTGGTGAGAGACTGGAGACCTCAATAAAACAAACTGAGTAATTTGAGTTTTCTATACATAAATTTAAAACAAAATTCCATAGGTTTCTTTTAAACTTTTTTAATATCTCAATATTCATATTAGACTCATCTCAGGCAATATTCATACAATGACCCAAATAGCCTTGAAATAAACATTTACATAATTATCCTGGTATTATTTTGTGTTGAAATATTAGTTGAATTTTCCAGGATGAGGAAGATCCAGCACTCGATGCAAGTTTTCTTGATGTTTACAAGCATACCCATGCTGTTATAATGACATTTGACATCACTAAAAGATGGACTTTTGCTTATATAGAGAAGGAACTGCCAAAGGTGTGTTGATTTATTTGTAAAATATAAAACTTAAAACTTTCATATTTCTGTATTCAATATTCCCCATAATAGCCAATTGCAGTTTATTTCTGTTTATTTGTATGCATTTTCCATATAACATTCTGGAGACTTATCAATGGACTGCTTCGTTTGTTTATTTGGTGAAATATTTTGGACATGGCATAAGTTATATTTTTTTTTGAAGAATCTGGTCTAAATCTTGTCTAAAAAGAAATGCATATTCATATTTCTTATACACATCTGTAATTACCGGTAGTTATGGTCGATATTATAGTGAATTGTTGCTTTCAGGATTATGGCATTTTGCTCAAACTATTAGACTTTCAACATGATGATGAATACATGTTTCACACCAATAAAATCTTAACATGGCATTATGTATATGTTCATTGTTCACTTTCTTGCATTCTATATGATAAAAAAAATATCTTGCTCAAGAAAAGAAAAAAATGAAACAATAGATTTTTTGATCTTAACATTGCATCAGAATATTTTTGTTGTATTATGTTCTTGCCTGCTCTTTTATCAAGAATTGTTTTATTTCCAGGTACCAAATCATATTCCAGTATTAGTCTTGGCTAATTTTCGAGATATGGGACATCACAGAGTTATAACAATTTACGAAATTGAGGTTCTAATAGAGTCGCTTGACAGGTAGGTGCAAAATATCATCCCACCTTCTCACAGATTTCCTTTAGTCTTGAAGATCATTGAAAGTTGAAACGGGCTAGAATTGTCTGTAGAATTCACCTCTATAAAAATTCAAAATTATTGCTAATGTAAAAAGATCAGACATTGAAAAAACTGTTGTCTGTGAACACTGCAGAAATCCAAAAGTATCTTGAAAGTACAATGTTGCTGCATTCCGTATATAGTTTTAGTAGGTTGTATACAAACAAAGGTTATCGAAGTAAAATATCATTCAAAAATTTGCAAAGATTCCAAAAGACCTCATATAATAACAGTTAGGAAATGATCTTTTGGACCTGTCTAGTCCATCCATCAATCAAAGTCTTTCATTTTATTTACAGTGTAGGACTGTAGGTACACTTGACACTCTTTTTTATCAGCCTAATTCCAGTCCATCTATTTATTAGGCTGGTATTGCAATTTGAAATGGAAGATAACTATATAAAAATAGTAAAAAAAAAGATGAAATGTGTAATGTGTTAGTATTGCCTGCCAATGTATAATACATGTATGAGTCTGCGTTGTAAGTTTTACATGATAGTTATAAAGCGGTTTCGTAAAGTATTAATCTCTTTATTGTGTTTTATCAGGCCTCATGGTTCTGCATCGGTGATGTTTTATGAAAGTTCAATGAGGAATGGGTTTGGTCTCAAATATGTTCACAAGTTTTTTAACATGCCTTTCTTATTAGTTCAGGTAATAATTTTCAATGATCATTTTAAGTTGTTTCACACTGATTAGAAATTTCGATTTCATCAATGTCTCAATTATTCAGAGTTTGATAATTCTTCTTATTGATTATATTTTGTGATCTTGTCCGAAAACCTGTTGCTTATTTTTGAAACTTTGTTTTGAATTGTTAGAGATTGCTTTTGTAGGCTCCAAATAAATAAATCATGCTAATATCTAAATCAATTGGCATGAGGTATTAACTATAGTACAAGACCAACCAAGTTAAGCAATCTAAGTAAAATACAATCTAGAACGAAACAGTTGCAGCATGCAATGAAATATAATGTAATGTTCAGCTATAAAAATCAAATTTCTGTCTATTTGTATGTATTGTTATATATTTCATACTTTCAGTCTCATTTGAACAAAAAATTTACAATGGTAAAACTGAAATAATTTTATTTTCTCAGCGTGAAAGTTTGTTGAAGCAACTCGAAACAAATCATCTAGATTTAGAATCTTGTATTGAGGAATTGAGCACAGAAGAACATGGATATGACATGTATGTTGATTATTAATTATAGTCTTAGAGTTGGAAATATGATCAAGATTAATAACCTATTTAAAGTTTATTGAATTAAAATCCCTCTTTCACTTGAATTTCTATTGAACCAAACAGTGGCTGCCTAAAGCACTTTGGTGGTGCATTATTCTTAGGCCACGTCCACGTAATAAATTATGTTGGTGTAACGTTATGTATGTATGTCTGCAAATGTTTAAATCTGTTCAAATTTGTCTAACTTTCTTAACCGAATAAAGGCACCTATTCACATAAACTGATAACCAATTACTAGATAATTTTCAGCTTAACTTTTTTTTTTTTAAAAATCAATAAAATGTCAGGGGGGAGTGCAATTGCCATTAATTGGATTGGTCTGCATTTATTTTTTATATCTATTGATTTTGAGACCTCGTTGTTGGCCACTTTGCTGAAATCAATTCCTCAGTTCCTCACCTAAATCAATGCCATATTTTGTATGAGGAATGTGTTACATGAATGATATTTGGGTGATTGTTTGAATTCTGTATTTTTTGGGTATAATTGTCATTGGTGGAGTATTCCATAATCATTAAAATTAACTTGATTACTGTGGAAGATCAGTAACTTTGCTATTTTTATCGCTGTGAAATTTTCCATTGATATTTCTCCGTTTGTCTTCATTTGATTGAACTATTCTACTATTTTCCTTATTGTTATTTTTTATGCAACATGTTTTCACATCATTCTCTCTGAACAAGGTCCTGACCAGGCAGCCACCAATAAGGACAACAATCTATCAAAATGCAAATATCTTTAATAAAACTTTTTCAATTTGCAGGTTTGTACAAAGGTTAGGTGACATAAAAGCTAAAGTTCAATCAATGCCGTCGACCCCAACAGAACCTGGTACAAGTAATGAGAAACTACCTGCCAATAGCAAAGAGGAATCATCAACACCAAAGAATCAATCTCAACCACCACAACAAGCGCCTTCTCCATCCATAAAGCCCGTTCAAGTATGAATGATATTGATAAATTAGTATTTCTAATGATAAATGTATTCGCCTATTAGTCAGAGTATGGGTGTGCAACCTTTACTACAAGAGCCAGATACAAATAAGTGGATGAAACCGTTGGCCGCACCTTCATTTAACATAGGCTTTCTAGTAGTTGCACACAATTTTTTTTTAGCTATCGATCTTATGAGATGTATTGTTCGCACAAGCTAGCTGTTAAGGCATTGTAACATCATAGATAGGTATAGATAATAATTTGGACACAGGTATAGGATTTGCAACGAAAAGGGATTGGAAATACTTGCACATACCAGATTAAACTAAATTAAAAAGTTGTTTCACACGCCTCGCACCATTTAAAATTGGCACTTCTTCGTGGGCCGCTTCATTTTTACTTGTGTGTCGCTGTCGCATTTGGCCAGCGGGTCGATATTCTTGAATATTGTGATAAATTCAAGTTTTCTCTAGCTTTTCCCATGGGTGATATTCTAGCCATTTTTATATTGTTGTCAGAATCAAGTATTTATCATCTTTATGTTCATAGGAGAATGTTAATGCAGCAAAAAATGATAGTCCTGGTCCTTCTGGGGATAGTGGATTATTCTCCCCTTCACAAATGGAAAGTCAAACTCCATCACAAGTTCAAACAAAAGAAGTTGCTGAGAAGAAAGGATTTATGTCTCGATTTTTTAGACGTAAGTTTTTTAATCATTTTTTCCCTTCAAGTGTTCAAAACAGACATGGGCAAAGTACGGCCTGCCAGGTAATTCAATCTGGCTTGATGCTGCCACAACCAAACTGAAATTTAATGTTTTAGTTAAAAATTAGCTCAAGGAATTTGTTGGGATTGCGGTAAAATTTAGTTTTGGCACGAGGTGTATTGTTTTCCACTGTTGCTCTTGTAACATCGTAAACATTATTCAAAAAATGTAACTGTAACGTCATACTTACATGACCCGCCAGACTAGGTGGGCAAAATTTTTTGCCCCTGAACCAAAAACCGTGCTCACCCCTGGTTTGAAATGTTGCTATTTTCATTCCTATGCTTAGTTAATAATGGTTGGTCAAAGTGTAATAGCATTCGTTTTGTTGTGAATGTAACAGGATAATGTTGAATAAAGGAAGTGAAAATAATAATAATGCGATTACAGTAACTTATAGATGATGGTGCTACGTGCTACGTGCTGATAATTGTAGCATTGTATATTTAGTTTTATTTTTGATTCAAATTTTCTGAAACGTTATCTCTTATTAGCCGCTGCCATTATATATACGGTACATACTCACTTGAATTACAGTATATCCTCGCATGTGAGCATAGTTCAAAAAAGTGCCAAATTAAAGGTTCCGCTTATACGCACATTACTCTGATCGCACTGAAAATTCGATTTATTTGCGCATAACTCTGGTCGCATTCAAACGAAATGACAAATATGCTAATGTATTTCCAACAGCTACAACTCAAACCAAGTTCTCACGATAAGGGCATGTACACACACACTGGGCAGTGCTTGGTACGCTATGATAGCGATAACAGTCTTTGATTGCTTGTCCTACACATGATCACTTGAGGAGTGTTTCTAGATTTGCTTATTTTACTTAGCCATATTTTTGCATGTGTTGAGAAAGATGTTATAGCATGTAAAACCAGAAAACTATTGTTTAGATGACAGTACCACCCACTTGGATATTTATCTCATTAAGAAACATTATGGCTTGTGATCTTTGTTTAAAAAAAATTCAATTAATCACTCGTTTTATTTATTAGGATCGTCAGCTGACCCAACACCTCCACAAACAAACAATATTGCTGCCCAGGAAGTAGAAGTGAAAGACGTCAGGAAAGAAGAACAAAAAGTAACAAATGTAGAGGAGTTCATCCCAGATGATGATTCTGTTGATGATTTCTTAAATGAAATACCTGAAGCAACAAAAGTGAAGTTAGTACTGATTTTTATTGTTATTTCATTGTTAACCATACTACAGAATTCTAAACTTGATATCACTTCCATGAATAAAATTCAGTTTTAGTTTGTTAGTGCTTTACTTCTGTTCACATGCTTGGTGTAATTCTCCAACTTTTCGTTATTAATCTCTCTCAATTTCCAGTTTTCATGTAAATATCTTGAAGAAAACATGAAGTGACATGGAATTTCTGTCAGGCCCGAGGTTCCAATCATATGCTATTTTTTTTCCAGAATAAAATTTTAACTAAAATTTCAGGTTTTATTGTTTGATTTTAAATAGAAGTGATAGCTTGAATGAATTTGATTGAAGAAATATGGTGCATCTTGAACTCAGTTGCTAATTAACGGATTACAATTTTTCTGCTAGACGAGGGATAAACAGTTTTTTGGCCACTGTACTTTCTCATTGAAAGCATATATGATAAACTGATGTATTATTTAGAAATGATCATCTTGTGGTCAGCAGTGATGAAGATGCAGGAAACCCAATGGTTGCTGGATTCCAGGAGGAACTAGATTCCGAGGACGATGTTACTGTTCCTTATAGTAAGCATTTTAATATTCTTCAATATCAGTTCGGAAGAATGGACTAGCTATAAATTGAATTTTATTTATTTAAAAATTAGAAGGAACAAATGCAAACATATCTTGATATTAGAAGTGTTAATGCTAGCCTATACCAATCTGAAGCAATAACAATTTGTTAGTATTTTTAAGTCTCAATCACACGCTGTCTTCTTTCATTTCAGGACAGACAGCCTACATAAGTTCTGACAGTGATACAGACACTTTTAAACCAACGAAACAACAACAAAATAATATTGCAAATCAATTGCCAAAAGTTACTGATGAAGTTCATGAACAAAAACCTCAGAAAAAACAATTAACAAAAGTGAAATCTGATAGTAGTTCTGAAGAGTCAGTTCATCATGAGATAACAGCGGATGTTGATATCAGTAGCGATGAAAATATTGATAATTATGTTAAAGATAAAGATGATTATTTATCACCTGCAAGTGATCAAAATTTGCCATCAATATCGAACCAGACTTCAATAGAAACACACAATGAGAATACGGTAAGTCAATGGCGATATGATAGTTTAAATCGCATGTTAAATAAAGTATTTTGTCTCATTCGATTTTCGAATGTTCTGCTTTAAATCGGATTATTTTTAAGGACGACTGAAGGTTCTTGAAAATATTTTAGCCTTTTTGGATTACATAGTTTTGATTATCTATTTTTATACCCTTTTGGGGTGATAACTGATGATCTTTGAGTGAAAGCTGGAATAACTGTTTAGTATATGGAAAACAAAATTGATTCCAGATAAGCCGATCTAAAAATAGTTTTCAAGTCTGCTAACTGCTGGACAACCACTCGTTCTATAACATTGATCTTAATTTGATAATTAATTTTTGTCATTAGTTACTTGGCCCTCTGGTGGTTGCCCGTAACTTTTCGCAGAGATAAACCTTCTTATAGTCTGAGTGATTGCTTGTTTAGAGAAAATTTTCTTGAATAATTCTGTGCTTGATGCATATGATTTTATGTTTCCTCCAATCCATACTAATATTGTCTAACTGCTTTATTTTATGTAGGTATCACAGACTTCCAACAGTCTTCCTTCCCATGACGAAGCACCCCGTCACCCGCCTGTTGCAATTATTGCTCCTTTACAAGGTAATTTTTTATTCGCTGTTTGTCCTTTCAGTTTGACTTTCGTGAACTGAATAGTAGAATTCTGTTCATTATTCACCACAATAGAAATTCACATAAAACATGATGTGTTAGTTTAATTTAAATATCCTCTGTGTGAGTGTTGGTATTTTTCAGCCGAAGATGATGAATGTTCTAATGAAGAAGATGAAATAGAAGACAAGAATCAAAGTTTGGGAATTCAATTAAACTCTGCTGATTTGGATTTCTTAGAAGGATCTGGTAATTGTGAATAATTTTGTAATGTTTCAATTTCTACATTTAACTAACAAGTAATTAATTCATGGGTGGGTCGTCTATAATTTTTGCTGTGCAATTCTGTTTGAAAGTGGTCTGTGTTTGAAATATGTTCGTAAAATATCCCATTCTCACATAATTTGCTTTATTGCCTCCCAAGGTGTTAGTGAACCAGCTAAAGAAGAAAGGAGACACAAATCTAAAAAGTCCTCAAGAAGAAGTGAGGGAGACTCTTCTTCAAAAAGACGTAGCGAAAAATCTCACTCAAAAAATGAGGAAAAAAAACATAGAACAAAATCAAAACAAGACAGTTCACAAAATAATAGCGAAACAAAAGATCGGAGGAAAAAAAAGAAATCGAAAAAACCTGAACCATCTGCAACCTCTGGTGTTGTTGACGATGATCTAGAAGCGTTTCTGAATGCATAAAGCGTTCTACTGTTACTTGATATCCACTGCGTATTCTTCAATGTAGCTTTTCAGCAAAATTGGGGGATGGTATTGTTTATGTTCTGGTCATAACTTTAACACAAGTTTAATCATAATCTAGTGAAGAATAAAATGTCATTTTAAAAATTTTGTACCAATATTTACAGATGATTTTCCCATTTTCTTCCTTTATGTTAACTTTCATCTGACCTGTAACTATAACCTTTTTCAAAAAATTATATCCAAAATTGTGATACATATTGTTCAGGCCACTCAAATAACTAGCCCATCTTAAAAATGTGCAGGATTTGAGGTTTTCCGACTTGCTGAAATATGCAAATATATTATATTTGTGTCAAAAACTCAGTTCTCTCATGGACCGTGTGCACAGGCTCTGTTATTGGACATAGCGATCGTTTCAATATTATGTTGTTGTTCTTGTTCTTTGACACGTTTTTGAAAAGTCGCTTTTCTCTTTGATTACTGGACCAATTGCTTTGAAATTTTCAGTGGTTAAAGATAAAAAATTTTTTCAGAAGGCTATTAGTTTTTGTTGTTGCTATGACGTCATCAAAATTATTGCCATTAGGTGGCGCTACGTGTCCATATATTTGAGCGTAGCTCTCTTGTTTTCATTATCAAGGTCAAGGTGCAAAAGTAGAACTCAATTATTTTGCATTTACTCTCTAATTTTTTTATAAGGCTTTTTGTACCTCTGCTCTCAGCAAGGTTCTAGAAAAGCAACCACTCATACACAACAAGGTACTTTCTTATTTGACATTACCCAATTTTATTGCACCCTGGGTGAGTTAGTTGGTGCGAAAGAACTAGAAGAAAAGTTTTTAAAATTGTTGAACAAAATCCCAATTTTTATTCTTGTAAATTTATTTATTTATAATAGGGTTTCAAGATAGACCAAATACATTGCTATAGTTGACTATTGGTTGGTATTTTTGTGTTCTAATTTTCCATGAAGTCTGGGATTTTCATTCAAGTTTTGTGCAATGGGGCTCACTGCATGTAATTTTCATGTCCCATATTTATGAATGGTTCAAATGATTATGTATATCACTGTACTTCTTTATATGTATCAATATTATTTCTAGGATATAGGCTCCGGTAAACCCAAGTTTTTTTGATTTCCAGGGTAAAATCTATAGGTTGTAGCAGTGATCACAGGTTTTTAGAAATTAGGAAGGTCGGTTAACTCATTTCAGTGTAAATGAAGATGAGTACACGCGTTGTTGGGTAATTTGCAAATGGATGATCTTAATTCTGCAAGTGATAAATTGAAGGAATGTTTTATGGTCTTACGTTGTTGCGTTTTATGGTCTTGAAGCTCTGCGTTTTGCAACCGATGTTGGAGGGTTAATGTGTGGAAGGCTTGTAGCCAGGGACGCTTATTTCACCGCCGATTACGATTTTTTTGCGTTTTCCATCACCTATTTTCATGCTTTGTGTGATTACAAAAGGAACGTGAAGACCAATTTGTGACTCGAGGGAACACTTACAAAATTGTATATGGTAAAGCAGGGGTCGGGAACCTTTTTGGTCACAAGAGCCATAAATGGTACATATTTTCAATTGCATTTCCGTGCGAGCCATATAGCATTTCTTCACTTAATCAGGTCTGAAATTTTTACCAAAAAGTCAACACGATGTCAATATACATTTGATGTGACTTCTGATGCTGCATGTTGTCACCGCGGGCCTTGAACGGCTGCTCACATGCAGCACAAATTGAAATCTACGATATTCATCACCTTTCTTTCGTTTAGGCATCTCCGAAGTATCATAAAAACTAGGTTTGCTACTTCGATTCAAATATGACAACTAGTGTGACCAGTTCGTACAAACGGACGAAAAGCCTTTCTTTTTTCGGCCAAATTTGGTTATAAAAGGGTTTGAAATCTCATAACAATTGTAAGCTTAGCCTTAGAATATTAGAATTTTCTGGGAGCCATATGTTGTCACCAAAAGAGCCATATATGGCTCGCGAGCCATGGGTTCCCGACCACTGTGGTAAAGTATATAAGAATCTGGAGTCGAGAGCAGAGATGAGCGGAGTCAGAATTTTCAGACTCCGACTCCGTCCTGATCCGAAATCAAAATTCGAACTCGGAGTCCGACTCCGAACAAAGAAAACTATGACTCCTGTTTCGCTCCTGTTGACAAATCTAATATTGACCAAATTTAGTGTTCACTACAGCAGCAACATCAAAAACGTGCTGCGCTGATGTATTTTATGATGTTTTTCCATCCTGACATCTGAAACATTTGAGAATATCTGAAAATATTCATTATTATGTTTCCCAAACTCACATTGCTAAAACTAAAACCACTGACTATGGGGGGGGGGGGGGGGGGGGACTGACTATGCATTATAGTGTTCACTACAGCAGCATCTAAACATTGCAAAGTCACACTAGCGCACACTCATTACTATGTTCAATGACATAACAAAATTCAGGGATCGTATAAAAAATTAGTTATAGTCATAGAATAATATTTTGCTTGAGGCTTGCTCACCCCATTAATTCAGTGTTCACTACAATCACATTTGAATATTGCAAAGTCTGCATAGAACTGATGCTTCATAGCCACAATTACATTCAAGTATTCAACATTATTCTTCGCCAAGAGCATGTTCCATCTGTTGATTATACAGTGAGTGTTCTACATAACAGTGAACAGTACCGGTATAGGATGCATTTCCTTGGTAATACACACCAAATTCACGACACATACCGGTACAGGCATGTCTGCATGTGAGTTCCGGTACCGGTATTCGCTACAACCCGACAACCGCATCCAAACACAGAACACCAAAACTCTGTTTAAAATTATAAAACACCCAGTTCAGGCTTGTACCGATACAGAAGTGGTAAACACAGATTCATAAATGGTACCGGTAGCATCCTGAAGAAGCACGATTATGTATTAATATTTATGTACGGTACAGATAATTCAAGTCCGTTCAAATTATGCCTGCACCGGTACGTACAGACGTACGGTACTTCTATCGGTCACGGTATATTATAGATTTAGTTGGGACTCCTGATTGCTACAGGAGTGGTGACTCCACTACGGCCCATGGGCCGGGGCCACGGCCCATCTAATTGGGCCACATGGGCCGTGGCCCATCAAGCTATGGGCCGCGGCCCATCAAGCTATGGGCCGCGGCCCCGTCGGGAAAAATTCAATTATTTTACCAAAATTTTCAATTTCTACAAAATTGTCAATATTCAAACCAAAAAATAAACTCCTGTAGTATGTGTACCAGGTTAGGGTTAGGGCAAAATTTTGTTCAGATTTTTCACATTATAGTTCTATTATGAGTTTGGGGACTGTCTGTGTTAGCCAAGTGAATAGTTCCTTTACACAACTTGATGGGCCGCGGCCCATAGCCTGATGGGCCTAGGCCCAATTTGATAGGCCGTGGCCCCGGCCCATGGGCCGAAGAGGAGTCACCACTTCCACTCCCTGATTGACTCCGGGCAACCAAGAATGTTCCCACTCCTGATCCGATCCTGTTTGTTGAAAACCCTGCCGGAGTCCTGTTTTTCGGAGTCCTGAATCCTGTTTGTGCTCAACACTAGTCGAGAGTCGGTGAAACGCCCATCCATTTTTTATGAATCGTTTGCTCTTTATTTCGTTTTGAAAAATTTTTGTTCTTGGAATGAATTTGTTGAAAAACCACTTTTCTTCGCAAGTGAAGGTCTGGTCATTTCAACTTTTTTACTAACTGTAGATGGTTGAAATCACTAGAAGAATTTTATCTTTTTCATTACCTAACTATTTTGCAAAACTCGGCTCTCAGCTGACAAAACACAAAAAATTCTAAAAAATATGTCTCGAAAGAAGTCATTGATTTTAAAAGACATTGTAAATTTTTCAGAATATGTCTAAAATACCACAATATCTGGTTTTATTGACTCAATATGGTAGATAAACCCCAACCTACAAAACGAGTCAATGTTTATTGAATCTGTTTCTGTAGAATAATTGTGTCAGTAACTGGTTGAATATCGACTGCTACGTCTTCGCCGATCATTTATTGTTACAAATATAACATAAAGCGGATGGTCGGAAAAGATTCATTGAAAATAGCAGAAGAAAAATTAAATATTATCCGGATAAGTATTTTGATTTTATATAGACTCCATGCAACGCAATTCTTTTTGTATTGGCTGACCCGTTCTTCTCTTCTTCTAATTGTAGATAGGCGATCATTTTTCGTTTGTTTTGCGCTTTCGCACCGTAAATTTCGCGAATTCTTTCTTTTTTGACGGAAGCGAGTACCGTACTCAACCCTTGCAACGTTATACAAATATTTTTCCAATGTTTCATTGAATCAAACGAATGAAAACAATAATAGCTAGACGCATAGGACTACTATATTCCCGGGACGAAGTTCAGACTTTATTTATCAAATAATCTCAGTCAAATAGATCTGTACCGGTATGACTTATAAATTTCTAATGGGTGCATAGCTTATCCATGCTGCTGTGCTGTGTACAATTTCAAATCTATTCAAATTTTACATCTGATCTAGAGCAGTAGGGAGGTCTTTCGAGATTCTGCTAGGCTAGATCTGTAAATTTTATGATTATTCAGTCTCTCTTCCATGGTGTTTGATTTTGTTTTTTTGTTGTTATAGACTATGACTTGCCTAAGTTTTGTTTGTGCAGAAGTTAACAGTTTGGGTCTCATGTAGTTTCCTACCTAACATACTTCTAGCGGGCGTAGCACAACAATTTTTTCATGTGTCAATCCTAACCCCCACCTGACTACGCCATCCAAATATTACGTCTCTACGACGTCACAGTGACGTAATAGCGACCTTCAAACTATACGAACTGTCATCCAAGACGCACACGTCTGCGCACCCGAAATTGAGCGGCTATTTCTCTCGTTTTTACGTCGCGACGATTCCAATATAAGAGAGATCGCTGACGTTAGTAAGTTCTTTATCGTCGGCGCCGATGCCATTTCGGGCGATAGTACGTATATTTAACAAGCTCTATGACGTGATTGTGATGTCGTAGTGATGTAATTTTTGGATGGCATAGTCTGGTGGGGGTTAGGATTGACATGTCAAAAAATTGTGATGCTACGCCCACTAAAAGTATGTTAGGTAAGAAACTACACGAGACCCAACAGTTTATGTTGTCATAATTTGGTTGAATTAAGTTCATACTAAAAATGACTAGGCACACCAATCGTACCAATTTTTTGTTTTATTTGGTAATTTTCCCGATCTCACAATCTAACGATTAGGTTTATTTCTGAATTTTGAATGTTCAGTTAAAACATTTTATAGATTACAGACCTAAATCGAGATGTTGATACATTCAATTGAGCCAGAGAATATAACATTATATTATCATCATTCAATTCAGAAGTACACTATTTCAGTATTTTGTATATGGAAATATTAGAATAAAGCAAAATTACCTGAATACGAGTGGAAAACAAACAAGTACGAATATGTCATCATCTAATGTTTCTTTGGACGATATTCAGAAGAGAATGAAACGTTTAGAATTGAGTTTGAACGCAGAAAAGAATGATCCCAGACAAGCCCTCGGACTTCCAATTGGACACTTTGGCAATGAGCAACAGCCAAAACGTCCAAGTAATTATTTTGATTAGCTTTATTCATTGATTTCTTCAAAACAAATGGTTTTTCACTGATATGTGATCCTTAATGAAATAGCTAAATCTTTTTAGTGATGCTAAAAATCAATCTCAAAATTTTTTCATATTTTAGAAACAATCGCGTTTTAAAATGGCACTGGTTGAATCTTTAGTTATTCATTGCAAAATGCTTTAGGAGATAGACATGAAACTTTTAAAACTCTTTCTATGGTGTTATGCCTGTTTAAAACATATACTACTGTCTATTATAATCCACTAATCTCAAGTTTTACCTATCTAGGTACTGCAATGGAATTTCCTAAGAAAACGCATGTTAGAAATTCTTCAATGGGAAGCCTCGGTCTTTCATTTACCCAGACTCGTCCAAGTAAGTTAGAAAGTCGTTTTCAGTTTTGAGACTGTTAGGCTTCGTGAAATATTTAATTACTCATAAGTCATAACTTCATGTTCTCATTTATATTGTGTCGAGGTGATTGCTATTCTGGAATAACTCGTGATCTGATCGAGTATTCCCACTCTTCAAATGACTAATGATGACTGAACAGCATGATCTTATAGCCTTTGTTATAGCAGAGGCAACATGTAGCTTATGTCTGGCTTTATATTCTGTTATTTGTGCTAACATTTTAAATGTTCATGTTAGTAAACAACCGCTGTTCAGTGTTTATGCAGAAATCCTTTTTCATTTTTAAGTCATTAAATTTGCCTAAAAATGTGAATTTATGTTTATTGAAAATATTTTGATTTTAGCTTTTATTTATTTCAAATGTTTTGATATTGTGCCGAACTATATAGATATCAAATGACTAACCAAGGTAATTGTGATATTGCATTAATTTGCCTTCTATTTTTGATATTATCAAAAGTGGGAGTGCTATTTCCACTGTATGTTCCTGACTTTTTTGGCTTTAAACGAACTTGTGGATAAAAATATGTGTATTATCTCGGTACTGTATTTAGGTTCTGCTCAACCACTCACTACGCCACCAGGTCTTGAATTGTCGGGATTATCAAGACAAAACAGGCCAAGTAAGATATGATACTAACGTTTTTTATTGATGAAGTTGTAATACTACTATAGACAAAGTGCTATCTCTAATCAGAAAATATTATTGACAGGTTCTGGTCTCGATCTTACAAACAGCGGTCCGAACTCACCAGCAATGCAAAGAAAGAAGAAATTGCCATTCAATTATATACATCCTGAACCAGACGCCAAAAGCAATGAAAGGTGAGAAAATAAATAATATAGGTTATAGTCAGAAGTTTGTTGTATGAACTCATCAAAGTTCAACTTGTCTTTCTTCTTTTTTTTGATTAAATATGGTGGTATTCTTGGTCTGATTGATTGATTTTCTACCTATAGGCCTATAGTTGAGCAAAAATTTTTTTTTTTAACTTGGTATATAGTTTTTATGCTCTTTGGATGTCTGTGTCTCTTAGCTGAAGTATGTAGTTGGCCAATTTTCTTGTATCTAAATGATTATTAATAATGGTCAGTAAAAATAGTGCTGCTGACTGGCTACAGAACTCGTTAGGAACCATTCTCTAGGTTTTGCATATTTGACCAATCTTTCCGTTGCCTTTGTGTTGTTATTTTTATGAGCTGTCTTTAGATCAAAATAAAATTGCATTGTTAATAATAATTTCAAGGAAAGTGTAAAATATGATCATGTGGTAAATAGTGCGAAGCATTTTATTGTCCAAAGCCAGTGTAATTAATGTATTAGTAGCATTTCAGCACTTAAAAGTATCAAAATTTAAATGTTCCAAACCAGAAGTTTTGTAACAATATATTCCCTTCCCACAAATCCTTTTGTTTAGGCCTATTTTATTATAAAGTATGACCTAGATATTTAGGTTAATCCATTTCTGACTAATAGCTTCTTCTCTCTTGGGAATTTTAAATCAATTTATAGAAATGATGGCCATTTATCTGCTGGCATATGCCTTAAATCCAAGATCAATATTCTGTATACTAAGTTCATCCCTTAAATTTATTCGATGTGATCGCTTTTTAAAATACATTTGAGTTTTGCTTGATTTGTTAATAAAGACTATAAAACTGGTTGACTTGTGTGGTTTAGTCAGAAACAAAAAATTATTCTTTGATGTTCAAGTTCTATTTTTATAGTTTTCAAACAGATGTATATCATATGTAGGACATCTCAAACCAAAAATGTAAGATCTAATAGAGTAAAATGATACAGTTTGTGGTGCTAGGTTGTCCATTTTGCTCTTAATGTATTGGTCGATTTGTTAATGCATGTTTCGTTTATTAATCTTCTGACGAAAGTGTCTATATTGTTATGTTTAAGAAAAAAGTAGATTTGAAAGGTATATTAAAATAAGTTAAATATGATATATTTACGGTAGCCTATTTAGTCATACATTTTTGTTCTTAGTGTTGAAGTTAATAAACGTCTTCAAGAGGCCTTCAGTCAGAATGGTAAACTTCGAATTGATGGAAGGCTCTTCAATTCCAAAGCTTCAGATTTTGAAAACTTGGGAGAAATTGGTGCTGGAACTTGTGGACAAGTTTATAAAATGAGATTTAAACATGCTAATAGGATTATGGCTGTCAAGGTTAGCATATAATCATTGTTGGAATTTAGTGCTAACTTTTTCTTTGATAATAAATTTCAAAAATGCCGTTTGAAATAAGTAATGGACGATAGTGCTGTTGCTGTAATGTATTTGTTGAAATTAAAGGAACGAATAATTCGTTCAAAAATAATATTGAACTTGAGATTTACACATAAACTCGACTATTTGTGTTATTTATAATGTGGAATTTCATGCTGCTGACATATTTTTGTGTTCATCCACTTCACTGCATTTCAAATATGATTTGGTGGCTGTATTGGGCTGAAATATTAATCTATTAACGATGACAATTTTTAATTGTATCGCGCATGATATTGTGCGTTGTTCATTAATGATTATTGTAGTCATATTCTTTTTTTTGATCTTGTTGCTTATTGGTGAATATTCAGGGGAATTACCTTTTCTTACCTTGCCAAAGTTGATTTTGGTACAAAAGCCGTACTTCACCACAGATTAAATCAAATATAAGTGTCCACTGTCCCATATCAGTATATCCCATAAATGATTCACAGTGTCAAATTATCTATCGAAAATATATGCAGTGTCTGTAATTATTGCATCAACTCAAAAATAATTCATTACCTACCACATTGCTTATTTGACTCATGTAGTTATTAACAATGTAGCTTATATCTCATGATTGCTTTTATAATTCATGAATGTAATCACCTGCTCTCCATTCTGTGGTTACTTATTTCCTTATAGTCTTGCAGTTATGTTATGATTTGTTAATAATAGGGGGAGTTTCTGGCCATGGCAATATCCAGTTGACATATTATTATAGATTTTTCTCAAATTCTTTTTGTTCATTAATATTTGAACTAGATGGATGTTATATGGAATTTTGGATGTAATATTTAATACGATTTTGGAATACTAATGTAAAATTTCACAAAAGTACTAATTCCAATTGATTTTACAAATTTTTGTATATCCTCATTTTCAATTTCAGAAACTAATTCAATGGTGATCATTTAAGTTTGCATTTTTAATTTCAAATCACTGTGATTTGGTGTATATATATATTTTTTGATTCCAGCTACAGACTTCGTTCCACAGTCAATCATTCTCATTACTGTATTCTTTATTCCTAATATAATTCTTTATTTTTTGCAGCAAATGCATAGATCAGGAAATAATGAAGAAAATAAAAGGATATTAATGGATCTTGATGTTGTCCAGAAGAGTAATTTTCCTCATATAGTAACATGTTTTGGGACATTAATTACAGAGGTATTTAAACTTAAATTGAATTAAATCAAAAATTAATAACATTGTTAAAATGGAATATTTGTAATACTAATTTGTCATGTCGAATTTACTAATTTTTTTCGGTTTTACAGAGTCATGTATGGATTTGTATGGAGCTTATGTCAACTTGTTTTGATAAGTTATTGAAAAAAATCAAAGGACCTATTCCGGAAAAAGTGATTGGAAAATTGTGTATCGCAGTAAGTAATTTTAACAGTATAGATACTTAACAAAATAAGGCCAAGTTTGTTCGGGGGATCAAATTCACGAGGTTGTCAAAATATTCCTTCATATATATAAGTGATCTATCTTTGCCTCAATGATACTAACATATTTGGTACAGTGTCTTTGTTACTGTCTTCAAATCGCTAGACTGAATGCAATAATTAACATCACATACTTGGAATAAATTGGAGAACTCTCCCTATTTTTTTTTAAATTTATGGCTAAAAAATATGTATATGGAGGTTTGTGAATTGTGAGACATGTATGTAAGATGCACGTCATACTCGATGTCCACATTGAATAGCTCTTTAAGAAGGCTTACCATTGCAAACATAATTCCTACATTATTAAATATATAATATCTCATATTATATCCGGTCAACGTAAATTTGGGTACCAAACTTCCATGACACCGAAATGCTAGCCATTTGAGAATTTATCATGGCTACAGGTTATCATGAACTTTGACTGTGACTCCAGATCCGGACTTCTAAAAAAAAAGTTTGATAACAAATGCTTTATCGTGTGCAATCTTCTTCAATTTCCTGTTGAAAAAGCATTGTCAACGTAATGAATTTCTGAAAAATTTTTGACTCTGATTATTATTACCATTCCAATTCTGAAATTCCGACCAATACAAATTTTCGATAAGTTAAAAAATGAAACTAAACCAACTCTGATATTGATATGAACCACGCAGGTCAGTGTCATAGTTTGCATTCTTCGTGGCATCACCACCATTCTATAATTATTGACTTTTATCTCCAGGTTGTAAGAGCATTAAATTATCTCAAAGAGCAACATGGTGTAATACATAGAGATGTAAAACCGTCTAACATTCTCATAGACAAGAGAGGAACAGTTAAATTATGTGACTTTGGAATAAGTGGAAGATTGGTTGATTCTAAAGCTAAAACCAGAACTGCTGGTTGTGTTGCATATATGGCAGTAAGTTTCAATCGTATTTCCAATTCTTATAAGCTGGCTTGGAATCTAAATAGGTAACTTTAAGAATTTATTTGTATTGAAACCTGGCACCTCTGATTATCCTGCACATGCATGCAGGTTATGTACGAGAGGATTCTTCACTGTCGTAGGGTAGTTAATGTAACATCTGCCCGATATGGCTTTCTCCACCACCAAGTCCATGCATTGAAACAAATGCCTAGTTAACTATTTTCATACATGACATGGACTAGTAACCGCGTTAATAGACGGTGATACACCTTGTGATGTGATAAAGCCATCTTATCGGCTTTCCCTTTCCTCATGGGATAAATAATTGAATGCTATTTGTTTTAGCCTGAAAGAATTGATCCTCCAGATCCTACCAGTCCAGATTATGATATCCGAGCAGATGTTTGGAGTCTGGGTGTTTCTCTTGTCGAACTTGCCACTGGAAGATTTCCTTATCCCAACTGTACAACAGATTTTGAAGTTTTAACAAAAGTTTTACAGAATGCACCTCCTATGTTGCCTCAAAATGCAAACTTTAGCATGCCGTTCAGACAGTTTGTTAAACTATGGTAAGTCAATGTGAATCAATTTTAAAGGTGTGTATAAATAGGTTATCTGCAAGAAAGGTACTACCCTGAAATAGGGGGTGGGGTCAAACGCTTCTCTAGATCCAGATTATCTCCTGGACCATTTTTTCAGCAATTATCAACATCCAAATTACATGCTTTCATTAGTGCAGGGGTTGAATTTGCAGAAGAGTCGTTACGATGATATTAGTTTCTTAAATGCTTCACTGAATGTACTACCTGCAAACTTTTTTAAATTGATTTAATATTGTTTTTCATCCTACCATATCTAGAATATGCATTAAGAGTTGGTATGTATAAAGAATATTCAAAATTTTCAAGGTGATTGATTACCGTATTCGCTCGTTTTGTAGCCCGGGCCCATATATTTTTAATCAAACTCACTAACCGGGCCCTTATTCAAGCATGGGCACTTGTTATTTTTAAAGTAAAATTATGTTACGGTGTAACAGTGTTACGTAATCAATGCTATCTGTTATGTAATTGGACGTCTAAGGCTTGAGTGTCATCTACCAGCGCTGTGACAAAAGCATTTCTTATTAACTATTGTTCTCTAACACTGAAAAATCAGCTTTTGCATCAGGCAAGTATTCAAACATCGGCCCTTATTTGTTTTTATGTTCTGTTCACATGGGCGGCTATTCAAACGTGCCCTTTGATTAAGATCGGGCGGTAAAACGAGCATATACGGTATATAGGCTTGAAGCAGAATTCACTAATCCTTGTTCATAATTATATGCATGCTTGGGACTATAAGAAACCGTTATTTCTGTTTTCAGTTGCACAAAGAATTTCCAGCAACGACCAAAATATCGGCAACTTCTGGAACACGACTTTATCAAACATTCTGAGAGAATTACAGTGGACATTACTGAATGGTTAACCGGAGTTTTAAATTTTCCAACAACCCCTTCATTCAGCGACCCGTTTCTGTTGAACAATTTCACTCCTCTTCCAACTAATGACGCATTCAATCCAGTAACTTCACAACCTACCGCACAAGCCAACAGACTTGGAAATGGGGTCAATTTTACAATTTCACCCCAACAAAACAATTCTAATGTCAGAAGCGGTTGGGAAAGCTTTGATGATAGCTAGTCGAAAATGTGAACATAACTTATAAGAATTATGAGACATGACTATTTCACCTCGTTTATTAATTAATAAAAGGTTTTATTCAACATGGTATTGGTATCTTAACACCTGTTATGCTGTCAGTAATCATCATGTACCGGAATTTTTTATAACCTTCAAATGTGTGTACTATCTATGTCATCCGAGAATTGGCTCAAATGTTTTATTTGAAAAAATCATAGCAAAAAACCCTGGATACCTATTTGGTGTATTTTGGTTTTATGATTGTACTTGAACTTTGAAGTCTGTGCGTTACTCGGCAAACCATTGCCCTGGTTAATTGAATGTGAATTCTATACTGTTTCCATTATAGCTGGTCGAGCGTCTTGAAAATAATTTATGGTGATCATGGAGGCACATGAATTGGTGAAAATAATCGTCATATATTTGATGCGCCATTATTAAAACAGTATTAATGAGATAATATCAAGTTTTCATGGTTTGAACTCTGAACCTTGTAATGTTTTATTTTAATGTGCAATAAAAGTCTTGTGTTTCTTATTTTGTCTTGGGCTGTGGAAAAAGATGAAATTTGCCCTCTTGTAGGTTCTACATTTACCACAGGAAGATCTCATATTCTAAAAGTCACATGCTCTCTCTGAAGCAAACTTCAATCTAAAAAAAGTTAACAGTAACCATGAGCTACTGAAACTATATTGTATAGATTTTTTATGGTGGTCGGTTACACACTAGCAAACGCCAAGTCTACACAATCGGCTATTGTTTTTTTTACTACAAGAATCCTTTGTGGCATGTCTGAACAGCTAGTTAGTCTGTGTATAGCAGGGGTGAGCAGCTTTTCAAGCCGGCGGGCCATATGTGAGAAAATGAAGTCCTCTGTGAACTAGATTGTAACATGAATAGTATTCAATATCTCAATCACATATTTATTCGCTAATGCAAAAAAAAAAAATTATAAATCATGTTTAAAATAAGGTTGAACTTTACAAAAAATAGAGACCAAAAAACCCATCATAATGTACTAAAAGTGTAATAATGTACTGATGTACAGTCAGCGGCCCGTATGTTGCCCACCCCTGGTGTATAGATAGCATAACTCCCATTAAGCTTTATTGTTATGGGATGCCACCCTATGAAATCTGTCTCTGCTATACCTTGACACCTAATTTTCCTAAACATAGTCTTAAGTGTAGGACCAATGAAAAGTAATCCATTTGACATGGTGATGTATGATCGTATAAAAATTCAATAATTTACCACTTCGTTTGTATAAAAAGTTTTACACAAGCAACATGTACAAAAGCAGTAATTGGTGTTTTACCCAGTTTCATTACTGCTTTTAAGTTTTACTTATTTGCTGTTTAATTGCAGTTACTGGATTTACATCAGCTGGGAGATGAACATAACGAATAGCCGAGCCTTTAACATGTATTAAATCAAAGTTAGTCTTTTTGCCATCTCTTGAAGTAAAGACTGCTTTTCTCAAACACAAATTCATATAACCATCAGTGCTTTCGAGTTTTCCTTTTATGCAAGATTCATTTTTCGTTTCAACAGTTATAAATCTGCCCTCAACACTCCAGAGTAAAACTGCCATAGTATTATACTTGAAGAATTTTTCCTTTTGTCGCGACATTTTTCAAATTTCAGTAGATGTTGCTAAATTGTGTGGTAGCTTCTGGTGTGACAGGCGCAGGGCTGAAACCAATTCTACGCTGTACTTGTGCTCGCCTGGCTTCGGGGTTTATAGCTCGATCTATGACAGGAAGAGTCTCTGATATCTCAAAAGTTGTATTGCCAGTGTTACCACTTTTGTTAGCAGATTGCTCTTTGCTTTGTTTCTAAAAATAATGCGTAATTTACAATCAATCAATGCAAGAGTCAATGTTACAAGGTGAATACAGAAAGTACTGAAGTACGGCACTGGTACACCAATTGGTTGGGGAAAGAGAATTACCATAATATGACCTTCATTGTATATTTTTAGTCAAGTGCGAATTACATACCAAATATTAATATTGTTTACCAACTTTTGTCTCGACTGAGATTCATCACTGAGAAAGATACTGAGATATGACGGCATGAAGAAATGTTAATATTCAAAATTACATCGCTAACGCTAAATTGTTTCACCTTCTGTTCAATATATTCAGCAAGATCTTCCAGATCCAACTTAATCTTGGTTGGTTTCCTTCGAAGCATAACGAAACCGCCAACACCAAAATCTAACCAGCTAACCAATCTCTTGAGTCCTGGCCAAACAGACAAACCAGCGTAGTAATTCCAAAGTGACTATGAACCAAAATAAAACTATGAAAAAAGTTTATAGTCACTTTGAGTAATTCAGCCCAGAACAACAACAACGCAAAAATGCGGGTCTTACTACTTACTGAATACAGCGCGAAACAGAAGGAAAACAGGAGACGCAGTCATTACCACCTCCTGCCACGAAAAAAACCACGGCACCTCTCGCCATGGTTTTATGGCGCTATTTCTGGTATATTTACAAGGTTATGTACCGGATTATAGGTCATCATGCAAAATTTTATCTACCTTTTTGGTGCTCCAGAAGTATGTGCAGCAATATGTCGCACAACCTGAATCCGCTCCACACATACTATTTTCAGGTTGTGCGCCATCTTGGTGCACATACTTCTGGAGGTCCCTTTTCACCTAACCCTAAAGCCAACCATATCCATATGGAAAATGTTTTTCAAATTATGGTACCCAAAATGTGTCACCAGCAGGGGCAGACCTGCCATTACAGCATTACTGGCTACATACGTTGGTTTGTGTTTTTAATTTGCTGCCGTGGTACAAGGTGCCCGAACTCATTGCAAAATTTTTTTCTGCTTCACACTGTTTCCCTCTGTTTTGCGCTTTTCCGCGCTGTTTCCCCACTGTTTTGCGCTGTTTTGCGCTGTTTTGCGCTCTTTGCGGTGTTTCGCGTTGTATTCAGTAAGTAGTAAGACCGCCACCATTTGGTTATGGGTGGCGCTGTAACCCCTACAAGTTTTACATTCGTAAATACCGGTATAATAAGTATAAGTTTATTTCGGTAATTCTATAAGTCTCTAAAATCGAAATAAAATTGCAATGTAAGTTATAGACTACATTATAAGCTATAAGCGCTATATACGAATATTGTTAAATCCCGCACTAATTTTTACATTCACAAATATCATATTTACAAATGGTGATGCATAGCGGTTGTTGGGAATGTAGAAGTTACGGCACGTTGGTGTATGGCGGTATTTACAAACAGTACCTACCTGCCATATCTGTAAATGCGAAACGGCGGTATTTACAAACAGTACCGGTATCTGTAAATGGCGGTGTGGTATGAGGGTATGCTAGTCGTTGGGTATGAGTTACCGTATATGGGTATTTACGAACGTTGAAGTTATATCGCTTACCGGTATTCTGATGTATACCGGTACCAGTACCTACCGTAGCAGTACCAGTACCGTACTGCAGTAGGCGGGTCTGGTAGGTACCGGTATAGTTTAGTGCCACATGCACTACTAGTTGGCCTGGCTCAACAATTTTTGCATATGTCAATCCTAACCCCCACCTGACTACATCACCGAAAAATTACGTCATTTCGACGTCACAGTGGCGTAATAGGGCCCACCAAAGTATGCGGATGGTCGTCCAAAACTTGCAGACTACCGGTATCCCCCAAAATTGAGCAAGCTATTTCTCTCGTTCTTTCGCCACAACGATCACGATAGGAGAGAGATCGCCGGGTCTCATGTAGTTTCTTACCTAACATACTTCTAGTGGGCGTAGCATGACAATTTTTTCACGTATCAATCCTAACCCCCACCTGACTACACCATCCAAAAATTACGTCATTACGACGTCACAGTGACGTAATAGAGCCCTTCAAACTATACGAACTGCCATCCAAGACGCGCAAACAAGCACCCGAAATCGAACAGTTATTTCTCACGTTTTCTCGTCGAAACAATTCCAATAGGATGGAGACCGATAACGTCAGTCAGTTCTTTATCCTCGGCGCCAATGCCATTTCGGTCGATCGGGCGTATATTTGGCAAGCTCTATGACGTGGTTGTGATGTCGTAGTGATTTAATTTTTGGTTGGCGTAATCAGATAGGGGTTAGGATTGACATATCAAAAAATTGTTATGCTACGCCCACTAGAAGTACGTTAGGTACGAAACTACACGAGACCCGAGATCGCCGGCGTTAGCGAGATCGTTAACGGCGGCGCAGATCCCATTTCGGGCGATCGTTATTATACTTCGGCAAGCCCTATGACGTGATGGTGGTGTCGTAGTGACGTAATTTTTGGATGGCATAGTTAGGTGGGGGTAAGCAATAACATATGCAAAGTTCGTTATGCTACGCCCACTGGAAGTACATGTGGTACTAAACTATACTAGACCCGAGGTTTCTTTTCAGTTGATTATATTTTGAACGCTGTTTTTCCTTGTGTTCAGGGGCGCCATTCGCTAAACTTCGTAAAAAGCCGGGTTTACGATCTCGTAACTGTGTCTCTCAGAATCGTGATAGCGAAATCTCGTTAAATGCGATTCACCAAAGACCTCGTAAGCACTTGACGCACGGTCACTAGCATTCTCTCGAAATCTTACGCACGGTCGCAGTTGAACAAAATGCACTGACTGATCACTCAGCCGTATCAGTTGTCGCCGCTTACGGTCGAGCGTCTTTCGCCTTCGCGGTAACCTATCGGCTTTCTCTGCTTCACCTTTGCAGCCTGCGTTTTGAAATTTTGTTCATATAGCAGTGGCGTAATCTATAGACTGACGGATAGGCTACATGGAATAAATGCTGAAGTTACACAGAGAGAGATTTATTGCCACAAAACAAATTACATATTGTGAACTATTTGTGTAACAGACAATAAAATCAGTGAGTTGCCAAAGCTTGTTAAGATTCCATATTTTTAATTTTTCATTGAGTCTATAGTCCTCTATTAAGGTCCTTTCATTTGCATCTAGCTAATTTTTTTCTTTCGGATACGACATGGAGAGATTGTTGGACTTTTCTTCTGCAAGCTTCAATATAGGTAGCCATTTGTGAATCTGTGTTCATAATACTGTAGGCCAGTGCTAGAATAAACAAAAAACAATGACTTCAACAACTGAACAATCTCTGAATCTCAACCCTAGTTTAATCTGTAAATGCGGCAGATATTCCACAGCTAAGTTAACGGCACTAGACTACATACACGCTTACCTGAGTAAGGCCCCTTGATACTATGCCAATTTTTACAAAGTATGCTAACGTCCCAACGAGCCTATTTTAATTTGAATCACTGCTGAGAGCAATCCGAACTGTTAACGAGGCGAAGATTGTTCTCGTTAGCTAGCGAGCTCTTCAGCGGTTAAAGAACTTTCGTGAATACCGATTCCCGATAAAATGTGAGAAGAAGGCACCTTACGAGACGTCTCATTTGGCGCCAAAAAAACTCTCTCGAATATTTACGAAGCTCTGTGAATACCATTTTTGCTTTTCACGAGAAAGTCGGTGCTTAACTAACACGTTAAGCGGTAACGAAGCTTTGTGAATGGGGCCCCAGACTGGCTAATTTTTATCGATAATTGCTGTTCTGTTTTGACGCGAGTTTCGCGGGCTTCACTGCATCTGACGTGTCACGCGTGGCTCTTGCATCCCGACTTTACGCGCCGAAGGACGTCCTTGTTTAATCTTGTTATGATGTTAGTGGTTTCGCATTATCCGCTTTACTGACTTAGCGTGTGGGTGGCATTTGGTCTCGTTAGGTAGAGCTGTGTTGAGGGTATCGTAACCGGGGCCCCGTATGACCATCGTCATCATTTATTGCTTTAATTGTTCATGTATTTTTATATTGCATTCCTATTAACTGCTTTCTAAATTTAGTTGCTATTTTTATTCTAATAACATTATCGTTCACGTTACCTGTGAGTTTCTTGTCGATTTAGGCCTTTGAAGCGTTACAATATGTAAGTTTATCTTCTATTAACTATCTGGTTATGCATTTTCTTTCCGCCCTCATCTTGTGATTGTTTATTGATTATTTCATTTTATCTACAGTCAACCGTTTTACAATAAACGCGTATGACATGGAACATCTGTGTGCCTAAAGCTAAATCTGACAGGAATCTCATGTGGCATCACATTTTTTTAAAATACTACTTGAATTAAAAACGTGTACTTGATGTATGACTGGATGTCTGGGATGTTGAAGCCAAATCGTATTATTGCATCAGATAATAAAATCCAAATTCATATTTTTGCACATTCAGCCAATACTATTAAAAATCCTTCACCAAATACAGAAATAACTGATCACACTAAATTCATGCATGCGATTATTCAGATTATATCCTATTTTCATTAGTTGAATCATACTATTTGAGTATAATATTAACTTGGCCATTTCAGATATGTTTCCTTTATATACTGATATATCCTTGAGTTGTTTCCTATTGAAATTGATATATATACCGTATATATACCGGGTAAGTAACTTTTTGTTTTCGATATTGCTTTTTAATAATCAGATTTTTTGAAAGAAAAGTTTTTCCATAGAATTAAAGAGTTTTTAGCAAAAAACTGGTTACATAACGGCCATGATTCATTTAGATTATTATCGAGACAAGCATGGCGTGATATGACCCATCTGCCTTCCCTGCTATCCCTGAATTGCAATTCGGATATATATGATCGGGGATCATAAGCATATTATTTTCATGTAGTAGCTCTCTAATGAATCAACTATTTCACTGTGATTAATACACTTTCCAATGTCCAATAGATTGACAAATTGAAGAATGACATGGCAAAAAATATATTTTGGATTATCGTAATTTAGTTTGTTCCAGCCTCCCTGCTAAAATTATTGAATATTAGATTAAATAACAGGTTTCAATAACAGATAGAATATTTGGATTTATATACTTGTAACTTAATATATTTGGTAATGAATTCTTAATTTTTGGAATATTTGCTTTAGAAATTGGAAACTGACTTAAAAAAATATACCCCGGTCCTGATTAGATTACTCCGAAATTCATCTTCTTTCTAATCAGATCTCGTTTTTTGTACATAGTGTATAGATTTTTATAAACTAAGAGTGGAACAAACCAGAACCTGTGTCTATTTATCTATTGTAAGTGTTTGTATTGGGTGGTATCTGACTCAGATGACCGTAAATGGTTGTATCGTTACCACCCAGTCATCTACTGAAAACTTTTTTTATCATTTATATTTACCTATTATATGTTTTCTGGTTTGACGAAAAAATAAATTCTCTCTCTCTCTCTATTACAGTATTCTGATATTACCGTTCATAGAGACGAATATGTTTATCTGTGGATGTCGGGACAACGGTAAATGAAAAACTTAGCACGACTTTATAGAATGGCCAAATTTATTGATATTGGAGCAAATTTGACTGATCCTGTGTTTAGAGGTGTTTATAGAGGTAAAGAGAAGCATGAAGATGATTTTAAGGATGTCATTGATCGAGCGAAAAAAGTTGGATTGGATAAAATCATTGTAACTAGTGGATGCCTTCAGGATTGCAAGGATAGCTTGGAAATATGTAAAGCCAGTCAATTTTTGTTTACAACAGTAGGATGCCATCCTACCAGATGCCAAGAATTTGATGAACATGGTCCTGAAGTATATTATAAATCATTATTTGATATTGCCTCTAGCAATGGTGATGAAGTAGTAGCCATTGGTGAGTGTGGGTTAGATTATGATCGCTTGCATTTTTGTCCAAAAGAAACTCAGTTAAAGTATTTTGTTAAACAATTTGATTTGGCCGAACATACAGGCCTTCCAATGTTTTTACATTGCAGAAATGCACATGATGATTTTTTGGATATAATGCGACAGAATCGTAATAGAATATCTGGAGGTGTTGTTCATTCATTTGATGGCACACCTGAAGAAGCGAAAGCAATAATAGACTTAAATTTGTTTATAGGAATAAATGGATGCTCTTTAAAGCAAAAAGAAAATTTACTGTCAATGTGTTCTATCCCATCAGACAAACTTATGATTGAAACTGATGCACCGTGGTGTGAAATAAAACCAACGCATGCTGGGCATTCTTTTATTAAAACAAAGTTTCCAACGAGAAAGAAATGGGAAAAAGACCATTGTATAAAAGGTCGCAATGAACCGTGCAATATTGTCCAAGTATTAGAAGTAATGGCTGAAGCTAGAAAAGGGGATTTGACGGAACTGGCGACCACAATGTTTGAAAATACAAAAAAGTTATTTTTTGACAGGAAAAACGATGTCTGATTTTATGATATAAAGCTAGATTTATCACTGAAAAAATCTTGCATTTTGGCACATACAGTTCTATTTTTAAGTTTCATTATTGCACCAAAAAAGAATCAAGAGTTCATATATATTGACAATTGACATTCTAGAAACATTTTTTGTGTGCAAAAAGTAGAATTTACTTTGACAACAACAATTAGACTTCCTGATGTTTTTGAAGCTGATTTTTGTTTCGCTTGTTTTATTAAAAGTTCTATCAATATGAAGGTGATCTTTAAAATGATAATATTTGCCTATTTTGTGATATATTGTTTATTTCAGCAATTCTGCTCAGATGCTTTTTGATTTTAGTTAGATACATTTATCAATCCTTTTCATTTGGCAACTGATCATGGCTAATTAGACGATTATACTTAGTTACTGAGACTCTTTTTGAGTATCGTACTTGAAACCATTTTCAAAACAAATATAGATGATAATGTAGTTAGAATGAGGATAGTTTGGGTTACATTTATCAATTTATTTAAAAACTCAATTTTCAGCTTCCTAAATTTGTTACATGACTTTCTAATATAGTATCATCTTTAAATAATAATGGCAACGAAAAATCGAAATCAGCCAACTCCTGAAGTTCTAATTAACGAATTGTGTGTATTATTGAGTGATGATAATCCAAGGCATTCCCAGAAGTTGACTGCATATGCATTAAGAATGCTATCGGACCTTGGAGACCAACCGATACCGAACTGCAATGAAAACACTGTTATTGATCGCATTAAACGAGATTTGGCCACAAGAGGAATGCAAGAAAAAGCTGCCAAAATAAGTGATCTTTATAGAAGACTTGCTGCTTCAGGTCGAATACAAAACCTTTGGTCTGTCTTATACCTTCTGAGGAGTTTGTCAAAAGATAAATCTAAAAATTACACAAAAAATACGTTGCTTTTTCGACAGGGCCTTGCTATATCGTCAACACCACTTATGGATTTGACTCCACCAGCAAGCCGTCTGCATTCCTCTGGGAATGCCAGTAGTGGATTTGGAACTGTTAATAGTCAAGGTACTATAAGATCATCAAATAGTGGTTTGCCAAGTAGCATTGATACCCCTGCAAACGATTTTCAAAGTATGTCTCTTGGTTCACGTCTTGCATGGGGAATAACACCTTCTACAGGATACAATTTGACATTGAAAACGGATCCAAGTACAACTGTACAAAGCAATGATGGAAAATATAAATCCAGTGTTCAGGACAAGTCAAGGGTTTCATCATCATCTTCTCATAGCAACAAGACAAAAGTTCCTGTGAATAGAATTGCAGACAGCACTCTACTTCGCGAACTTTTGCATGTTTTTCGTGGCACTGAAAGTGAAAATATTAAAATGAGTTCAAGAGAAGATGCATTTCGAATCACTCCGAAAGCAACTGTCGATAAGCGTACTGCTCAAATGGTTCATAAACTTGCAGAACTAGGCTGGTTGCATAACAGAATAAGAAAGTATATTGATAAACATAGTAAGGATTTAGCTTTCGGCTTAGTCGGTCAGGCTTTTTGTGCAGCATTGGTTCAAGAGTTGCAAGAGTATTACAGATTCTTATCTGTATTACAGTCCCAATCATACAAAGAAGATCAGGGTTTTGCAGGTGATGCTGGGAGTCGTCTAACTTTTTACAAACTCTTGGATTGGACATCTGAACCTAAAGAGAGACTGCAATGGGTCGCTATGCTCGTAGATAATTGTAAGGACAGGAAAGGTGGTGCCTTGGCATCCACTATTCATGCTTTTATGCAAACTGGTGATGTTAGCATGCGGTTGTTGACAAAACGTCTTTTGGTCATATCGACGCAACCAATTTTTTACATTTTGAGTCGATGGATTTATGATGGTGAACTACAGGACACATTTCATGAATTTTTTGTTGCAATGGATCCTACCGTCAACAATGATCGGTTGTGGTATGACAAGTATCACTTGAGACAATCTATGGTTCCATCATTTATGACAGACAGTCAAGCAAGAAAAATTTTACTTGTTGGAAAGTCTTTGAATTTTCTTAGGCTGGTTTGTCGTGATCGTACAGAAGTTGATATCAGAAACAAACAAGAATTTCAGTTACCTGAAGATGCACATTTGGACAGTACGTTAGATTTTGGCACAGAGTTGCAAGAGAGAGTGGACGAAGCTTATGAGGCCACTAGTCGTTGCCTTTTGAATGTCCTGAGCGACAGATACAAACTTCTGACCCACCTTCGAGCAATGAGAAAATTCCTCTTACTTGGTCAGGGTGATTTTGTTCGACATTTACTAGACTTGTTGCATGACGATTTAGCGAGACCTGCTGGTCAATTGTACAGACATAACCTGAACGGCCTCGTTGAAGCTGCTGTCCGAGCCACAAATGCACAATTCGAAGATCAAGATGTTCAGTCTCGTTTGAACATACGTCTTCTGGAAATAAATCCAGGCGATACTGGATGGGATGTTTTCAGTCTTGATTATCACATCAATCAACCACTGAGTACAATTATCACTCCTGATATTATGCTACTTTATCTCAGATGCTTCAATTTTCTTTGGAGAGCAAAACGCATGGAACACAATCTTGCTACTATATGGACAGATACAATGGAACAATCCATGAGACTTTCTCCTCACTTGCCTGAACTTAGAGGAATACTTCACATGTGCCACACTCTTGCTGCTCAGATGGTTCATTTGGTTCACCAAATTCAGTACTATATTGCATTCGAGGTATGGGAATTATTTTGCGTTTCATGCGCTATGTGTATGTGTTTCTATCACATCATTTGAATTTGGGATTGGAATCATCAATCAAGATCTATAACCTGTAATGTCAATTGTCGACATAGGCTCAATGTTTTAACCACTTGGCCACTGCACTCAACAAATTTTTTACAGTGTTCGAAATTGTTATACTGATGTTTTTATGACAAACTCTTTTCTTTTTTAAAGGTGCCTTATTCCTAATTTGGTTCAACTTTAACTTTCTTTTGTCATCTAGGTTTTGGAGTGTTCATGGGCAGACTTGCTGAAGAGGGTTGAATCTGCTAAAGACTTAGATGAAGTAATTGTTGCACACAGACAGTTTCTTGAAGCAATCATGAAGAGATGTTTACTTGATCAAGGATCGCAGAATTTATTGACGCAATTACGTTCAATTTTCGATCAGATTGTCTTATTCGAGACTTTAAAGGTAGAATCCTTTTATATTGGTTTTTAATACCTCATTTGGAAAATTAATTATGCACTACTTCACATCAAGTTATGGAAAGAGACTGAAATCTTTGGGTGTGAGATATACTCACTTGGCTAACACAAATAAGTCCCTGAATTCGTAATAGAACTAAAATAAGGAAAATCGGAATCAAATTATGGCCTAGCCTAGTACTCACACTACAGGAGTACCCAATTTTGTTTCAGCCTTATATATATCTAAGTAAGTAAGTGTTTATTTCGATTTTCCAATACAACAAAACAATACATGGCAAAACATACAATTGTACGGAAAATCAGGAAAGTGGGCAGAATCTAAAAAAGATTTAAGACGTGCTGGTGCACGTGCCCACTTACGCCAAACAGCAAACAACACATTGAAGTAAATTGAAAAAAAGGAACACGGAAGATAAAAGGAATCTATAATAAATTTTCACATCCATTGCTCAACCATGAATTGTTGAGTTTGTTGAAACTTGTTCTGTTCCCCTGTTATTTGTCAATTATATAAAATGTGTTTCAGGGTAAAATCTATGAGAAAGCTATGGATGAAATGACGAGACGAAATCGTTATGAGAATTTCGACAAAAAGGGAATTTGGAGTGAGGATAGCGTAGAAGAGGCAGAGGAAATTGAAAAAAGAAGAGTTTTCAAGAAAGAAAATGTTCCAAAAATGAGAGCGCAATTGAGTATACGGGCTCAAACATTTCAGGTACTTGTTTGGTCATTTTTCAAACTTTGATTCATAGCTGATGACGTTTTCTCTTGACATTGTCTTTTATTGAAATATTAAAGTTAAAATATACCACTGTGACACGCTAAAACTCAAGCATTTCAGGAATCTTTTTTGAGAACTGAAATGAATATTTTTAGCAGTAGAAAAAAATCAAACGAAGTATATAACCATTGTATCTTAACACAAGTTTTTATTCCTTAGGATATGGTAATCAAGTTTCTTGGACAACTCACTTCACATGCTGATCCAAATCTACGTTATTTGAGTCAAAGACTAGATTTCAATGACCATTATAAACTCAAAGACCCTACCTGGAAACTCAGAGGAATTACCAAAGATAAAAAATGATTGTCGTCCACTTTACCTTTGTCTGTAACAGGCTAGGATTTCACTTATTCAATTCTGGAAAACTTTTTGCATCAAATTTTTAATATTGTTGAGGGTGCCATTCGTCAGATTTTTTCAGGTTATGGGAATACATTCATGAATTGAAACAGTTCTTTTTTGAGAGACACTTTTAATTCAGTAGCACCTGTTTTGGTAAGTTTTTGAACACCATAAAGTATTTAGATCGTACTTCTGATCTGTTATATTCATCCACTGTACATTATTATTTTATCAATCCATAACAAACATTAACAAAAGTATATGTCCTGGGAATAAACTCTTTATGTGGTCAATGCTACTTCGGCTAGTATTGGAAAATTCTTCTCCGACGTAGTAGAATTTGCAACCATGTCTTTCAATTGCTGTAAATATACTCCTGACATTGTCTTTGAAGTTCATTTAAAGATGACTCCAAGTTGATGGAACTTCTTACCCTGAATCACGACTCCAAATAGGGTGTAAATCCCAACTCCAGCTCACAGAGAACTATTTTTGATCATAAAGACTTTGCGAATTCAAGACATTTTTTTGCCTATTCAACTTGATGCATCTGACTTCGATAATGTCATTAGAAGTATTTGATTTTTTGATAATGAAGGTCGGAAATATGACTGTAGCTCAGTTTCCAATTTTTCTAAAATCTCATCAAACTGCATTTTGCAACCTGGTTTGCAACATCTCACTTTAGATTATGTTCTCGATTTTATCATAATAAGTTGATGTTGCCAATGAACAATTTAGTCCTGGCACATTTGTTGACCGAGAAACCGTTTGTTTCTTAGGTGAATGGGATATTCATTCATTGTATCTACCGGTTTTGGCTGGAGTTCAGCTAACACTCGGACAGAAAAGTTTGCAGACTTCATTAGATTTAGTTTTCCGAAATGCAGAAGTGTTTGCATTTGCCAAGTTTGGGACTTATTTCTCCAAACCGATCTATTTTTGCATGACTACATTTTTCATTCTTGTTTATTTACATAAATTTTTGAAACCTTTGACATTCTGCTTATACAACTTTCCACTCAAGGAATTCGGTAGAAAATACCTTATGTCATCTAATTTGGCGACGTATGTCATCTTGTCCAGCCAGTAGAAGCAATCGGGCATAAGTTGGAGAAAGAGAATGAGCAACCGAGCAACAGCTGAGGACCTGACATTTAATTATATCTTTGGCTAGGCTACTACATTTCGTTTTAGTCAAATGATGGCAGCCAGCTCCCACCCCCAAGTTTGTGCTGGAAATTTTGTTATGTGTGAGAACTTTCAATTGGCATTCTCAGCGCCACCCAGAATTTAATATGTTTTAGTCACTCTTCCCCCGAATGTTATAGGTGTATTTTAATGCTCGACACATTTGGAAAAAAAAACTTAGACGATAAGCATAAATATAAGAGCTAGAATCCCCAAAAGAATAATTGCAGAAGATGTCGTCTTATGTCCGTGACTCGTGGTCTGAGGTGAAGGCGTTGGTGACCCAACCAGGCATTCCTTTCGTGGAGAGACGTATGGAGTTTCGATACTGATAGGTTCGAAGGGCGTAACGGTCTGAAATTTTTGAAAATATGATTTAATATTTTTTGTTTAAATGGTTGGTGCAGGAAACCGACGCTACCGTAATTGATAAGCAGTTGCGTGTACCTGCTACGTCTGGGAATTCGTCTGCCACTTTCTTGCAATCGCAAGCTCAAATGATGGCTCAGAAACATATTGATCTCTTCCATTTAGCTGATGTTAGTCGACAATTTTAACACCACGTTGGCATCTTGTATTGGACAATATTTGTATAACTGTTGAGCCGTCTGTGTGTGTCGATTTAACGGTACAATAGTATATATACAATTTTATTTATTGTCGTATGAGAATCCAGGACAGAGTTGGCAGTGAATGTTAGAATCCCCGAATATTCAAACTCGTGTAATCATGTCCGCAAAAAAAAAAAACGGTTAGGCTTATGCACCCAGCGTAGGTTTAACGAATAATGGATACGCCTTTTAGCAGTGATTTTTATAGACAACGCGAATGAAAATACGGAATTCCGTAGAAAATATAATAAAATTCACCGTCTCGCTGACATTACTGGGAATGCAAAATCCGTGATGTTGAGCGGCATTGTAAAAACTTTCAAAATCTTCAATCTTTTGCTGCGACCAGTTTAGCTATGTTGACAATGGAAATCAATACAATTTAATATCAGTTCATACTATAATGTGCTATTAATAAATAAAACTAAAGAGTATGCTAGGGTGGTATACACACTCATTTATAAATATTTGAAAGCTCTGAAAATCAATCTTTAAATGAATATATGGTGATCGTATATTTGAACCCATGTGTATATCAGCGGATTCAATCTATATGCGGGGGCTAAAACCCATGGGTTAGGGTTAGTATGGGTTCAAATATCCGTAAAACAAAAATAGTTCTATAGGTGCAATAGTATGCAGGTGCAATTGTCGTGGGTTCAAATGTAAAGGAACCGAATATATATATTCAATTTTTGGGCACTCCAGAAGTGTGTGTAGGTTACCAATATGGAGGTAACTAATATTGTTCGCCTATTTTCATCAAGTTGTGTAAAGGGATTAAAACCTATGGACAGGGGGTATATTCATTTGGCTAGCTAAGAGAGTCCCGAACTCGTAATAAAACTAAAATAAGAAAAATTGGAATAAAATCATGGTCTAACCTGGTACATATACTGCGGGCGTACAAATTTTGTAGTAAATACGGTGTCATTATGAATACCAACAGCTATCTGCCACTGCGACCTTGTTTGAACTGTTTTTTATTTGATTTCGTTGTATGAAACTTGAATTCAATGTATGTATTAGATATTGCGTTGAATTAGTCATTAAAGGTTTATTTTTCTTCAAAGGGATAATTAATTGGATATAAACGATGTGAACTTACTTCATTCATATATTCAAATACGGTTTTTCCAGCCACGTTGCTTGGTCCTGTAAGTTGAAAATGCGAAAGGATGGCGCCGGGAGTGTTTTCAACTCTGTTGAATATATATAGATAAGATTTTTTCATATTTCTCCGTTGGAGAGAAGAGTTGATTTAATTATTTGACGATCCACTGTCTCCAGTCCGATAACCAATACAGTTCGGGCGTGGAAAGAATTAACCTAATTTTCGAAGAATTTGTAATCGAAATTGCGATGCCGAGAGGTTCACCAATCTTCCCGCACATAATCAACCCTCACGGGATTCTAACTGGCAAACTCATACAATCGTGGCAAGCGTCTTGTTAGGATGCCTCCTACTAAGTTAAATAGCATGACTTTAGAAAAAGAACATAGTACGATTGCTCTTCGAACGAGATATAAACTATTGTTTGGGGAGAAATTGGGAAAAAGAGAGATATATATAATACATTGCCCTTACTTGTTCACTTTTGTCATGTCAATGCCGAGGTATTGCCAAGAAGCATACATTGTAACTGAAGATTGACAAAAGCTCAAATCTATCTTCGGATAATACGAAATAAATGCAAGACACATCTCCTCTCGTACGCCTAGTCCTGCCTTGAAATTAAAAAATAGAAGTAGAGCAATGGATACTTTTAGATGATTGAATAAGGGCCACTTCTTTGAGGCAAAGCTTTCTCACATATATTCTGTATACGTTATAAACCCTAAGGTTTTGTTTGCTCTCCTGATTTTTAATCAGTTTGATTTATTTTTTTAATCAACTATTTTATCGCCGGATTATGCTGAATTTGAATCTAATTAAACTTATATTTATAAATAATACGGCTACGGAGTATTGTTATTTTACAATAGCCTGTTTATTTAGAACACCTTATCGAAATCAATCAAACCAATTTTTATCACACTATATAACTATTTTCAATAACAACACGCACCAGGGAGTCCAAGAGTAACTTGGAAAAATATAGCAATTGACTATTGGACGACATTTCATCTTCAAATGCGAAAAACTCGTCTGGTTGTCGAAGATAAACCAATTATATATGGCAAAAGTATCAACACTTTAATGGTTTAATCAACGAAATTTAGTCACTTTTATCAACACGTAACTGCGAGGTAGGAGTTTGACATGTTTTCAGTGGAGTCGGATTGGAGCCTTTTCCGTATTTCGAACTTTCCGGATTCGGGAGTCGAATTAAAATTCGGAATTTTCCCGGAGTCAGAATTCAGACATTCAATTCATAAAAGATGTCGTAATTTCTACAACAACTGATTTCTCCGACATCGCAGCTGGATTTTCGAAGCCTCGAAACAGGGAATTGGAATTAAACTATTTGAATCACTGTCCCTAAACTAAACTCCTGTCAATAGAATAGGCTACTAATAACTTCATTCTCACCTGTGATTGCAAATCGTCCCTCCGTATTGTAATCGCATTCCAGTTGGAAATTGTCTGTACTTGGAGACTAACACTTGGATTTAGATATCTGCTTCTTGGTAATTGAAATCATAGTTTTCATCACTGGCTAGGTACGGAAGTTCAGTTCCATTTCTGATATTGGAGAAGGTGATCATTAAATGCAAGTGATTAAAATTATCGTTTCAAAATTTGATTTTTCGTCCTCAATTTTTAAGAATAATTGTCGAATGTTGTAAATGGAATACCTGAGGTGGCGTAGTCTCATTTTTCTCCCGGCTTCATGAGAGTGAAGAACAACACTGAAAGCTGTAACGTGGTCTGTCTCGGATACTGACATTCTCTAGGTAAATTAGATATGTGAAAATTAGAATCTATCATCAATTTATAGAAATGCGAACAAAATGATTTTCTTTATTCATATATATATCACTCATTACTGAAAAGTAATTTATCAAATTGTATATCAAATCATAATGTTTTGTACTAAATTTTCAATGGGATGATCCATAAAGGAATCTGGGTTGAGTATAAATTGAATCAACCTGCTTATAGACCTATCTAATTCTTGACACTTGATGGGCGTCCTGGGGGCTAATTTCATCTATACATAGCACATGTGGTATATTATCACTTGAATACTGCAACAGAATGGAGGCCCCGTCAATTCGATCATATTTAAATACATTATCTGCACTATTTATGATTTGAATATACCCGATATTAATATATAAAATAAATGACTGATATGAGCTTATAATTTGTTTACCCAAGTTTTGTGCTAGAAAGTACATAGCAGTGAGATTTTACATTCATTGCAAACTTTTTTGAAGAATAAACTTGCGATTACCGACTATTTGTTTACAGCTAACAAACAATCGAACAAAATATTTTTTAATTATTATCAGCTTGACTTACAGATTTAACACATTCGTTTGTACAGTGTGCTATACTTTTGAAGCTCTCAGCTCCGGGGGGTATGAAATGTTCTTTTGGATTGACATAATTCCCGATTTGAAGAACGCCAACATCATATTTTCGAAGAGTAGGCGTATATGTAAACCGATATCCTGAATTGTCGCAAACTCCTGGAATGCCAGAAAAAGATTAACACTGTTAAACTATTTTATGACTGTCATGACAAGCTTCGATAAGTATGAATATATATATTTGATAGTAAAATAATATTAAACAAAAACTTACACTTTTGCTTAGATTACGCCAGTTACAGTTTATGTTATACAATTCAGCTTAAGTCCAACAGAATCTTGACTTCTTAATACTGATGCTGTGTATTGTTTTCGCTGGAAAAAATTGATTTTTGAAGATTGTTACCTGCGACCACGTTAGGGTTGTTATAGTGAATTTCCAATTGTACATAAACCGGATCTCCTGGTCCACCGACTGGAAAACCCGCTTCTGCTGGAAACGTCATCGCCTGTTAATTCACACGCAAATATGTTGAAAACCATTTTTATATATTTCTCAGAGTTACTTAGAATGGATGACAACGTAACTAGTGAAAATACAGGGTAATTCGTGTTTAAATCAACAAATGAGAGTGTCAAGGCCTAGTATTCCAGGGCGCAGACATCTGTATACTAAAAAACATACTCACAGAAACGAACATTTTCTGTTCGCAATCGTTGTGGCCGTGAGACAGAAGTTGTAATTGTAGCAGTTGCATGATTTTGATAATTTACAAGTTCAAAAAAGGCGTAGTCAATTAAATCAGTGTTTGGATGTGTGGGGGCGAATACTTTGAATACTAAACATAATATCGCATTCATATCGCAATAGCATTTCTTCTCTTATGAACTCGGGCGAGTCATTTAACAAACCTAGTAAACGACTTCTTGAATTCACTATATGTTAGTATATACTACATTAGATTTAACACATTACCCCAGCTCCTAATAGCCATTCAAAAACAATGGTCGTACACGTATCAAAATGAGCCATATTTGGGGAATAGCACCGATCGTCCTTTGCCAGTTCAGACTCGTTCTGTAGAATTGAAACGAAAATATGATTGTCATTAGTAGGTCAACTTGTAGCGATCCTTGTAGGTTATGGAGATTATTACATTTCAAATATTTGAACTTGTCATGCTGATGAAGTTCCCGTTCTTAAAATGATGTACGTCTTCTACATAATTTTTGTTTTTGTAAAATAGGATAGAAACCGTTAACAAAAATTCTACTTAAAAATATTTAAAATTTAAAGACTGCTGTACGAATTCTATTTTATTAAAATAATGATCATGATGTTACAATGTTTCATTCTTACCTCCATGATATCGCCACATCTATAAATGAGCATGTGATGAAGGTAAGGTTCATTTCCAAACTGAATCACAGGTTCCCACTAGAAAGTTGAATAAACATTAATTATATATGATGAATCTAATAAATTGTTGCTTGTTTCAAATTTGTTGTTTGTTCTCTTTTCTGTTTCAAGTTTAAATATTCAACGTTTTCAATTTACTGGCAACGTCGATTCTCATCGATAGTGATGAAATAGGAGCTTAAATCTTTGTTTAGGTATTCTTTTCTCTGATATCAAAATACAAATGACCATAATCGGGGTCAATTTATCATGTATACTTAAATTCTTCACATATGTGTTGACAGTTTTATAGCCATTCCGTTCTATAAAACCATATAAACTGCCGTATATGAATGGGAAGAATTCATTTATATAAATGTGTCCCAACTCGCCCTCTGATTAAATTCGGAATTACTGTCTTGGAAAGGTATATAAACGATTTTAAACATGTATCAATTCTATGATATATATAATTTGTCAAACACAATCTTTGGCATACAAAGCAGTTCGACATATATTTTTGATTCAATTTCTAAAACCAGAATATCTATCAGCTTGTACAAGTTGAATAGATTAAAGCTACGTATTCAACCTTTACAATATGTTGTTTTCCACCAAAATCAGGAAGTTTGTATAATATACAATTGTAGTATGTGCGTTCTGCTGGAATAAGAAAATTTGATGCAAGCACATCGAAAGTATCGTAGGTAGGTCCAGTTGGAAGATCAGCAAAATTTGTCGATGGTTCGAAAAAGTAAATACTTTCCACACCTACAAAATAACGAGCAGTTCAGTAAATTGAAAAATTAAGCTTCATATTCAGCTTCTTAGGTAAATATATGTGATTATCTAATAAATTTTATGCGTTATAAATAAACACAACTTATTTCCGATATACAACCCTTAATTTGAAAATCACAAAAATCATAATGGCTGAATAACTATTATGACAATGTTGCTAATCATTGTTCCTTTTTTATAATATCTAGTTATTAAATTTGAGAAAAAAGTTTCGACTTGTTCACTAACCTCTGTCAGTATTGTGATAATCACCAGAAACAAGGTCGTCTCCGGTTGGATCAGTATTTCCACAAGCCCATATAAGTCGTTCTGTGTTTGTCTGTATTTAACACAAACAAAATATTTGCAGAAAAATATTTTATTCATGACATGTGAGTCAATAAACAAGGACATACATAGAGTCAAATAGAGCACTTTTTTAAGTTCACGAGTGACTTTTTGCCATTTTTTCTGTGTGACTCACAATGAGGTGTTAATGTATAAGAAAAGAGACTAGGCCTATGTATCCACATGCAATTTACTATTAATTTACGATATATATTGCATATTGTCAGATAAATCGAGACTAGATAGGAGACAAGCTCATGCGCAATGTAACATCGACACTCAAACACATTGTGCTTAAGTCATTTCCTGACTCAATAAAACCACATTTGACGTAACCTGAGTCATATTTTCTCATTGCAACTTTTTGAGCTTTCCTTTAATTTTGAATTTGGTTGCGCGATACTAACTCCCTATCATTCCTCTATGCCTTTATGCTAGTGGATCCGTATGCGTATACTGCAAGGATGATGTAGCTGGAATAAACATGACTATTCTATTCAATTAAAGGGTCCAGTTTCCTTAATTCTTTTACTTCGTGACCTTCTCATTTTAAAAAATATCTATTTTGTGGCTGACATGGATCAAAGAAAGTTGGGGTTTTCAAATAAAGTATAATAACCCTTATTTACACAGTATTCAATATGTAACTGATTGTATAGAAGAGTACTATAATTACATGAACAGGTGGTGTCTTTGCTACTGTCTACCCGAATTCAACAAATTACTAATCTGCCTAGTAGCCTACCTATACTTTCCAACATGTAGGGGCGTACTAAAATTATTATTCACGAGACACAACGAATAATTCTAATTGTTAAATTATTTCATAAGTGTTATTGTTTCTTAATTAATGCATGGCAATGATAATGCCACAATTTCCCGATCTAATTGAAAATTGTATATTACATTTGAAAATGCTTCGCGACTCACCAAATTGAGTATATAAAACTCCTTTAAAATCATGACATTTCGTCAGATTGAATAGCATAATTCAGCAAGAAAATATTTGGGCATTGTAATAAAACTGTATATAAAAAATGAATATTGGAGTATTGCAAATAATGTAGTATTTGAAAAAGAAATGCATGTACCGAAATTTCTCGATCGTATTCTTCTTCACAAGCAGCAATTTGACGTGAAAATTTAATCATTGTCCATCCGTCTAATTCTTTTCCTCCCAGAACTTCGATATTTTGTTGGGGATCAATAGGTGGGTATGTATTGGATGAACCTCCGTGCCTATCCTGTTGTCATGGGAATATTATGTCAATATTTCCATAATATACCAAACGAAAGTCAATGGATATTCAATTTCGCAAATTAGTTTCTCGCTTATAACTACTTCTGGGCGAACTTTTGACGGTTTATTTGAAGTATAGCAAAAATATTGAAATGTTATATTATACCGTGACTGTTACTGCACCGTTTTTCACCCATCCTACTACAATATCCGATGCCGTCATTGCACCGTTAGAAGAAAACCCGATTCCAATCCATCCAGTTGTTTGACCGATTACCTGTATATAGACAGCAAATTATTTATTATATCCTTCTTGCAATCGATAAAATAAAATTCTTTGTGTTACAAATCATATATTGCCTTAAAGAAATTTTCATTCTAAGATTGTCAAAGAAATACAGTAAAGACAACATTTTCTTTCTGAGCGTTTCCAATAATAACACGCATATTTCAATTTACATGATGTAACAGTTACAGCAACTCGAAAATTCCAATTTCGTCTGTGTCAACATATCATTTATTTCTTAACTTTTTTTCATCATCATATAAACAAAAATATTTATACTTCGGTTTTGATATAGATGGGTTTATAAATCATTTACATGTTGAAAATGCATTATTTTTGACATGACAATAAAAATTAGAATTTGTTTTTCTGTTTTGATTATCTCCAATACTTACTTCAAAAGTAATTTGGCTGTCAGTATATTTCCAATATAATAAAATTTTCCCAGATTGCAACATTGTAGAATGGCTGTAACTGTCACTCGGGGTCAATTGACTTTTCACACTCGGCGAAAACACGACAATCCATATTACCAATATGAAATGCATGATACAGCTGAATATCACAACATAATCTGCGTAAAAATTGGTTTCCGTATTGCATTAATAAAAATTCTTATTACACATGCATTGATAAATGGGCACTTACATATATAACTTGTCTACCGGTAGTACTTTTCTCACCATTATCATTTGTCTAATCTGGGTCGTTACTTGATCGTTTTATGTGAGCCCAATTATAACGAATAAACGCGGATCAGCTTTTGTGGGTTCTGGGATTCTCGTGGATAGTATTTCGTACTGACTTTCCAGCTTACATTTACTTCACCTTCGATTTTTTCAAGCATTGGCTCTTCCTCACAAGTTCTCAAGTCCGAATATGTATACTCTTTGCTTGCTTCATCGAAGTTAACAAGTTACCCATTGTGGATATGCTCCCCAATAACTCGAGGAAAATTTTTTATATTAAAAAAGGAATATCTTCAATCGATAGAAGTATTTTATCGTCGGTACACATTTACTTATTTTTCTATAGCGACATCATATAATCTGGCATCAACATTCTACATACAAATTCTGCCATTTGCTACAAACCAAATCGGCGTTCGCATATCTTAAGCTACTTGCATGACTTGATTCCGGAAACTATTTTGTTTCGATTGTAGGTTAAGTGCCGTGCAAGAATTACTTTTGTATACTCTTTCAAAACATTTCTACGGTTACTTGTCCAGGGCTACCAATTTAACAATCGCTTGCATATTTATGGAAATCCTGAAAGCCTAACATCCATTTCTGATTCACATTCGCCGTCACTTTTCAAAGACATGACCTTGATATAAGTTAGCGAACTCTCATATTCAAACCACCAATATGAATCCCTTGAGTATTCCGTTCGCTCAGATTATACATGATTGAGCTTATATATAATTCGAGATGGAATGTCATAGAAAGGTGTATCGATGTATATCACTCAAAACTTCACTTGATACCCTGGAGTATTTTGCAAAACTCTTTCGAACTTATTAGACAGTTGGGCTAGTCTTTTCTGCTCTTGTCAAACATACAAAGAAACTAGTAAATTTTTTTGCAGATCAGAAATTGGAGCAATTTTAAAATTTTACTCAGTTTTCAAAATAACGGAATGGATTATCGCACTCACGGTGCAAGATATCGCATTGAATGTGTCACTTCTTTCTATTTTATTCAGGAGAACGGAATGGAGTAAGCTATCGCACGGTGCGAGATATCGCAATAAATTAGGGATTTGTCAGCTGTGAACTGGTTTGATTCTAGTCTTATGTTATTCTCCATTTACTGATATCTTTGTGACAAAGACAAACACTCATAAATATAACCGATGGAAGATGTGAAGTGCGCGTGAAAAAATGCACATACAATTACATATTTTCCTAGTATTCGAGCATCGATTCGTTTCGAAAAAAATATTCTATTCTGAAAGCATCAATTCAGGAAAGATTTATACAAACAAAAGTCGGTTGCTTGCGATAACCATGTCAGTGAATCAGCAACACCCGAAGACAGTGGTTCTCAAACTGGGATCCGCGTAGGATTATCAGAGAGGCAGCAAGAGCCTTAGTTTTTGCCTTATAGGCTAATGTTGTCATTTTGCATTTTCTTCTTCTTGTTGTTGTGAAAAAAGTCGTTTTTCTGTTTAACTACAGGATCAAATGCTTCGAAACTTTCAGTGCTTAAATGTTGTTGTTGTCGCTAGAAGGCTATTACTTTTATTCAGGGACGTTGCCAGGGGGAGGGGGTTCTGCGGGTCGAAATCCCCCTCCCCCCCTTTAGGAATGTGTAAAAAACGACGACTAATAGGCGCGACTTTCCACGCGCCGAATAAGCGCATAAAACTTTATGGCTCCGTCTCCGGATGCCGTCAAGTAAAAGCACCATGATTGTGACCGAATAAAGCGATTTTTGGACCTTTCCCAGACCTTTAACTTCCTATACTTTACCAGTGAAAAATTTTCGGTGCTTATTTTAAGAGTGGTTTTGCCAGTTGACCCCTGTAAAATAGGGTATTTTTGTTTCAAACCATCATTCTGATTCATACCATTCAACAATCTGTTTTTTAAAAGTACCAGTGAAGAATTTTAGCCTAGTCTATAACAGCTATTTCGAGGACAAAAGACAAAGTGATCATTGAATTATTTGATATATATTTAAATATCCGAAACACAACTAGAAACTAACGAATAGATTTCAAAAACGCGAAAACGAGGTAATGTTTACGACGACGCCTGGAAATCTGTCTGAGCGAGAAAGGCGTCTGAGCGGATGCGAAACTAAGTCACTTTTTACATCTTGCTGATTGGCCAATGTCATGAGGTAAACAAGGAAGTCGATGCTCGGGGAAACATCCATTAAGTCCGCAATTTCGATTTGAAGCCTTTGTTCCGTCGAATCCTGACATATTCAGTTTCGATTTTTAAAAACATTCTGTATTACACATAGCAAATTTTAGAACATCAGTTCTCTTAGAAACTCGCGTTTTGCGGCCTCCGGCCAGGCCACCTGTTACAGTCAATTTCGGCAATTAAAAATTTCAAGGTGCTCCCCCCCCCCCTTGAAAATTCCTGGCTACGCCCCTGCTTTTACCTATTTTAAAAAGTTATGTGTGCTCTATGGAATGATTGTTCACTTTAAATTTTTGCGTAATGGCGTCATCAAAATTGAAAAATCAGCATCGTGCCGTGGTTTCGTGACCGCATTTCGCCGATCTCGCCAGATTACCGGTTCTGCAAAGTTTCACATTCATTCTAGGCCGTGAGACGAGGCCCTGATGAACGCCTAAAAAGGGGGTTTCGTAGCGCACCTAAAGGAACTACCTGGAAATAATATAAAATGTTCCTTAGAAATTTAGTAACAAATAATACCATGTTTCCATTTCCAAAACTTGCACGTTTTACGAAAAAGACGCTTTTACTACAAGAAATATGTGCTACGATCTGCTATATATTCTGTACTTTTCCGACAATATTGGCCAATGAACGCAGACTTCTCTCATGACGTAACAATTAAAAAATTTTCAGCTGTTTGCGGACGGAGGAGTCTTAGTTTGTACTGATCAATCTTGCGTTGAGTTGGGTAGCCTTTCTATCGTTGATTTTCAGTTTTATTAGTTAAGTTATACTAAACCGGTGCCAAAAAGTATAAGTAAGTTTTTAAACACTTGTAGATCCCTACCGTGGGCGCCTTAAAAAACGCACAGAAAATGAGTTTTGTAGCGCACATCTGGTATATATTCTTTAGTTTTGTATGAAAATGAACATACTGAACGCATTACAGCTTGTTCCACAACCCTGATGTGAAATTGAATATAAGGGGGTTCCAAGAAAATCAATAACCATAGGTTTACAACAACACAGCATAAGAACTATGCAATTCAAGAGCCCTGCTGCACACTCACACAAATTTATTTTTGTAACGTTATGTCTGACCAAAATCAGACTTCCTCAGACAAGCAGTTTATAACAAAGAACAGCATAAGAAGTTGCATTTATTTTATAGAAGCTATCGAACGTATTTATTTTTAAGCAATGAAGTCACAAATTAACATCGTGAGCACAAAAACACAATTTAATCAGATTGTGTATTTGAAACAAAGGCAATATTATTTATAAAACAGGACTTTCGACACTAACAAAATGTCAGAAAAAAAAACTAATAAAAAATATAATATTATAAATAATATCTCATTCACTTTTTTCTGAATTGCCTCAGGAATCCACATTGTCGAAAATCGACTTTTCCTCTATAGGTGTACTGTGGTTTTTGTAGACGATACAAAAACAAATATCCGTGCAATTTAAGTTGTTTTTGGCACACATGCATAATTCATTTTGACGCCTATTTTGCTTACCATTGCAGTTTGCCAACTCAGGAACTGATTTTGGGGCTGGAAGTAGATCTATCAATTTTACACCCAAAAAATCATCATCAAGAACTCATCCATGGATAGGGTTACCATATTTTTGTGACCTCAAAGCGGGACGCCTATAACATTCCGTTCCGACCTCACAGCGGGATCACTAAATTTGAAAAAAAAAAATCCGCTGAGTATTTAAATGTTTATTGTAGCAATTTAACCTCGGGATGGTTACCCAATGGTAAGAAGGATTTAAAAAACGGCCTTTTTGAATATTTTTTTTTATTGAAATTCCGCTTTGCTTTATTTGTTTGTTCTATTATTAATCAAAATCCTATTTATCTTATATTTTGAACTAATTTCTGTAATTCTAAAGTTTCCACATTGTTGGGTAACTAGTTTCGTTCAAGAAATGTAACATTTGAATTTTATTCTGACATGCTCATGATGAACTAAATTTGAGTTTTTTTTTATTATTTCTATATGTATGAACTTGGTGCCACCGTTTGCCTTTGTCAGTGACCGAAGACTGTTTTGATTTGAATTTTGGACATTTTGATTTTTAGTGAAATGTTTTGAAAGTATTCAAATTTTTTTTGTGTTTTACATTAGGAATTTGGTAATTTTTATCCAAATCGAATTGAAATTACAGTCTCATTACTGAAATTTTCCCACTACATTAACGCCTACGTTTTCACACCTTCACTCCCGAAAAGGGCTTTAATCCCAATTATCCTACTATGGCCAATCCGCATTCACACTGCAAGTATGTAGATCAGGCCTGCCCAACCTTTTTCGTCTCGCGGGCCACTTTCACGTGACGAAATCGGTCGCGGGCCACAAACATAATACATAAAAGGTGAGTTTATTAAATTGAAATCAATCAAATTAATATTTGCTCTCTGGTTACTGCGTAGGGCTGGCAAATTATTCGAATATTAGAATACCGTTTTATTATTCGAATATCTGGTAAATGGGGCGTGGACATAACACTCTGGGGCGACCGACTCAAATAATCAATCATTGCACAACACACTTGTGCTTTTCTGGCGACCACGCAAGAAACACACACATCACGTCAAAACTGAGTGTTATATTTGCGTTTTTATTCATTCATTTCCAGTAGCTACGATACTGCTTCAATGTTTAAATGAGCATAATGTGCGTCAATATCAGGTTTTAGTGGGTCGTTTCGTAAAATTTGAAA